CTACTGTTGAAACACCAATTAGAAACATTTGAGTGGCTGTATTAGACCTGTATCAGATTAAAGTAATGTTTTGCATTGATTTAACATATTCAGCCATCTGTAAATTACTTCTTGTATCCTATTTGGGGACAATGTGGTATACAACAATAACATGTCATACGTGAATAGGTGATACTATTGACTTTTACTAGATTTTTTAACACACTGCATGGCATGCACATTAGTTCTGTAGTCCTCATTCTTAGTATTGTGTACTGAATAATTATGTTATGATAACTCTATAGAAATGAAGAGTTTTACATCTATCGGATAGGTTCTTCAAAGGCGCATACACCATCATCGATCTGACCATAAGACGTGATATTTACAGTGGTTGTAACAGTTAGACTAATATTATTTGTTGTTGCGATGTGAGAAACAACGCAGTACTTGTGTGAGCATCATAAAAATACACAAATGTGTAATCTGGTTCGTCTGTTAGAGTCCTTGGTTGTGATGTGCAAAATCAAGTCTGTCTTAAAGTCACCGCTGCCATTATCGATTGTGGTGATGTAATCCGATTCTTCAACGGGTAATTTTTAAGAACTTTGCAGATGAATGTATGGGGCTTCATGCAAGTTCTACTCACGCATAGCGTTGAACAGACTGCTTTCCGTGCTAATGTCTCCCTTATCATCCGTAGTGATGTAGACTGAGATCCAGTCAGTCTCAACGTTGTCAGATGCAGTAGCCACGAACACAGTGAAATTGTACCGTTGTACATACTGGTGCTGCATGTGGTGATCAATTCACAGAATTCGTAGGTGGTTTGCCGGTAAGATACAAACTCGTAGTTTATCATGTTATTCCTAAGATCAAATGTGTTTGTCTTCAATGGAGGTGTAGGGCCAAACGACGTATATACTCCTGGACCATTTTCCGCGAAGGACATCATTGCAGTGGTATATATTAGTGTTTTGTGGTTGCATATGTTGTGCTGATATGAGTTAAAGCATCTGTAATGGTGTGGCTATCAGACGTAATGTGGTCGTGTAATCTGGCATGTAACAAATAATAAAAATGGGATTATAAAAGCAAGTAGGATAGTTTGGTTTTCTGATTTGTCATAGGGTGTAGCAAAATAGTAAGCTATACGAATAAATTATTTCATACCATTTGGAGGGAAAGTAGTGATGTATTGCGTACTATAAGTAGCTACATTAGTGATGTTGGAACATATCTCATCAAATCAAATTGTAGCAACATATTAGTCACCGCCTGAGATATAAAAAGCAGACCAGAGAAATCACCGACGATTAAGTGTGAGTCATTGAATAATAAACAAAGTCCTGGGCTGTGACACAACATATATTATGATAGAATCTTTTTGGATAATATATTCCCTTTTTGAGATGCATCGTGACAGTTTGATTATTCTTTGACCATATAGCATATGCTAGAAATTTCTTTGATCACGTTGTGAATTGTTATAGTTGCAACACCCAATTGCATTTCTTGACCCTAAACCTAATAAGGAAATGTTATCATTTTGGAAATCAATCGTATATTTACCGTTCTGCTAGGAAGAAAAGCAGCCACGGAAAAGCATAGTAAACTTTGTTGTTGTGATATTGTAAATAGTTAAATCCCTGTGGCAATGAACATGAAAGAGGATCGTATCTGGCATGCCGCTACCCAAATGTAATTGACTACTAACTCCATTGCTTGCTCTTATTGATATGAATGGCAAATACTCCGTCCGAGAATGAAATGGGCTAACAGTGATCCAGTAACAAGACCTTTAGCCGGTACCTGGTTGAACGATTGAGAAAGAGTATGGCTTTGACGCTTATTTTATCCCTCAGGTATGAACTTAGATTACGCCTATGTATACAGCCTGGCATCACTAGAGGTTAGTTCCTTCTTGTCAGAAAGTTCAACACGTAGCTATTTCCAGTTGCTCGTGGGAGGTACAACAGAACGAGTTTGAGCATGAAAGACATGGTTAGCTTCGGTAATACCATTGAGAAATGCTTGTCGCAGGTCCTAAATACACAAGATTCTTATCAGTATGTTTTGCTATTAACCTTGTTTGACGTGTATTGTAGATGTTGGTGTTATATAGTGAATTGGTGCAGTGGTAGGCTAAAATTACTAACGAACATAATTACAAGTAAGCTTCGAGTACGTTGCATTGATATCTCTGATTATGCTCATGTCGAGACAAAACTAATGAAGACTTAGAAACAGTGCAGGAAGAGATTGACCGCATTGAAAGAACATGTTGGGTTTATATATTAGGACTTTGAAACAGAGGAACTTGATGCCATAAAATCTGGAAAATGACATTGGTCCTTGGCAACATAAGAAAGATATAAGATGTCAAAAAAGTTCCTTAGTAGATATTCTGAAGCTTGATAAGTTTCCGAAACTGCATATAAATCATGCCTGCCCATATACGTCCTGGACGTTTCTTACAGACCTCATGGATATAACCAATAATCCGAACGTCAGCACTGGTGTAGTACAAAGGTAACGCGATAGAACAACAATCTGTGAGGGGGGTAGAAATTTTGAATCGTAGGGTCTTTTTTAGGGGGGAGGGCATTGGGTGAGACTGTCGAGTACCCGCATCCGAAAAGGTAAGGGTGCAAAAGATGCCAAAAGGCAATGGTTTCATAGGATATATATGCCTGTACCAAAGTAAAGGAATCTCCAATGTACTTGTGATTAATATTCTAGAATAATCTAATAAACCAATTCTCTAAGCCTTGGAGAGCTATTGGCCAGCGTTCTAAAGATATGATATTGTGCTAAATTTCCCAATAAATCAGGAAAGGCATATTTGGTAGTCCAATAATGGCTTACCAAGGTAAGAAGGGACACATAAGTCAATGGCTACATAAATATAGCATCGTCTATTTGACTAATATTCACCGTGCTACTTCGAGGTTGTGATCGGTGTATACCTCAGCAGTGGCGGCATTGTTTGCTCGAAAGACCTGCGAAAATGTCCCGAACTTAAGATAGTCCTGGAGTACATCTGAAAACCCCACCCTTGGTCGAGCCACTTGATGTGTCGAGTGGGATTATTGGCGCATTTTTATGCCTCTAGTAAGTCTCGCTTCTAAAGAGAGATGTAGGTGCCGGTACTTATATAAGATCAGAGCAGGGTTTGTATCTATGAGCAAATGCACCCAAATGGCGGAAGATTTCCGGTAAGCAGATTTGGGAGAGGGGACACCCTACCGGTCCTTGGTATATCACTTAGCTGTACTGCAGCCTTGGCTCGCGCTGGCGTTGTCCAAAGTGGGAGCGGGGCGATGAGGAGAGGGTACTGATAGGAACTCTTTGACAATCAACCCAGTTGTGCATAACTAATTTCTAGTCTGTTTTTGTCTTGCGATGTGGTACTCAGCTATACCACTCTAGATCTGCACATGAGTGTTGTTTTCCTGTTCAGTGATAAAAATGTTTGAATGATGCTTGTCTTGCTTGACAGAAATTAAATATATCTCCAAAATGAAATTAGGCTTTTAAAGAATTATAAAATTGTATCTGATATAAGATCAATGTCATCTTACTTAATATATTGACCTCACGTTGTTTGGTATAATTGCATTTATCTTAACTTGAATTAATTGAGCATGATTTGATTGCCGGTTTACAATTGATATTATTCATGAAAATCATCTTGATACTTAAAAACTTGACATTATATACACTTTATTGTCGTATTTGTCACATCAATAATCAGTGTAAATTATTCCATGGTGTTCGATTCACATCTTAAATCTAAGCTATCTGTCCCAAGCCTGGGCAGCATATCCTTGTTGGCTTTGTCCGTTTACAATTTGTAACACATGTTTTGCAGCACAGTTCAACAGTTGCGTTTGACTAGAAAAGGTTGCTCTCACCCACAAACAGTTCCTAGAAGTATCAAATCCCGGTATAGCAATAAAAATGCATTTTGCAGAACCACATGGGAGAACTAGAATCTGTAAATTACAACAAGTAATATTAATGTTCTTGATAAGCAGCGGTAATAGTTCTTATATAAAAAATAATCCTTGTTTTGCCAAGATACAAACACTAATAAAAAAGATATATGACTGTAGTAAACCATTTGTCAACCACAGTTCTTTTTTCATTGTGGATCATTAGTTAGTGACGTGCACTCAAGATTAGATTCGTTAATGATGGACAAATAATTAAAACCCAATTGGCTTCATGCGCTGGCTGTATCAGTAATATTCTATTTGTTTACAATCTGCTGATATTACCTGTATCTGTATAACAGAACGTTTTTAAAACAATTTTGCTACAGTTTGCATATATCAATTTCCTTTGAATTTAGGTTGAAAGTTAAGGTAACCGGGCTTTACCTTCATTTTTCATATTGTATTAGCTAGGGTAAATTATTCTTGAGAGAAGGTGTTGTTACATCTTTACCGCTTTTTCCTATTTAAGCAGAATCAACAATGTACCCTAATGTACCTAAGTAGATGGGAAGCGTAATATTGAGAATATCTTAACTAAATTGATTTGTAATTGATGAAAAAAACAGCCTTTTCTTAGATACCGTTTGATATTCATATCTTTAATGGGCAGCAGTTTACTTAACATAAATTGTGGGCGTAAATTGTATATATGAAGGTGCTAGCTATACTATGAAAAGAAATAAAGGGAATTTCTATATATTTTAGAATAATTATTAGTAAGATGAAAAACAGAATGAAGGAATGAATGTTGTGCCGTGGTTATTGGTAATTTATGATTGTCATTAAAAACAAAATACTTTAGAATGTAACATAGAAACTTTTTTTATTAGACGTAATATATGAATAGAGAATATACAATAAAATGAAGTATAAAACGATTTGAACATGGAGTTTGGATGATAGTATGGAAAAGTTTGTACTGTTTTTTGGTATTTAATTATTATCACCGATTTTTATGCGCTCATTAAATTATGCATAAATGTTCTGTCATCCTATTACTTCATTATCTCAATCTTTAAATTATAGAAGGAACAATAGAGCTGGTAGAGCGTAGTACCAGTTGTTCAATTCGATAGCAGCAGCTGCACCATGGTATTGGCTTGCGCTAGCTGTTGGCGTGATGATTGTTGTAGGACCGCGTGAATTTCCATTGGATGCAGTAGATGGGTAAATAGAGGAGCCTGAGCCATTTTCAGCAGCACCGGCAGCACCTTGAGCGTTGTTGGCAGAGCCTGCAGCACCGGCAGCACCTTGAGCGTTGTTGGCAGAGCCTGCAGCACCGGCAGCACCTTGAGCGTTGTTGGCAGAGCCTGCAGCACCGGCAGCACCTTGAGCGTTGTTGGCAGAGCCTGCAGCACCGGCAGCACCTTGAGCGTTGTTGGCAGAGCCTGCAGCACCGGCAGCACCTTGAGCGTTGTTAGCAGAGCCAACGGCACCGGCAGCACCTTGAGCGTTGTTGGCAGAGCCTGCAGCACCGGCAGCACCTTGAGCGTTGTTGGCAGAGCCTGCAGCACCGGCAGCACCTTGAGCATTGTTGGCAGAGCCTGCAGCACCGGCAGCACCTTGAGCATTGTTGGCAGAGCCTGCAGCACCGGCAGCACCTTGAGCGTTGTTGGCAGAGCCTGCAGCACCGGCAGCACCTTGAGCGTTGTTAGCAGAGCCAACGGCACCGGCAGCACCTTGAGCGTTGTTAGCAGAGCCAACGGCACCGGCAGCACCTTGAGCGTTGTTGGCAGAGCCTGCAGCACCGGCAGCACCTTGAGCGTTGTTGGCAGAGCCAACGGCATTGTTGGCAGAGCCTGCAGCACCGGCAGCACCTTGAGCGTTGTTGGCAGAGCCTGCAGCACCGGCAGCACCTTGAGCGTTGTTGGCAGAGCCTGCAGTACCGGCAGCACCTTGAGCATTGTTGGCAGAGCCTGCAGCACCGGCAGCACCTTGAGCGTTGTTGGCAGAGCCTGCAGCACCGGCAGCACCTTGAGCGTTGTTGGCAGAGCCTGCAGCACCGGCAGCACCTTGAGCGTTGTTAGCAGAGCCTGCAGCACCGGCAGCACCTTGAGCGTTGTTGGCAGAGCCTGCAGCACCGGCAGCACCTTGAGCGTTGTTGGCAGAGCCTGCAGCACCGGCAGCACCTTGAGCGTTGTTGGCAGAGCCAACGGCACCGGCAGCACCTTGAGCGTTGTTGGCAGAGCCTGCAGCACCGGCAGCACCTTGAGCATTGTTGGCAGAGCCTGCAGCACCGGCAGCACCTTGAGCATTGTTGGCAGAGCCTGCAGCACCGGCAGCACCTTGAGCGTTGTTAGCAGAGCCAACGGCACCGGCAGCACCTTGAGCGTTGTTAGCAGAGCCAACGGCACCGGCAGCACCTTGAGCGTTGTTGGCAGAGCCTGCAGCACCGGCAGCACCTTGAGCGTTGTTGGCAGAGCCAACGGCACCGGCAGCACCTTGAGCGTTGTTGGCAGAGCCTGCAGCACCGGCAGCACCTTGAGCATTGTTGGCAGAGCCTGCAGCACCGGCAGCACCTTGAGCGTTGTTAGCAGAGCCTGCAGCACCGGCAGCACCTTGAGCGTTGTTGGCAGAGCCTGCAGCACCGGCAGCACCTTGAGCATTGTTGGCAGAGCCTGCAGCACCGGCAGCACCTTGAGCGTTGTTGGCAGAGCCTGCAGCACCGGCAGCACCTTGAGCATTGTTGGCAGAGCCTGCAGCACCGGCAGCACCTTGAGCATTGTTGGCAGAGCCTGCTCCACTGTTGGATGAACCAGAAGATCCAGCTGAATTTGAGCCACCTACGTTAGAACCAGTGCCTGGGTTAGAGCTTGATCCAGAAATTGAACCAGAGGAGCTACCTGGGTTGGAGCCAGAGCCTGAACCAGAGCCAGAGCCAGAGCCACTACCTGGTTTCGAACCAGAGCCAGAGCCTGAACCAGAGCCAGAGCCTGACCCAGAGCCAGAGCCACTACCTGGGTTGGAACCAGAACCAGAACCTGAACCAGAGCCAGAACCACTACCTGGGTTGGAACCAGAGCCAGGGCCTGAACCAGAGCCAGAACCACTACCTGGGTTGGAACCAGAGCCAGAGCCTGAACCAGAGCCAGAGCCTGAACCAGAGCCAGAGCCACTACCTGGGTTGGAACCAGAGCCAGAGCCTGAACCAGAGCCAGAGCCACTACCTGGGTTGGAACCAGAGCCAGAGCCTGAACCAGAGCCAGAGCCACTACCTGGGTTGGAACCAGAGCCAGAGCCTGAACCAGAGCCAGAGCCACTACCTGGGTTGGAACCAGAGCCAGAGCCTGAACCAGAGCCAGAGCCACTACCTGGGTTGGAACCAGAGCCAGAGCCTGAACCAGAGCCAGAGCCACTACCTGGGTTGGAACCAGAGCCAGAGCCTGAACCAGAGCCAGAGCCACTACCTGGGTTGGAACCAGAGCCAGAGCCTGAACCAGAGCCAGAGCCACTACCTGGGTTGGAACCAGAGCCAGAGCCTGAACCAGAGCCAGAGCCACTACCTGGGTTGAAACCAGAGCCAGAGCCTGAACCAGAGCCAGAGCCACTACCTGGGTTGGAACCAGAGCCAGAGCCTGAACCAGAGCCAGAGCCACTACCTGGGTTGGAACCAGAGCCAGAGCCTGAACCAGAGCCAGAGCCACTACCTGGGTTGGAACCAGAGCCAGAGCCTGAACCAGAGCCAGAGCCACTACCTGGGTTGGAACCAGAGCCAGAGCCTGAACCAGAGCCAGAGCCACTACCTGGGTTGGAACCAGAACCAGAACCTGAACCAGAGCCAGAACCACTACCTGGGTTGGAACCAGAGCCAGAGCCTGAACCAGAGCCAGAGCCACTACCTGGGTTGGAACCAGAGCCAGAGCCTGAACCAGAGCCAGAGCCACTACCTGGGTTGGAACCAGAGCCAGAGCCTGAACCAGAGCCAGAGCCACTACCTGGGTTGGAACCAGAGCCAGAGCCTGAACCAGAGCCAGAGCCACTACCTGGGTTGGAACCAGAGCCAGAGCCAGAACCAGAGCCAGAGCCAGAGCCACTACCTGGGTTGGAACCAGAGCCGGAACCAGAGCCACCAGAGCCACCAGAGCCGGAACCACCAGAGCCAGAGCCACCTGGGTTGGAACCAGATCCACCTTCAGAACCAGAGCCAGATCCACCAGAACCGGAACCACCAGAGCCAGAGCCACCTGGGTTGGAACCAGAGCCACCTTCAGAACCGGAACCAGATCCACCAGAACCGGAACCACCAGAGCCAGAGCCAGAGCCACCTGGGTTGGAACCAGAGCCACCTTCAGAACCAGAGCCAGATCCACCAGAACCGGAACCACCAGAGCCAGAGCCAGAGCCACCTGGGTTGGAACCAGAGCCACCTTCAGAACCAGAGCCAGATCCACCAGAACCGGAACCACCAGAGCCAGAGCCACCTGGGTTGGAACCAGAGCCACCTTCAGAACCAGAGCCAGATCCACCAGAACCGGAACCACCAGAGCCAGAGCCACCTGGGTTGGAACCAGATCCACCTTCAGAACCAGAGCCAGATCCACCAGAACCAGATCCACCAGAGCCAGAGCCACCTGGGTTGGAACCAGAGCCACCTTCAGAACCAGAGCCAGATCCACCAGAACCGGAACCACCAGAGCCAGAGCCACCTGGGTTGGAACCAGAGCCACCTTCAGAACCGGAACCAGATCCACCAGAACCGGAACCACCAGAGCCAGAGCCAGAGCCACCTGGGTTGGAACCAGAGCCACCTTCAGAACCAGAGCCAGATCCACCAGAACCGGAACCACCAGAGCCAGAGCCACCTGGGTTGGAACCAGATCCACCTTCAGAACCAGAGCCAGATCCACCAGAACCGGAACCACCAGAGCCAGAGCCACCTGGGTTGGAACCAGAGCCACCTTCAGAACCAGAGCCAGATCCACCAGAACCGGAACCACCAGAGCCAGAGCCACCTGGGTTGGAACCAGATCCACCTTCAGAACCAGAGCCAGATCCACCAGAACCGGAACCACCAGAGCCAGAGCCACCTGGGTTGGAACCAGAGCCACCTTCAGAACCAGAACCAGATCCACCAGAGCCAGAGCCACCTGGGTTGGAACCAGATCCACCTTCAGAACCAGAGCCAGATCCACCAGAACCGGAACCACCAGAGCCAGAGCCACCTGGGTTGGAACCAGATCCACCTTCAGAACCAGAGCCAGATCCACCAGAACCGGAACCACCAGAGCCAGAGCCACCTGGGTTGGAACCAGAGCCACCTTCAGAACCAGAGCCAGATCCACCAGAACCGGAACCACCAGAGCCAGAGCCACCTGGGTTGGAACCAGAGCCACCTTCAGAACCAGAACCAGATCCACCAGAGCCAGAGCCACCTGGGTTGGAACCAGATCCACCTTCAGAACCAGAGCCAGATCCACCAGAACCGGAACCACCAGAGCCAGAGCCACCTGGGTTGGAACCAGATCCACCTTCAGAACCAGAGCCAGATCCACCAGAACCGGAACCACCAGAGCCAGAGCCACCTGGGTTGGAACCAGATCCACCTGGGTTGGAACCAGAGCCACCTTCAGAACCGGAACCACCAGAGCCAGAGCCACCTGGGTTGGAACCAGAGCCACCTTCAGAACCGGAACCACCAGAGCCAGAGCCACCTGGGTTGGAACCAGAGCCACCTTCAGAACCGGAACCAGAGCCACCTGGGTTGGAACCAGATCCACCTTCAGAGCCGGAACCAGATCCACCAGAGCCAGAGCCACCTGGGTTGGAACCAGAGCCACCTTCAGAACCAGAACCAGATCCACCAGAGCCAGAGCCACCTGGGTTGGAACCAGATCCACCTTCAGAACCAGAGCCAGATCCACCAGAACCGGAACCACCAGAGCCAGAGCCAGAGCCACCTGGGTTGGAACCAGAGCCACCTTCAGAACCAGAGCCAGATCCACCAGAACCGGAACCACCAGAGCCAGAGCCACCTGGGTTGGAACCAGAGCCACCTTCAGAACCGGAACCACCAGAGCCAGAGCCACCTGGGTTGGAACCAGAGCCACCTTCAGAACCGGAACCAGAGCCACCTGGGTTGGAACCAGATCCACCTTCAGAGCCGGAACCAGATCCACCAGAGCCAGAGCCACCTGGGTTGGAACCAGAGCCACCTTCAGAACCAGAACCAGATCCACCAGAGCCAGAGCCACCTGGGTTGGAACCAGATCCACCTTCAGAACCAGAGCCAGATCCACCGGAACCGGAACCACCAGAGCCAGAGCCACCTGGGTTGGAACCAGATCCACCTTCAGATCCGGAACCAGATCCACCAGGAGATGGGGTTGGTGACTGGTATTGGGTCAAAATGACAGTTGGCTTACCATCTTTGTCGGTAGTAGTGATGTGGGAAATGATGTCGGTGTGCACATGGCCATCCTTGTCAGTGACAACAGTAGTCTTATCCTTACCATCATCGACTGGGTTAGAGCCACCAGAGCCACCTTCACCAGAGCCACCTGGGTTGGAACCAGAGCCACCTTCAGAACCGGAACCAGATCCACCAGAGCCAGAGCCACCTGGGTTGGAACCAGAGCCACCTTCAGAGCCGGAACCAGAGCCACCTGGGTTGGAACCAGATCCACCTTCAGAACCAGAGCCACCTGGGTTGGAACCAGATCCACCTTCAGAGCCGGAACCAGAGCCACCTGGGTTGGAACCAGATCCACCTTCAGAACCGGAACCACCAGAGCCAGAGCCACCTGGGTTGGAACCAGAGCCACCTTCAGAACCGGAACCAGAGCCACCTGGGTTGGAACCAGATCCACCTTCAGAACCAGAACCAGATCCACCAGAGCCAGAGCCACCTGGGTTGGAACCGGATCCACCTTCAGAGCCAGAGCCACCTGGGTTGGAACCAGATCCACCTTCAGATCCGGAACCAGATCCACCAGGAGATGGGGTTGGTGACTGGTATTGGGTCAAAATGACAGTTGGCTTACCATCTTTGTCGGTAGTAGTGATGTGGGAAATGATGTCGGTGTGCACATGGCCATCCTTGTCAGTGACAACAGTAGTCTTATCCTTACCATCATCGACTGGGTTAGAGCCACCAGAGCCACCTTCACCAGAGCCACCTGGGTTGGAACCAGATCCACCTTCAGAACCAGAGCCAGATCCACCAGAACCAGATCCACCAGAGCCAGAGCCACCTGGGTTGGAACCAGATCCACCTTCAGAACCAGAACCAGATCCACCAGAGCCAGAGCCACCTGGGTTGGAACCAGAGCCACCTTCAGAACCAGAACCAGATCCACCTGGGTTGGAACCAGATCCACCTTCAGAACCGGAACCACCAGAGCCAGAGCCACCTGGGTTGGAACCAGATCCACCTTCAGAACCGGAACCACCAGAGCCAGAGCCACCTGGGTTGGAACCAGATCCACCTTCAGAACCGGAACCAGAGCCACCTGGGTTGGAACCAGATCCACCTTCAGAACCAGAGCCAGATCCACCAGAACCGGAACCACCTGGGTTGGAACCAGATCCACCTTCAGAACCGGAACCAGATCCACCAGAGCCAGAGCCACCAGAGCCAGAGCCACCTGGGTTGGAACCAGATCCACCTTCAGAGCCGGAACCAGAGCCACCTGGGTTGGAACCAGATCCACCTTCAGAACCGGAACCACCAGAGCCAGAGCCACCTGGGTTGGAACCAGAGCCACCTTCAGAACCGGAACCACCAGAGCCAGAGCCACCTGGGTTGGAACCAGAGCCACCTTCAGAACCGGAACCAGAGCCACCTGGGTTGGAACCAGATCCACCTTCAGAGCCGGAACCAGAGCCACCTGGGTTGGAACCAGATCCACCTTCAGAACCGGAACCACCAGAGCCAGAGCCACCTGGGTTGGAACCAGAGCCACCTTCAGAACCGGAACCAGAGCCACCTGGGTTGGAACCAGATCCACCTTCAGAACCAGAACCAGATCCACCAGAGCCAGAGCCACCTGGGTTGGAACCGGATCCACCTTCAGAGCCAGAGCCACCTGGGTTGGAACCAGATCCACCTTCAGATCCGGAACCAGATCCACCAGGAGATGGGGTTGGTGACTGGTATTGGGTCAAAATGACAGTTGGCTTACCATCTTTGTCGGTAGTAGTGATGTGGGAAATGATGTCGGTGTGCACATGGCCATCCTTGTCAGTGACAACAGTAGTCTTATCCTTACCATCATCGACTGGGTTAGAGCCACCAGAGCCACCTTCACCAGAGCCACCTGGGTTGGAACCAGATCCACCTTCAGAACCGGAACCAGATCCACCAGAACCGGAACCACCGGAACCAGAGCCACCTGGGTTGGAACCAGATCCACCTTCAGAACCGGAACCAGAGCCACCTGGGTTGGAACCAGATCCACCTTCAGAACCGGAACCAGAGCCACCTGGGTTGGAACCAGAGCCACCTTCAGAACCGGAACCAGAGCCACCTGGGTTGGAACCAGAGCCACCTTCAGAACCAGAACCAGATCCACCAGAGCCAGAGCCACCTGGGTTGGAACCAGATCCACCTTCAGAGCCGGAACCAGAGCCACCTGGGTTGGAACCAGATCCACCTTCAGAACCGGAACCAGAGCCACCTGGGTTGGAACCAGATCCACCTTCAGAACCGGAACCAGAGCCACCTGGGTTGGAACCAGATCCACCTTCAGAACCGGAACCAGAGCCACCTGGGTTGGAACCAGATCCACCTTCAGAACCGGAACCAGAGCCACCTGGGTTGGAACCAGATCCACCTTCAGAACCAGAACCAGATCCACCAGAGCCAGAGCCACCTGGGTTGGAACCAGATCCACCTTCAGAGCCAGAGCCACCTGGGTTGGAACCAGATCCACCTTCAGATCCGGAACCAGATCCACCAGGAGATGGGGTTGGTGACTGGTATTGGGTCAAAATGACAGTTGGCTTACCATCTTTGTCGGTAGTAGTGATGTGGGAAATGATGTCGGTGTGCACATGGCCATCCTTGTCAGTGACAACAGTAGTCTTATCCTTACCATCATCGACTGGGTTAGAGCCACCAGAGCCACCTTCACCAGAGCCACCTGGGTTGGAACCAGATCCACCTTCAGAACCGGAACCAGATCCACCAGAACCGGAACCACCGGAACCAGAGCCACCTGGGTTGGAACCAGATCCACCTTCAGAACCAGAGCCAGATCCACCAGAACCGGAACCACCAGAGCCAGAGCCACCTGGGTTGGAACCAGATCCACCTTCAGAGCCGGAACCAGAGCCACCTGGGTTGGAACCAGATCCACCTTCAGAACCGGAACCAGAGCCACCTGGGTTGGAACCAGATCCACCTTCAGAACCGGAACCAGAGCCACCTGGGTTGGAACCAGAGCCACCTTCAGAACCGGAACCACCAGAGCCAGAGCCACCTGGGTTGGAACCAGATCCACCTTCAGATCCAGATCCAGATCCACCTTCACCAGGTTGTTCTGGTGCAACGTATTTGATTGTTGAGTAGTATGTGATTGGATTACCATTAACATCAACAGCAACAACCCTGCTAATGATATCAGTTTCTGTTGTTGTATCGTCCTTTCTCGTAATTGTGTAGAGAGGTGGTGGAGTGTAGATTGTAGTTGTACCAATAATGGGCACTTTGCTCTTATCGTATGTAGAGTAGAAGGAGATTGTTTGAGTGAAACCGTATTCGTTGGTTGTCTCGTATGCATCAGGAACTTTGAATGTGTATAGTGGGATCTCGACACAAGGTTGACAAATGGATGGAGGGCCCTGTGGTGGGGCACCATTGTATCTAATAAAGTTGTTTCTGTAACGCTTACCCTGAATATAAGTCTCACCTACTTTCTCAAATAATGTTTCGTTGTAACCTGTACCCACAACAACAGTAAAACTTTGTAAACCAACATAACCAATTGTGAATGTTAAAATACCGGTAATACTATTGTATGAGAATGACTGAATTGGGTAATCAGGATATAGTAAACCATTACCATTACCAAGACCAGCGATTGGCATGTTTTGACCGTTGCTGACAGCCAAAACGGAAGATCTTTCGGTAAGATAAACAGTTTGTTGTTGAACGTTTATGTCGTGAATGTTGAATAAGGAATGAGCACCAATAGAAACACAGCCAACACCTTGAATTGGGTTGACCAAGTCGAAGCTAGTGTTCGTCAAACAAATGGTACCGGTATTGTACCAGGTCTTGACATTGTTACCGATTTTTAACTGTTGAGGTTTTAGAGAATCGGTACCCAAAGAATAGATAAGACCGGTATTTGTAACCGATGTACCAGATATATCAAAGGTGTCACCTTGGCTAGATGCAAACATTATGCTACCTGTATTAGTAAAACTACCATCATAAATCTTGAAATGACCAGCAGATGCACTCTTTCTGTCATCAACGACAACTGTACCATCATTTTGGAAAACAAAGTCGACAAAAAAAGCATGAGCAGAGTTAATATTGAAACCTTCCAAGTTATTATTGATATAGTAAAGAGCACCACCTTTATTGACTCTAATGTTTTGATACAGTGGCACAGTATTCATATCTTGAAAAGCAAGATATGCTCCATCTAAAACAATATAACCTTTGTCATATCCAACAGGGTTATTTCCTGTAGTAATAGTGTTCCTTTGCACAACAGCTTGTGAAACAGCATGAGTAACAAGGAAGAAAAATCCTGTTAACCATGTAATCCATGGGGGCAATGGTGATCTCGTCTTCATATTGAAAACCACCTTAAATTAGCAAACACGGAAGTTTTAGCGAAGTATAATTTTCTTTTTTATCCTTGAAAGTAATTCTAGTTCAAAGATCAAAATTTCAAACAATTGATGTGTTTGAAAACTAGTTTGTGTTACTAAGTTGGTATTGTATTTATGTTATGAATTAGAATTGACGATTAATGTTGGATAATATATTTGAAAAGTGCTCACCTTTTATACTTTTTGCTCCCACAATGAACTAGGTTTATTCATTAAAATGTTCTGTTCTAATGTACAGTTTTTGGAGGGGAAATGATACTTCTAACAAACACACCACATTAAAACTCATGTAGAAATCTCATAATGTTTGTTAGGATGGCTATAAGCGTGTGTGTTACACTAGTCTCCTCGTCATATGAATGCTGAAGAAACAAGAAAGAAAACAGTTCTCGGTAATAAGTAGTTGGTAGAACTCAAATTGCCAGATAGCTCTTGGCTAGCTACTAATTTTCAACCAAGCTGGCTAGATGTAACGTCTATTGTAATTGCCGTAAGTGCTCAAAAATAGTGGCATTCTAAAATTCATTTTAAGCCCTCTGCACAGTTTAACTTGCGAGTTATTCTTGAGTAGCCATCTGGCGTTATTTCAAGTTGTACACGACACCAAATACAATTTTGATCCTCTTAACACAAAATGCGTAAACAAGGAAAATGAATACGCAAGGCATATTCGTATTTCAGCTCTCGGCAATGTGTCACACTGAAAAGGTAAATCCCCAGTTCTTAGTAAATGTCATTCAAGAACCACAATCGCTGGGTACTCTAAAATTGTCTTGTTCTAAGTCTTAACAGCATGTAACTAGTCTTTTTTAATAAGAACACGCAGCCCTTTAATACAGGATTTGCATTCAATATTCAAAACAATATCGCGGCGGAATGTCTACCCTCACAAACCAGCATTGTTTAGTGGGTTTAACTGTAGTAACTATTTCAGTGCACAATCTATTATCTCAATCTTAATTGTGATACATTACTGTCTTCCATATTGTTTTTTAAATTACCATGACAAACCGAGATATTCGAGTATATGTGTCCTGAATATGTGTTCAATTCAATCATTCCTCCTTCAAGAAAGTCATAGAGGCTACCAGCATCCACGATAGGAAGCAAATCATTTTAATGTTAGACATTGGCGTTGCTTCAATAGGTAAACGAAAAAAAAAAGAAGACAACTGAAATCACTGTCTTCGTGTCCCTCTCTACAGAGAAGGCCAAGTATACCTGCCACTCCCTACAATATCTTCAGCCTTTACATAATAATTTATTTGGTAAATCGACGGCACATTGCAGGCCCACAGAAATCTACACAACAAACTAAAAGGCTGCTCAAACTGGAAACAATGTTGTTGCCACTTGTCCTTTCCCCATTTGTTGTCTCCTGTTTCCTACGAGCCGTCCCTGATTCTTCCTTCGCTAGGGAAGTTGTGTTCTTAGGGGATGATCCTTTTCAACTTAGCTTTAATGTGCAAATCCTTTTTCCAACTTACAAAACCGAGCGATGATGACTTACAACCAAGATTTCCAAGAAAAAGAAGTACAATCAGATTCGTCCTGTTCTACGTTTTCTGTTCTCGAAAGAGCAAGGAGCTGATTGAATTTAATGGAAACACATGCGCAGTACTGGACTCAGAGGGGCGATGCACTAATCTGGCTCACTATTTCTCTTTTGCAGTACATAATCACTTAAAAGGGAAGATATAAGTTGCAGTATATTTTAGCCAATTTCTTGTGTAAGTCTCTAATATCTCAGTTATCGCCGCATAAGGAAAAGGACTGGACCAGCGGAATGTCTCATATTTCAATTTTGTAAGATTTTCCAAAATAGTTGATGCAGTTGTTCTTTTCGGGAAGAATAGCTTACGGCATTCAAAATGTTCTTAACTGTATCAATGCGGTAAGCCTATTATTAGGTGCTTTAATAATTAGATGAAATGTTGGATAGGACACCTGTAAAATTGAACCGTTGAAATACCTAATTGCAAAAAAAAACGTTACATATCTGTGTCATATCTTTCAATAAAATAAATTAATTGGCTAGTCGTGTATATTCCAAACATATAGAAGAGAAAAACATGATTATGAGAAATATGTACTAACAAAATTAGGTCGGACTTACAGAAAGGACTTGAAATCTATCGGTATATAATTTTCAAGACATCTATTTTTTTGGATTATTTTTCTTTAGCATGATTTACCTACATCGCACTACGTGTACTTTAGGTGAAATCTTACTAACTGGGAAAATGCTACAACACAATGATTTTTAATTACAAATGTAGATTTTGATTATATATCAAATACGGAAAGGTTTTAAAAACAGTTATTCTTTCCAAGGGTGAAGTAATTCAAATAGTGCTTGTTTGTTTCTTTAACATATTATTGAAGGTTTGTATTACTTAAAAAAAATTGTTGAACATCTACTGGAGTCGCTCTTGACTAGCTATTTTATTTTTAGCTATTGCCTAAATTTTTGGTTCTTAGTCACAATTAAAAATTGAAAAGCAAAGTAAATTATGGCATTTTGTAAATAACTTTTTGTGATTTTAGGAAAATAGTGCTATTGGCCTCTCAATACCTATTTTTGGGATCTGGATTGTCATCATATTGTTTCTGAAATATTAAAGAATATCTCCAAATAACGAATCATATGGGCTTTCTTTATTTATTCAACTCCAATACTAAACTATAAAAAGTCCTCATTTGTTCTAACTCCACATTTGTTCTATCATCACCCTTGATAAAGAAATAAACTTGGTAAAATTACTTTAAAATTTGATAGGCTTGAGATTGCGCGGTCCATTGTTTAATCTTCAAAAAAACGCGAAATATCATATACTTAGAATAAATCGTGGGTATGTCATAGGCATATTTTTTGTCAGCTTATATACTTGATTCCACATCTCTGATATTTGTTGAAATTATTGTAATAATAAGGTAGCAAATTTTCTAAAAATTTTCCATTCCAATTTTACAATAGCAAAATCATCTTCAATTTGTACAGTCATTGATATTTCGTGACTTTTTGAGTACATACTGATCGACTATACAAAAATACTCAATCCGAGTATCAAAGAATACTACATGCGGCTCAATATAACTATCATGACTTGAGAGTAAATAAAATGGGGGATATAAATGTACTACCATTGATAGGGTTATTTGCGTCCGACTCGAAATATTCTCTTCGAATTAAATTGATAGACAACTGATTGGATTGAAATATTGGTACTTGAAAGTTTGAAAGGATTTAGCGATATTGAAATTTTGATGTTATAGTAAATGATCAGTAAGTAACTTACAATTGACTCTGGTGAAAACCATTATTGTAGTTGCTTGTTTATTTCCTCATTTCTTGAAAAAAAAAGGTATGAGCAAATTGACTAACATGGTGGTTAAATTTAACACCTATAAGCTGTAAAAAAAATGGTATATCATGTTGTTTAGTTGGTCTATTTCAACGTATGTTTAATGATAGCGTAAATTACTGATTTTAATTGTTACATGTGAAGGTTTAGAACATGCACGTATAAATTTATTTGTAGATGTAGCATATGGAACAGTAAAATTGAATACTTATGAATAAGGTTATGATGTGAAGATTTAGCGTAGTAGCTTTCTAATCCCTGCTTTAATTTCATTTTAGATCCTCTATTGGAAACCAAACAATATTTGCCCGATTAGAGATTATACAGTTATTTCATTGAAATAATTTTGGACATTACTATTATATAGTTGTCAGGAATAATATATCGGAGTACTATAAGCGTGTTCATCGAATCATTGTTTGTTCGTGACGAAAGTTCCACAGATAAAGTAAGATATTTATGAGCTTTAAGTATGGTAGCTTCTGAAGGAGAGTTTATCAGCTAGTTATTGGGTAATGAAACATTGAATAAACAGTCATTTCGCCTTTCTAGTGAAGAAATTTATAGCAGTTATTGCAGTCTGTATAGTTTTTTACATTTTTTTTGTTTTTTCTCCATTATATGGTTACTACTACATAAAATTTAATACCAATACGTACATTAACTTGACTCAATTATGGACATCCAAAAAGTATACTGTAGTATTTTTTATATCCGGTCTTTCTGCACTATGAAGAAATATAGTTGTTTTAAAGTTCAACTTTATATGTCTCTGTTACACTCTTTTTTACTGTAAGAAATAAAGGAGTGATAGCTTGCAGGTTCAAATGACTTTTTTAATTTTATTGTTTATTTTGGTTTTTATTAAATTATTTTTAATGTTTTGGTTAATTTGTTCAATTTTACATAGAAACGGCTTGTGATTTAAATTTTAAACTATAATGATGAGAATGAACTTTAATATATTAATCCTACATTATCAATGTTGATTAACTAAATATCAAATAAATCATCAATAGTATTATTGCTATCCAGAACACTAACCTATTATTATTCCTTTTCATGCATTATTTTTCTAGATTGATTAATTCTATCCATGCTATTATTAAGTTACAGTTTCTAGACTGTATGACTGTTTTGATATCTTTCCCAGTTTAAAAACTTGATAATTTGTTAAAGCTATAACTCTACATCTCTAACTATATGTGACTAATTTAGACGGATCCAGCGCTTCATTTTATAAGATAAACCTGACAGCATCACAGCAATTTTTAGCCGGGTAATTGTATCTTACAATGGCTCTGAAAAATCAATTCTAATTTTGTAAATGAAGAATGAACATAATAACCACAAGGTCATCGATTAGGTAAAATAATTGGGTTTAAAAACCATTTCGATTGATATTCTCTTCACTCATAGAGCTATATACCACTATTGTCAGAATTTACCAAAAATTGCTAACCATCCTTTACTAAAAGATAACATTACACACCGAGATAGATTGACTAATCAAACATCAAATGGCATATGGAGTAAACAGCACCCAAATCAATCTATTGTCTAATTTTGAAGAGACCCAATATAGGCCATACAAAATTGCTCATCAATCAGTTTCTCTTGATGTGGATATTTATAATCATTGCATAAAGGGATCAGCTACTATTATTCTGATTCCTCTTATTCAGCACCTGGAATATGTCACATTTGACAGTAAAGGCTTAGAAATAACAGACGTCACAATTGAGTCAAGAAGGTCCGCTAACTATATATATGATGATCAACAAAGAACTCAGCATGAGGTATACCTAAATTCTTTCAATGACAACCTTTTACTGAAAAATAACTCTGTACATCAAACCGAATTTTATAAGGAACGAATTGGAGAATTTAATTTTGCACCATCTGAAGAAACAAGGTCGCAAATAACAATAAAAATACCGTCGAATATCAAGATAACCTTACAGAACACAGATCTACTCTCAAATTATACACCAATAACTCCTACCATCAAAGGAACACCAGCTTCTCAAGAGGCGGTCTATACTCCTTTGACAATAAAAATAGACTACAATGTAGACCAGCCCACTTCTGGTTTGGTTTTTGATACTGTATCCAAAACTGAACCTGAACTGTGGAATGTTTTTACAACTAACTCAGAATTGGGCTGTGGGGGATCTAATTGGATGCCATGCATAGATACTTTAGATGAAAAATGTACTTGGGAGATCGAAATTAGTATCCCAAAAACTGTTCATGACCTTATTAAAGAGAGTAGGTTAAGTGAAAGGTTAGCACGGAATAAATTTGGAAGTGATGATACAAATACGTTATTATCCAAAGCAGCTCAAGAAGAGTATGATGTTGAAGAAAACCTAGCTAACGAGGAAAGTGAAAATGATAATCAAAACCCATTGAGTAGAGAGATCATGGTAGTTTGTAGTGAATATTCTACAGTGAAACAGCTGCTTCATCCCACTGATATTAGCAAGAAGATATTTTCGTTTCAAATTTTCAACCCCATATCAGCACAGTTTATAGGATGGTCTGTTGGTGCATTTGATACATGGCAGTTACCGCAATTATCTAAAAAGCTTGACTATGACGAAGATTTAGATGAGATCAGAAAAATTACTGAGAATAGCAATTCCGGCGAAGATAATATTGGGATTCAAGTCTTTACACTCCCCCAATCTGATGTCACGGAAACATTAATCATGAATAGCTGTCTGATATTACAGAGAATTATGGACTTCTACTCAAAAGAGTTTGGGTCCTTCCCATTTTCATCATATTCCCTCCTATTTCTTCCGTGTGCTTCACAAAACACTCTAGATTTTGCTGGATTTAGTATTTTTAACACCCGTTTGTTGTATCCACCAGAAATTATTGACCAGATGCTACCAACAACAGAAAAGCTAGCAATAGCGTTGGCGAACCAGTGGTCTGGAGTAAATATCACTCCAGCAACCTTAAATGACTTTTGGTGCTGTAAAGGTATTGCTGGGTATATGCTTTTAAGGGTCATAAAGAGCATTTTTGGTAACAACATGTTTCATTACAAACTGAAAATGAATACAACCAAGATCATCGAGGAAGATATAGGGAGACCGCCATTGGGAAACTCATTCAGCCAACTGTCATCTAGGCCAATTTCATTACGATCTTCAGCTTTTGATTTTATGGAGTTGAAAAGCCCCATGGTGTTACATATTCTTGACCGTAGAATGACTAAAACCGAAAGATCCTTTGGCATGTCCAGGGTACTTCCAAAAATATTTCTACAGGCAATGTCTGGGGATTTGCCAAACAATGCTCTCACATCATCCCATTTTCAGCATGTCTGTGAAAAAGTGAATAAGAGTAAACTAGAGAGCTTTTTTCAGCAGTGGGTTTTTGGTTCAGGTGTACCATTGTTTAGAGTTACTCAACGTTATAATAAGAAGAGAATGGTGGTAGAAATGGGTATCAGACAGTATCCTAATGATACCGACGAGTTCAATGAGCGCGATAAGAGTAAGATGGAAGATTTCTTCAACAAAGCACTAAATTCACTTGAAGCACCAAATGTCAACAAAACATCTATATTTACAGGTTCGATTACAATAAGGATTCATGATTCTGATGGTACACCTTATGAACATTTAGTAGAAATTAAAGATATCTATACTAAAGTAGATATTCAGTACAACACCAAACATAAGAAAACTAGAACAAGGAAAAATAACGAAGATGAGAAAACAAACGAAATTAGATATGGTACTTCAGGTAGTGACATTTCTTTTCTTGGGAATATACTTGATAGTGATACTGAGTGTCAAGATTGGGGTATTGTTCACCCAAGCACTGCTGTAGCTAACCTTAGTGGGGATGAAATACAGAGGGCCAATGAAAGTACTATTGAATGGATTAGAATTGATTCAGATTTTGAATGGCTCTCAACCTTTTATCTCAACCAGCCAGACTATATGTTTGCTACGCAATTGCAGAGAGATAGTGACATCGAAGCTCAACTGGAGAGTGTTTGGTATTATGGTGATAATCTAAGAGATAATATGGCGTCAAAAATATATGCATCTCAATTGGTTCGGACCTTAATGGATGATCGGTATTTTTATGGAATTCGAATTCAGGCTGCGAAAGCACTCTCAAGATATATTTGTAAACCAACTGACAAAGAACATTTTCTCCTTACCGCATTTAAAAAGTTGTATTGTCATGATAACTCAAATATTCCCAAGTCAAATAACTTCTCCAGTTTTCAAGACTACTTTCTTCAGATGTCCTTCCCATCCTTAATTGCTGAAATTAAAGATCATTACGGTGACACACCTGACTATATTGGAGATTTTCTTCTCGACATCCTGAGTTATAATGACAACTCTGAAAACTCTTATTATGATACTTACTACTTGTGTGAGATTTTTGAATTCACTGTCAATTGTTGTAATGGCGGAAACAGAAACCATGTAACAAAACTTATGGAACAAATACGAAGATATGAACATTTAGAATATTGGTCTCCTAGCTATAATTTAGCCCTAACATCAAAACTTATAGAAATTAAATGCAGGCTACATACAAAGGGAATATTACTTTTTGAGCCAATTGATTATGAAATTTTGACCCGACTAGCTGGAGAAAGATGGATGGGTGAATCCCTGATCTGTTACTCAAACTTCGGTATCGCAAAGGATTTTCATAATAAAATTAACCCGGTTAGAATATCTACTTTTGGTGGAGATAAGGTTATACATTTCAGAGAAGGAACACAAGATGCCTCACTCGCTGCAATGAAAAGTTTACTGGTTTGCTGCTCTTTGAAAAACCAAGATATATTACAGCTCTTTGCTATGTTCCTTGCATTTGAGAAAGATGCGTATCTCAAAGAGGGTTTTGTGCATTCATTCATCTTTGCTATGAATACATGCATAACGACAATGAAAAACCAGGATATAATTGATGATTTTAAAGAAATTTGTGAGTCATGCTGCCCAGAAGATAATATTGAGCAATTAAGTGACGAAGAAGAATTATCAACCATGCGTGTAGTAGATGATTTTGCAGAAGAAAGAACGGAGAAGAGAAAGAGGGCCTTCAAAAGCGGAATCTATGGTGTTCTTCCCTGGTTTATACATCAATTTGAATCATACTTACCGTTACAAGAAATTTTATGGGAAGTTTTGCATAATCCATTGATTACAACCTACCAAAGAAAGGTACTATTTGATATTGTCAATATCATGTATACTCAAGAAGACGAGTACAAAGTAACACTATCATTACCTCGAGCTAAGAAATTGACCGCCACAACATTGGAAGATCATAAAGTTGTAATTAAGAGAAAAGGTGCTCTTAGACTTCATATCAACACAAATGCAGCTTCATATAACAAAAGTTCTAATGCACCTACATCTAATAAAATCAAACTGAAAACCGGATCAAAGCCAAATATTTCAATCAATACCATCAAAAACTCCGTCGTAGCTTCAAAACCGGCAAAGAAAGCAAAGAAACCCACAATCAATAGGGTAGGTTTACTTCCCATTCGATTTGTTAAAATTAGCGGTGAGAATGTAGAACTTTCGTCTGTTCCCTTCAGCAAGAATATTGAATTCTTAAAGGTTAACAAAAGGACATTTCAACTTAAAATAAAGACCAAACCAAAGAACCAAATATAACAATGAGCATGGCCTGTTTATAAGAGATAAGTTAAAAGTTAGGCTGAATGGTTCACTTTTTAAATGAATTACAGGGATACATATAGCAGAATTACTATTTAGCCTTATTTAGATCTTTTGTACACCTTATTCAAGAACGCAGTCAATACTTCTTTCTTAAAACCACGACTTTCATCAACTTGACTAATTTTATCTTTTAGCTCGTTTGCAACAGCTTCCTCATATTCACGGTAATGAATATCAATTTTTAATTCACTGAAAACAGCCTTACAGTTAGCTTCACATTTTGAATCCTTGCGGCCATAATTTTCATCTAAGATCTTTCTTTGCTTCTCATTTGCCAATTCCAAAGCTTTATTAATAATCCATGAACACTTATTATCTTGAATATCTGTACCAATTTTTCCAATTTGCTCTGGTGTACCGAAACAATCCAAATAATCATCCTGAATTTGGAAGTATTCCCCCAATGGAATCAGAACATCTTGGGCCTGCTTCAGATCCTTCGAATCGTTAACACCAGCGGCATACATAGCAAGAGCAACTGGAAGATAAAAGGAGTAGTAAGCAGTTTTGAAGATCACAATAAAGGAATGTTTGGAAAGCGAAAATTTAGATAAGTCAACATGATCTTCTGGCGCAGTAATTAAGTCTAACAATTGACCCAACTCAGTTTGGAAAGTAACATCATGGAACAATTCTAACAAATCAACATAATATGAGTCATTTCTGAAATGTTTCTTCAATAGTACATATATGGCAGCCTCGAGCATAAAAGCATCATTAATTGCTATCTCATTGACATTTTTAACACGGTACCAACATGGTTGACCTCTTCTTGTAATGGACTTGTCCATCATATCATCGGCTACTAAAAAGTAGGCTTGTAATAACTCAATGCACCATCCCAATAGAGCAACCTTCTTATATTCATCATCTTTCATATCATCAACGGACTCATATCCTTTAAGAATGGCATAAGTATCAACCACTGACAAGCCTCGGTTCAACTTACCACCAGGTGTGTTGTAGTTTAGTGAAGATTCGTACCACTCAATAGCCTCCTTAGGCATACCATAACCCTCAAGCACAACTCTCAATTCTTGGACCAATGATGGGAATTCATCAACAAATTTTTGTCTACTTGCTTCTTTTGACATGGCTACTTGTTTCTTTGCTGATTATATTAAATTATCCTATCGATATTAGTAAGCGTTCTGGCCGCACAATTGACTTTGGCTTATTAAAAATCTCAATTTATCGATTAATAATATATTCAATTATAGCAATTAATTGTATTTACAAGTTACCGTTTCTCTCGAAACAATATTTCCATGTCGTTCAGCTTTTATATATTTCGAATTTTTGTTCGTACGCTGCAATCGGAGTTAAGACGTTTTTATTTTATATCGAGGGCCCAATTTCATTTAGCTAAAGGAACAAAACCGATATCGAACTAAATACAACGCAGCTTTGAAGTAAGTATATATTATGGGATCACTATTTTAGCAAAGCCATTTACTTCCTCCTCACCAGTTAAGAATAAAGAATTGCTGTTGACGATAGTTCAAACTAACTCATTTAATGACTAAGCCCACCCACGTCTTGAAGACATAACATGTACATTTGCGAATCGCTTTTAAATATTATATTATACACCTTTATTAAAAATATTAGTATTCATGATACAGTATAGCATCATACAAGATTCAGATTTATTTTCCTCTCATCTTCCTTTCATGATTTGAATAAGAAAAAAAAAGAGAAATCAAAACCGAGTTAAATTCAGTTCGTAATTTTGCTTATTTCCGTCTACTCTTGCCTGGTCTGCTCTTCTTTCTGTTAGAAAAACCAGTTATATCAGCAGATGATTGTGCATCATTCTTTCTCTTGAATCGTTTCATGCCTCCTTGACCGTATTTCGAATTCTTGGCCTGTCTTTTGGAGTTAGGCTTCCTTCTCTTGGTATCCTCAGATTCTGTTGCTTCTTCGATACCAACATTGAAATCCATATCTCCAATCTCGTTATGCTTTCTCTTTTTCTTCAGGTTTTTAATTCTGTCCAAAGTTTCTCTCTTCTCCAATTGACGTTTCTGTAGCGTCGCAACTTGAACTTGTTTACCAAACTTTTTCAATTGCCTTTGCTTCCTGGCATCCTCACGGGCCTTCTTTTCGCTAGCTTCCTGAACTAATTTATGTTTAATCTTATCCATGTGCTCATCATTCTTAACCATTTCGGCAAAGTAGTCCAATGGTCTCTTAAATGGAACTTTTAACTTCTTTAATTTTTCCTTAGCTATGTTAACCGCATCCAAACTTTGCTTATAGAAGGCTAATTCTCTCTCAGTGTCATCATAGATATCTTTCATACCCTCATCAGTATTAGTCTCAGATGTGACAGACTGATGCTCTTCAAATGAATGTTTTGCCCAAGGAAGTTGTATACGTTCTAATGAATGTTTTAGTGCTTTAGTGTTATTAATCGTCAATTTATGGTGAGGTACAACGTCTGCGTCAGAATCGAATTCGACATCTGATAATGGTACATCTTCTTCTTCATCTTCTTTATCTTCATCATTTTCTGAATCCATTGAAGCATCGTCTGGCTTAGAAATGGCAAAGTCTTCTTCCTCTGAATCACTATTTTCCAATCTATCTAGATCAATTCTGGACTTAGACACATCCTGTTGGTCAGCATTTGCATCATCCGTAATTAAGCTTTCATTATCACCACTCTTCTTCAAGGCTTTCTTCAACTTTCGCTTCTCTTTCTTTGATAGCGTCTGACTTACATACTCTTCATTATCGTTCTTTTCTTCGTCCGATTCTGATTCTGATTCTGATTCTGGCTTTAATTCAGGTTGCTTTCCTTCAATACGTTTTTGAGAAGCTTGCGTTGTTTTCTTCTCATTAACTTTGCCTTTCTCATGAGCCAGCAGCTCTTTCAACTTGAAACCTTTAGCCATGCTGTCTTTTTTTAGTTTCTCAATGATACCTATTATCTCTATAATAACTAACTAGTAGACTGAGTACAAATGGCAACACAGATATAGTGTAAAAGAAGATTCCAAAAATGTATGTATAGGGACAGCTACAGTTATGGTTTGCAATAACAGCAATGTTATATAAGAATTTACTATTACATGTTGTCTTACCATACAAGGTGAAAAAAAAATTGCGATGAGCATCTCATTTTGAATTTCTTGAAAATAAAATTTTCACAAAATTTTCGCTTTCACTTCAGAGCATTTCCGTACAAGTTTCAAAATCGGTTGTTAAGCCCTAGGGCATCTAAAAAACTCACTTGTAAGCTGTACAGATAGATGATCAAGTGTGACAAAGAGAGGTTGTGGGTATAAGTACAGACATATAACAATGAAGAGATAATTGTGCATCTAAAAAGTTATGGTTAGTGATTATAAGAATCATCATGTTTTACTACTTAGTTCAAAACACAATACCGAATTGTGAGACAATGTACATGGCAAGAACTTAGAACTATTTATCATGTCCTTCATTCCTTCGCTATGGTAGATATTCGAATTCAAAATAATCTATGTAGATTGTGATTTTTTGAACTTAAAATGAGTTAAGTCCCTCCAAATACTTGGCAGCCTGCTGGAAATTGAATGCAAGTAGTAATGTGAATCCGTTGAATAAACAAATCTTAGTTATTGTGGTCAATATCTCCTCTGAGTTTGTGTCATCTACTACAAAGATGAGAATATTATCATTATTCTGTTTGAGCGGTAACATTCTTCTTTCAATGTAATCAACATACAACTTATGGTAAGACAAAGTCAAGAATAATATTGACCTATTCTTGACTTTATAATCATAATAGATTTTTTGTCCAGGTTGTGGCTTACTATATCTCCAATTAGTGTTCTTCAAGTGATTCAATAGCGGATTCTCTTTCTGCGTTGTACTTACCAATACTGTCTTTCCTACGTTAGTGGAACCCGATTGTGTAGTTATAAATGGCCGCTTTTTCCCATTCTCTTCAGGCTTTGTTGAATCATCATCATATCTTTGTTGATTAAATGCATTAATGACATTTTTATTTCTGGGGGGTACTTTATTAGCATCTTGTACATGGGCCGTCTGCTTCCTCTCACTAAAATTTGTATCTTTATCCTTAGTTACTAGGTCGTTGTTCCTGTCCTTATCAGCAGCACCCTCTTTCTGTTTTCTCAGCCTCTCAACGCCAGCAAGAATACTTTGGAATGATGTGCTGTCTGTATTATTCATCTTATACTTCAGATAGATCTTAATACCTTATTAAGTTGTTTTATTACCCTACCTTCTCACACTTTTCTAGTAAATCAACACTTCTAAGGAGGTCTCCCTTCATATCGTCTTATATTAAAGTACAACTTTTGATCAATCCTCGGTAGAATTCAATCAGACTGATCCCACACTAGGAAGTTATTTAGGAGTTTTTCTTTATATTGGCTTTCAAACAACAAAGCAGGCCTATTGTTAGATATACTTTGTTCAGATTAATACACCTATGAAATGCCATCAATGTTACCAGTTTTCTAATATTGCATAAGACAGGTAGGCATTGTACATTTTTATGGAAGCCCTTGAACAGTGTACAAAATCAAAAAAAAAAAATGTGCAAAATGACTTTACTTCAATGTAAATTAAATGCAATCGACTCTCATAGAGACAGACATAAGTATACTATAGTTTCTCATTGGGTAAATTGAATTGGTAATACCGATAGTAGAACAACAGGTCAACACCAAAACTCCCAAGAAAGATGTCTAGCTCCCAAAAGAGTATGTTAGAATATTTTCCATAACTAATTCCATTATAATTATTCATAGTTGCCCTTTGAAAATACATGCAACTTAGTAGCTCAGTGACCATTTTACTAACGAAATTCATATCTCATATTCAACATGGAATTGGAGCTGCTAGCTTACATTGACTGACGGAGATTCCTCGCTGGAAAGCTCCAGGAAATCTTGTCCCAATTTTGTTTTGATTATCCTGACATAATACTTGCAGTTGATCTGAGCACACTAAGTCCCGAACAACTAGCTGTTGTGAAGCAGCAGTTGGATCAAGAGATTCAGCATTTTAGCCAATCTCTCCAAGCACTAAATATGGCGAAGACGAAGTTTACGGAATGCATAGAGGATGTGAAACAGGTATCATCGATATCGGAGAGCAAAAAACAACCAATTTTGGTTCCTGGATCGTCCTCCTTATATATTCCTGGTGAGATTGTTGAGAGTAAATCTTTCATGGTCGATATCGGAACCGGTTACTACGTGGAAAAGACCGATGAAGAAGCTATAGCATTCTACCAAAAGAAAATTGACAAATTGAACACTGAATCTGTTCAAATTCAAAATATTATAAAGGAAAAGAGTCAAACATCATTATTATTGGAAAACCAAATCAGACAAGCTGCGTTTACACGTCATGAACAAAGCAAGGCAAATGAAACAAAGGCATAGATTAAATAATGCGGCACCGTCATCAATATTTCTTAAACTATGGCTAAGTGCGCATCACTTAAATACAAAGAGAGGAATATATGCTGCGATTGATACCAGTTTATAGATCATCATCAAATTTTGAGGGAACTTGTAATAGTTTTATATTTTCATGAAAACATTTCTTACATAACATTGACACTATTTACTATTTCTCTCAAGTGAAACTATCAGCTCGCTCTTCATTTTTCTTTGGAATGCGCGAGGCAAGTTCCTCGATGAGATTGACGTGATGGATCAGGAAATAAGCAGAATTACATATGAATTCTATACTCCACATTGTTCCTACAGTAGTAAACAGATGTACGTTTTACATACGAGATCTGTGGCCAATATATACTAACACAGCTGGATTATAGGCATAAACATATTGCTTAAACTCATCACAAGTGTGCACCATTTCTGAAACACATTATTCCGGTTACTTCTACTTGATCTACTTTTATATGGTACACCAATCGAAAGAGAATTCATAATAAATCAGGAGGGATCCTCTTTTTATTCAATTAATAATCCACCAAAGTGATATGGTTACCAAACCTTCAAATAATTTAAGAAGAGAGCATGCATGGCTAAAGGAATCGAATATATTTGATAATGACAACGACATATTGTTAAGCACACTAAGCAAACAATTCAGCAACAAGAAATCTACTAATGAATATAACAAAGGAAGCTTGATATTGCATAATGTGGGAAGTATAGATCGCAATGAGACAATAGAAGTCCTTGATGATGATGACGACGACGACATCATATTAACGAACATATCCAAACCAAATGAATTATCAAAAGCGCAAACAGCTACATCGTCACCAAAAAATAACATGAATCCTAACGCCATGAATGAAATCCAAAGGGATGTATCGACATCGAGTCGTGTAGTTAGTACCTATAGTGGCTCAAACTCTTATCCATTCATTAGCAAAGATATCTCACCAAAAAATGTATGCAACTCTTCAGATAACTTGCAACAGAGCACATTACCAGTAGTATATAGAGATAAGAGATCAAATAAGACCATAGACGGCTCTATACCAGTGTTGAAAGCCCAAAAAGAACTGATTGAAAAACTCAAAGACTTAAATAAAACGATGACTTCTAAAATTGATATCATGGAATCCACTTCCCTATCTGAGGATTATAAGAGAACTCAAATAAATACTGTCATTAATCCGAAAATCAAATCCAAACAATCAGAAATCGAAAAAATGGAACTAAAGCTCGAAACTTTATCACAAGAAATCAAAAATATCTCCCATATACTTTCTGACATCAGCAATGAAAATGTCTTCAAAAACATTAAATCACAAAAATTTGACTCCCAAAGAGCCTCCATCACAGCAAATAATAGTCTAACTGATTTGCAAATCAATGAAGGGTTTAACAATAATATCACAAAAAATAATAGAGACTTCAACCCCATACCCGATAATAGTGTTATTAGAGGACAGCAAGTAAACATGTCTTCATTTCAAGAAGAATCTCTGTACATTGACTCCTACAACGAACCGAACACACAGTCAAGGGCGCCATATACCAGACAGATGCGTGACCGACATCAAATTAATTATAGAATACCTGAAGCCGATGAACCATTTGAATATAGGGTAGGTAAACTGCAACCGACTATCGCTTCTGATGACACCACATATGATGCTGAAAATACTGATAACCCAGATGAAGACGGATACTTGACCACCCAAGATGGCGAAAAACATTCTGATGTACATCAAAGTGATCTAGATTTTATAGAGGATAGTCCATCAGAAATTACCCACGATACTGCTTATGTGGAAACAAACAATAATGAGACTTCCAGTAGAATACAAATTATAATGTCATCTCCTAATCGTTTAGATGAATATGGTCCTTCAGTACAATCTCAAATCGACTTGTCTGGTGATTCGTTAGATTCAAATCATAATGTCGGTTATAAAATGGAATACATTGGAGAAAGTGACTTCAATATAAATACAGGAGCTACAAACACTAAACATACCGAAGTTATAGAAAACTTAAGTACGGACTCAGATAATTGGGGAGAAGTCGAGAACCTTACTGATTATGATGCTGAGAGTTTTGATGAAGAACGAGAAAATAAAACCAGAGTATCAGATATTGAAGAATTAGATAATGAACTAGAGATTATTACTGAAAGGAAAATTGGTAATGGTGACGGTTTCATGTTAACTAGTGTAAAGAAAGAAGAATCTGCTATCGTATCACTATCAGAAAGCCATCCTACCTCATTAACTGATGACGAGCTTGAAGAGGATATTTCTCTATTAGGAGTAGCTGAAAACGCTGAATCCCCACCACATACACATATAACAGATGTGGTCTCACCAAACTCTTGGACTAAAGAGGTGTATAAAAAGTTAAAGACTGTTTTCAATCTAACGAGTTTTAGATCTAATCAAGAGGAGGCTATAAATGCGACTCTTAGTGGAAAAGATGTATTTGTTCTAATGCCTACTGGTGGAGGTAAATCTCTTTGTTATCAATTACCTGCAATTGTGAAAGGCGGATGCACCAAAGGAACAACTATAGTCATTTCTCCTTTAATCTCATTAATGCAAGACCAAGTCGAACATTTACAAAAATTAAACGTTAAGGCAAGAATGTTAAGTTCGAAGGGAGGAATAGATGAAAAAAATCATACATTCAATCTATTCATCAATGGCTTCTTAGATCTTATTTACTTGTCTCCTGAAATGATTAGTGTTTCAGAGAAGTGTAAGACAGCTATAGAAAAATTGTATCAAAATAAGCAACTAGCCAGAATTGTGGTTGATGAGGCTCACTGTGTTTCTAACTGGGGTCACGATTTTAGACCCGACTACAAACAGCTGTCATACTTCAAGGTACAATATCCTGACATTCCAATGATGGCTCTCACTGCAACCGCCAGTGAACAGGTTCAAATGGATATTGTATTCAATCTGAAATTAAAGGATAACCTATTTCTGCGTCAAAGCTTCAATAGAACCAATTTATATTATGAGGTTCGTAAAAAAACCAAAAATACCATTTTTGAAATCTGTGATACTATAAAACAACAGTTTAGAAATCAGACCGGTATAATATACTGCCATTCTAAGAATTCCTGTGAGCAAACTGCCCAGCAAATGCAGCGTAATGGTATCAAATGTGCATACTATCATGCAGGGATGGAGGCTGATGAAAGACTTCAAGTCCAGCGAGAATGGCAGAATGACAATCTTCAAGTCATTTGCGCTACTGTTGCTTTTGGAATGGGGATCGATAAGGCAGATGTTCGGTTTGTATTTCATTTTACAGTTCCAAGAACACTAGAAGGTTATTACCAAGAGACAGGCAGAGCAGGTAGAGATGGGAACTATTCATATTGTATTACTTATTATTCATTCCGTGACGTGCGTACAATGCAAACAATGATTCAAAAGGATAAAAACTTAGATGGCATCAACAAACAGAAACATCTCGATAAGCTACAGCAAGTAACAGCATACTGTGAAAATGATACGGATTGCAGACGAAAGCTCGTTTTATCATATTTTAGTGAAGAGTTTGATCCAATAAATTGTAATAAGAATTGTGATAATTGCCGTAACAGCAGTAGTGTAACTAAAGAAGAGAGAGATGTTACGTCGACCGCAATTTCTATTGTAAAATTAGTACAATCAATTCAAAATCAAAAGGTTACTTTAATCTACTGTCAAAATATATTCAAAGGGTCTAGAAATTCCAAGATTGTTCAGGCAGGTCATGATATGCTTCCACAGCACGGTGCTGGAAAAAACTTGACTAAGTCTGAAATAGAAAGAATATTCTTTCATTTGATTACTAAACGAATTTTACAAGAATATTCAAAAGTTAACAACGCAGGGTTTTCTTCCAGTTATGTCAAAGTTGGTGATGGGTGTAGAGATCTGTTAAATGGAAAACTTCAACTAAAAATCCAGTTTTCAGTGTCGGAAGGGAATTCCAGATCGTCCGCAGGACTTCCTAAATCTAATTCATCAAATACCAATAATTACGACAGATCTTTAACTAAAAACATTACTGCAAATAATGATTCTGAACAACATCTTAGAAATTATGCATATAGTCCCTCTAATTCTGAACGCATGCGAGCAGAAAGCTCAAAACATACCGGTTCCACTCAAGAGGTGAATGACCTAAAATCCGCATATGATCGTCTAAGAAATGCAGCAATAAGTTGGGGATCAAGAATGGTTCCAGCAGTAAATAAATTCATGGACGATAATGTTCTTAGACGACTGGCTGCAATTCTACCTGCCACAGAAGAGGAGTTCATTGGAATAGTTGGCAATAACAGCACTGATTCTAAGAAGTATAAGTATTTCAAAGATATTTTCATTGATTTGCGTAAAAGAAGAATTGAGAGGATGTGTAATTTGTCTTCCAATTTTGCTTTTAATGAGGAGGGACAAAGCCAGATTGATACAATGGAAATCCAGACAACATCTAGGTTTTTTAACAATACCGATGAAAACAAGAATCTAGTCTCCCTAACACCTTATGAACAAAGTACTCAAGTATCTAAAGGTGTTAACGCTAGGACAGCAGGCGGGAAAAAGTACAAGAGGAATTTTAACTATAAGAGATATAGAAACTACAATAAATGGAAGAAATAGACATTTTATATTTTTAATGATCTAAATAGCGCATATAAATAGAAAAAGTTAAAGGTACAGTCTAAATCTCGTTATAACACTCTCCTATATTTTTCGTTCTTGCCTGCTAAATACAAATACTATTAATCAGTGCATATTATTATTATATTCTTAATCTTATTATTATTATAATCAGCCTCGAGGTTATACTTACTACATAAAAATCAAAATGGGTGATATCCTGATCATTCCTCGGCCATCTCTTCAACAGACGGACATGTGCAAATCAAATGAGTGTCCCCAAACTTGTCATCTACACGAGCAACAGTTGGCCAGAATTTGCTAGTCTTTAGGAAAGCAAGTGGAAAGGCAGCTTGCTCTCTTGTATATCCTCTAGTTTCCCAATCTGTAGAGGAGATTAAATCTGATAAAGGATGTGGAGCATTTTTTATCACCATTCCTTCCGGTTTACCCGCGATATAGTCATCAATTTCTTTTCTAATAGAAATCATAGAATCAACAAATCTGTCAAGTTCTTCTCGATTTTCAGATTCAGTAGGTTCAACCATAAGAGTACCAGGTACTGGGAAAGCCAAAGTGGGAGCATGGAATCCATAATCCTGTAGTCTCTTAGCAACATCAATAGCCTCTATTCCCTTTGCCTTAAATTCTCTCAAATCTATGATGAACTCGTGAGCACAATGCTTCACATCTTCACCATTTACAAACATTATCTTATAGTGCTCTTTTAATCTAGCCATCATATAGTTCGAATTCAACGTTGCAATCACTGTAGAAAATGGTAGACCTTCTTCCCCCATCATATTTACATACGCATAGGAAATAGGCAAAACTAATGCGTTACCATATGGCGCAGACGAAACAGAGTCAATAGATTTGTTTGATCCAATCTCAGTAATCATATCTGTAACATCATGTCTTGGTAAGAAAGGGGCCAGATGTTCTTTAACACAAATTGGAGCACCAGCAGGTCCACCACCGCCATGAGGAATAGCAAATGTTTTATGCAAGTTCAGATGACAAACATCAGCTCCTAGATCACCTGGAGATGTTAAACCAACTTGTGCATTCATGTTAGCACCATCTAGATACACCTGACCGCCGCAAGAATGAACAATATCAAATGCCTCCTTGATATCAGGTTCATAAAGACCATATGTGGAAGGATATGTAATCATGACTGCAGCAATATCGTCCTTGTATTTCTCGGCCTTCTCCTTTAAATCAGCCAAATCCAACGCACCGTTCTGCAAACAATTGATAGGAATAACCTTCAAGCCGCACATTGCTGCTGATGCAGGATTAGTACCATGTGCGGAAATTGGTATTAGACACAAATTTCTATGTCCTTCTCCAATATCCTCGAGATAGGATCTAATAACTCTCAAACCAGTATACTCACCTTGAGCTCCCGAATTTGGCTGAAGAGATACACTATGAAATCCAGTAATGGAGCTAAAATCTTCCTCTATTGCCGTTATTAATTCCTTATATCCTTGAACCTGGTCAACTGGTTGGAATGGATGGATATTAGCAAATTGTGGCCATGTAATAGGCATCATTTCAAAGGTGCTGTTCAACTTCATTGTACATGACCCCAGAGGGATCATAGAGTTTGCTAAGGAAAGATCCCTACTTTGCAAATGATGCAAATATCTTAGCATAGCTGTCTCTGTGTGATATCTATTAAAGACAGGATTTTGTAGGAATTGAGACTTTCTTTGCAATTCCTTAGGAAATTCTGGAAGAATTCCAGAATCCTTAATAGAGCTACTTATTGATGAATTCTTCTTTAGATTGCAAAATAGCCTTATCATGTCCTCCAAGTCATCTATGGTTTTCTTTTCATCAAAAGAGATGGATACCGTCCTATTATTGACAGCAAATACATTGGTATTGAATTCTGAAAGCGCTAATTCCAAAAACTGGTCAGCAGTGGTACCTTCCTTAAGTTCAATTGTTAATGTATCAAACCAACTATTGTTCAACAGCTTATGTTCAGAATGTTCACTAATGGCATTTGCTAAAACCGTGGTCATACCGTACACACGCTTAGCAATATTTTTTAGTCCTTCGGGGCCGTGATACACACAGTAGTTAGCAGACACATTGGCTAACAAAGCTTGTGCTGTGCAAATATTTGAAGTGGCCTTATCACGCTTAATGTGTTGCTCTCTGGTCTGCAGTGCCAATCTAAGAGCAGTATTACCGAGTCTGTCTTTCGAAACACCAACAATTCTACCAGGAATTTTTCTGTTTAGCTTTTCTGTAACAGAAAAGAAGGCAGCATGTGGCCCACCATAAGCTAGAGGCACACCAAATCTTTGTGATGAGCCAAGACATATATCGGCACCAAAAGTAGATGGAGGTTCTAGGAGGGTCAACGCAAGTAAGTCCGTTGCGACAGAAAACAAACAGTTACTGGAATGCAAAAGACCAGATATAGTGTTTAATTTATCAGTAGTTGGTATGTTACCATTGGTATCAGGATATTGAACAAGACCACCAAATGAATTATCCAACAGTTCTTTAGAAAGCTTATCCTCGATCTCTTTATTGGACAGCTCATTAAAGTCGATTTCCAAAAGCTCGATATTGAACGGTTTTGCTCTAGTTTTCAGAACAGATTTCGTTTGTGGATGCAAATTCTTATCTATAATGAAATTTAATTTTTGATTTGGAGATGACTTTTTGATCTTTTTAGATTTCAAGGAATGGTATGATAACAGCATCGCTTCACCGGCTGCAGTACCTTCATCCAGTAAAGAGGAATTTGCAACAGGCAAACCCGTCAAATCACTCACCACAGTTTGGAAATTTAAAAGAGATTCCAATCTACCCTGAGATATTTCGGGTTGATATGGTGTGTATGAAGTATACCATTCTGGACACTCTAAGACATTTCTTTGAATCACTGGTGGCAGAATTGTATCATAGTAGCCCTTACCAATATAGTTCTTAACTTTATAGTTATTTTTCTCAGCTATTTGAGCCAAATGGTTTAACATAGCAGTCTCATTAAAGACACCCTTTGGCGAGGACTTAAATTTTAAACCATCTTTCATGCCTAAAATTTTGCTAGGAACCATGTCGTTGACAAAATCGCTTAGATCGTTATAATTAGAATTGACTGTCTTGAGCATTTCGTCCACATCTTTAGGATTAGGTCCGAGGTGCCTTCTTTGAAATGTATCCAATCTATCATTCTTGCTATCCAATGGATCAGCATGATATATCTGTTTGAATTTAGTGCTGGAAACGTCTGTGGCATATAGTCTTCTTAGACCGGTCCAAGAACGCTTAATAGCGGTTCCTTTCAACATGTCGGGTATATATAGTTAAGTTTTTGGTTTTAATTTTTTTTGCAGTTCTTAGTTTTGATTTGCAGTACTTTGAAGTGCAAGTAGTATTATCTAAATTATGAAGTGTCTCTCAATCCACTGTCTTCCTATTAGCTATCGCCGGTGTTAGAGTAGTACCACAAAATAGTTTCTATTTGGTGAATAGCCACATGAATAGAACTATAGAAGGTTACAAAAAAGAGTAAGAGACACCTAGACTCCCAAGTCACTTGAATTAACCAAAAACGTACATTGTTTATATACATATCGTTCTGATTATCTGACAACTGAACTCTTTCTCTTATTTATTTATTTCTCTTCTAATTTTACTCTTTCTTTCAAGGGCAGATAGCACCACTATCCTATTAGAGGTTAAAGTTTCACGTTGTTTCACGTCCTTATCCTATACTCACAGAAAGTCACTTGTGTTGGAGTTCATAGCTCATCGCGACTCTTAGAAGCTGAACTCATTATGACTCTGTCTGGTGCATGTTTCTTATTTTATTTTTTTAACTCTTTTGGCATCCAATGTGGTAACTGGAATATACGGAGATGCAATCGAGATGCTCTACAGCCCGAAACGGTATGCTCCCTCCCTTTGCAAAATGTTAAAAGAAAGTGTGGAATAGAGAGAAGTTAGAGTACAGAGTTATTTCCTTCTCCATTCGGCCATCAACTAAAGTTTGCAGATAAGGTAGGCAAAAAAGTAGCTTTACCATCCATCCGATCCATTCATGTTCACGTAGGCCCTCTCTCGGATACCCTCACTGTAGTGTATAATATACATAGTAAGAGAGGGAAAGAGAAGGCAAGCTTTCGAAAGAGGTTCAGGATCGTGTTCGTATGGCATCCATCCCACACTCACAACTACCAACCTCCCTCCATCGACAAACAGGGGAAAGTCACTTATCAGTAGTACAAAATCTCGTCAACAAGAAAGTTGACTCCTTATAAAACGATGGTGACTTCTTTGTTGGAATCATCGTAAATTTATGGAAAATGTTTGACTCCCTCTGCGTGTCCCATCGTACTATATCTCTCATTCTCGGTAGTTGCTTTTGAGCATATCACACAGATGATTAAGCCTTATCTTTGACAAAGCTGGTTGCTCTGGTTCAAAAATCACCAAGGCAAGGAAAGAGTGGAAAGTACACAACACAAGGGATATATATTTTCCTGGCTACAAAGTTGTGCTTGCACACTACAACAGGAACCGAAGGTTTAAGTTCCTAAGGAGTTGGCTATATCTACTGAGATCCTGCTATGTTGAAGATGCATAGATAAGCACCATTTTTCTAATCTTATCTCTTATATAATCTCACCATCTACACATTTGTGCATTCGCCAGTGTGATAACATCTCCTTGGCCTCGGGATTAAGCCTGTATGAACTTAGGAGAGCCTCTCCTCTTCTCAATACTACCCCCAACGAAAGCACTTGTGTGCCAGCCTACCCTCCTACAAAATCAACTATCTCAGCACATCGTAGTTTATACCATATATACCCAGTCCTTGGAACATCGAAACTATCGATCTCACTAAAATGTATGCCCAATTATCATGGGCAACAGAACCAAAGCACTATGCCTATGATGTTCTCTTGAGAGCTTAGCATCCTAGTCTCGTGATATGTCACTGCAGCAGCAGCCCGCGACTCTCTTCCACTGGCGAGAAACTCGGGAACAAACTCTCAGGACAGTGTTCTCGATTCAGTTGCTGGGCAGTAATGCGGCAAGCTATCAGTTACAGATGGAATATTAGTGCTGAGATTTGCTTTGACGTTCAGGGATTCAATACCAAGAAGAGTAGCTCTATTCTGTTCCTGAGTCCATAGCTATATTGCCGCCTCTTCAACTAATTGTCGCTTTCACAGAATTCCTCAACTGGGAACGTTACTCTGCAAATAGGTATCCTGAACGTATTGAGCTGAATTTTTTCTCTCAGATTATCAACTGGTATTTAACAATAATAACACCCAAGACCAACAATAGTAAATTGCCGCTACAAATAGTGCTCTTAAAGTTTAGATTGAATAAAGCAAATATCATCACCGTACAACAAACACAGTAAATATGGCAAGACAGAATTTCATTGGTTTGGTGGTGTCTCAAGGGAAGATGCAAAAGACGGTCAAAGTCAGAGTGGAGAGGAAAGTGTTTGACAAGAGAATTAATAAAGAATTGATGAAAAGAAAGGATTTCCTTGTCCACGATGAAGGTGAAATCACTCGTGAAGGTGACTTGGTCCGTATAGAGGCTACCAGACCTTTATCTAAATGGAAGTCTTTTGCCATTGCAGAGATTATCAGAAACAAAGGTCAACAATTTGCTCTTTTTGAATCACAAGCCAAGGATGACGTCTTAAAAGAGGAAATGCAAAAAACAAAAGAGTTCTTGGAGAGAAGAGAAGCCAGACTAGGCCACACGGATAGCCAACTTCTAAAGGATGTCAAGTTTTTACAGTCATATTTTGGGAAAGTCAACAGTGAAGGTGGAAATGAGGCACAAGCAAATGAGTTGAAGCAGGAATTGGAAAAGATAAAGCAAAGATACGGTGTACAAGAGTTCACCCCCAATACAGTTAAGCAACTGATAAAATTAGATATTCAAGGAGTCGAAGAAGACTTAATAGAGCAAAAGTCTAAGATAGATGCCATGCAGGGCAAACTCAACGACCTATTGCAAGAACCTTCAAAATGTATAGAATATCTTAAACAAAGAGGTGTCGAGTCCCCAGAACTATTGCAGAAAAATATAATGAAAAACCTTGTACGGAAGCACGTCTTAAAGGAACTATAAACTCGAACTTGAGAGCGTTGAAGCAAATATTGAGATGCAAGCATTGTAATAGTGAGTCTTTTTTTTGCATTTTGCTTTCTTCAGGCCTGATATCGCCAAACAGAAAAAGTAAATATTGTACTTAGTATCTATCTCTGACATGTCATGTAAATATAAGAGAGCATTCATTTTTAGTTATTATAGGAATTAGATTAGGACCATTTATATCACATGTCAAATAACTGGTGCCCATCGATTCGCTCGCTTTTTAAATTTTGAAAACGATGCCCAAAATTTCAGTGTCTGATGGCGACTCCCCTAAATTATATATACAATACATTAAACCAAAATATATAAAATAAATATTGAAAATGGATAGTATTGCCAATTAGATTCTTGAGAGTTGAACAGAAAACGACACAGATACTTTAATATTGAACGGTCAATTCTACGACTAGCATTCTTGTTCTTAAAAGTCCAAACAACCTAACAGAATATTGGTGATGTGGTTAAAACAAAAATGGAAAGGAAGACAAAGAGTGAAGCTTGGTCTTTGTTGGGTGTGTTTGGAGGAAGAAGAGATTGATGATAACTGGCTGATCCAAAATTGTGATTGTAATTTACAACTACACAAGAAATGCTATTTGAAATGGTTATATAATAGGAATTTCGATTTGAGTCAAAAGGTGTTCAGAACCTTGCTGCAAGAAAATATCGGAGAAACAGCAAACAGATACCAGGATGTAATTGATGAAGAAATTAGCAAAGAAGTGAAGAGAAGCTTCTATTGTTATTTTGATGGGCATAGAGACTTCCATAAACCTACCTCAATCCCCTTACTTATTCTTACCAATCCTTTGTTAACCAAGATATTCTCACCTTTCATGCCCGCCTATTATAGGAGTTTATCCTCACACGAAGACGGTTCTTTAATTATCAACTATTTGAATAGGTTGCCTCCAATAAAATCTGGCCCCTGTCCCCAATGTAAAATGGATCCATTTGTTAAAAATGTTGAATATAAGTCAAAGTCCTGGATTTTAGATGTCATTTACAAACTGAGAACAAATCTCAGAATTATTTCTCTTCTTTCCTTCCCTGTATTAAGTCCTTTCAATATCTGCAAGTGGTGGTTAAAGCTGTCACTTTGGCAGCTCCGATGCGTATTCCCTGAAACTTTATTGCGAAAACTATTAAATATTAGTACTACAAAAGCTTTGGACGTGTATTTACAATCAGTGCCAGGAATCATGTCAATTCCACAAAGGACAAGCTCAGTTTTATCATTATTCCCCATTTACATCTACGAAGCACTCAACACCGATACAAATCCTTCTATTGCATTTTTTGCATGGCCTGCTATGGCTTACATGAATTTGTCTTTGTATAATTTCAAGCAAAATGATCCATTAATAGTTGCTATGCTTTCAATGAAAGTTTTTTTGATCGTCTATAGAAAATACCTATCTGAAATGCTTTCTGGTTACTACAATCGAATCTTAAATGAAATATACGGGTCATTTTATAATTCCGACGAAGTGATTTTTGAAATATTGGATAGCAATGTCAGTAATGAGAATATACTAATAAGAGATGAAATATTTGAGCATTGCCTGCGCTCAGTTCTTACACCTTTCAGCGCTAATATGGTGGGCCGAGGTTTGAGGTATTTGTACTCTTTAGTACGAAAATGTACAACAGTCAACTATCTTGCAAATTATAGCCCTGCTGAAATCCACGGTATAGCAAATATATTAGGGTTCGGATTATCTTTTGTTGCCCAAAAAGCATTCCATCTTTATTTAACAAAACTGCGAATTAAAGAGATAAAAGAACTACAGAAAGCATCTGATACTTATGAGATTGACCAACTCGATATATAGTTCTCGGGTTATTCGATTTCAATTATCTTAGTATCGATGGTTTTTTGTAAGTCTCACTTGTAAGAAATGTAATTACGATAGAAATGTTTTTATTTGATATGCAATTTTTAAGCCGGGACAATATTATATGCATAAGTTCTGAAAACATTATTAGGTATGTCCAAAATATTAAGAACAGATACTAAGAATTTAAAATATTTTGCTGTATAAAAAAATTAGAAATTTACATAGATATTTAATGAACTGAATGAGAAATGAGGTTATTAAGTTGAACATATAGAAACGTAAGCATCGACCAAAAAAAAAATGGCATTTCATCTATAATAATATGGATGCTTCTATTATGCTTAGTCAACTTCTTCCATTTCGGTGTCAGCTGGGACTTCTTCGACCTCAGCTTCGGCCTTGACTTCTGGAGCAGCTTGTTCTTCTTCGTCTTCATCGATGTTCAAACCTAGAGAAATCAATCTGTTAATTCTGGAAGCGAAAGAAGATGGTTCTTCTAGAGTGAAACCGGAAGTCAACAAAGCAGTCTCAAATAACAAGTTAGTCAAATCCTTAACAGTCTTATCTTGAGCACCACCTTCGTCGACTCTCTTCTTCAATTCCTTAATGATTGGAGACTTTGGAGAAATTTCAAAGATCTTCTTGGAGGACATGTAAGAGGACATGCTGGAGTCTCTCAAGGCTTGAGCCTTCATGATTCTTTCCATGTTAGCGGACCAACCAAATTGACCGGTTCTGATGGCAGCTGGAGAGTCAACAAGCTTGTGAGAAACGACAACCTTTTCCACTTGTTCACCCAAAACTTCCTTCAAAGCCTTAGTCAAAGGTTCGTATTCCTTAATTTCCTTCTCTCTTTCGGCCTTTTCTTCTTCAGTTTCTTCTAATTCGAAGTCCTTTGTAATGTCAACTAATTGCTTACCTTCGAATTCCTTCATTTGAGTGAAAGCATATTCGTCAATTGGATCAACTAAGAATAAAACTTCAAAGTCCTTTGCCTTCAAAGCATCCAAGAATGGGGAGTTTTGAACAGCCTTTAGAGACTCACCAGTGATGAAATAGATGTTCTTTTGGTGTTCTGGCATTCTGGTAACGTAGTCAGACAAAGATGTCAACTCATCAACAGACTTGGTGGAGTTGTAACGTAGCAACTTGGCTAGAGCAGCTCTGTTTTGAGTGTCTTCGTGGATACCAAGCTTGATGTTCTTAGCAAATGCGCTGTAGAACTTGTCAAATTGTTCAGAATCTTCAGCAATTTCGTTGAAGGATTCAATCAACTTCTTGACAATGTTCTTTCTAATGACCTTCATGATCTTGTTCTGTTGCAACATTTCTCTGGACAAGTTCAATGGCAAGTCTTCAGAGTCAACAACACCCTTGACAAAGGATAACCATTCTGGAATCAACTCTTCGGCTTCATCTGTAATGAAGACACGACGGACGTAAAGTTTGATGTTGTTCTTCTTCTTCTTGCTTTCGAACAAGTCGAATGGAGCTCTCTTTGGAATGAACAAGATAGCCTTGAATTCTAGTTGACCTTCAACAGAGAAGTGCTTGACATATAGTGGGTCTTCCCAGTCGTTGGAAATAGACTTGTAGAAAGCGTTGTATTCTTCTTGGGTGATCTCAGATGGGTTTCTGGTCCACAATGGCTTGGTCTTGTTAAGTTCTTCAAGTTCCTTGACGGTTTCCTTAACAGTCTTTGTCTTCTTTTCATCTTTCTTCTCTTCGTCTTCGTCTACTTCTTCTAGCTTTGGCTTCTTGTCGTCTTCGTCCTTCTTTTCTTCGTCCTTCTTTTCTTCTTCAGTGACTGGGACTTCCTTTTCGACTTCTTTAGTGACCATCAATTGGATTGGGTAAGCGACGAATTCAGAGTGTTTCTTGACGACTTCCTTAATTCTCTTTTCTTCCAAGTATTCCAATTGGTCTTCCTTCATGAAAAGTCTTAGGATGGTACCTCTGCCGATCTTTTCATTGACGGTGTCCAAGGTAACAGTGAAAGAACCACCGGCATTGGATTCCCAAATGTATTGTTCGTCGTCGTTGTTCTTGGAGATAACTTGGACTCTGTCAGCAACCAAGAAAAGGGAGTAGAAACCGACACCGAATTGACCGATCATAGAAACATCAGCGCCTGCGGATAGAGCTTCCATGAAAGCCTTGGTACCGGACTTGGCGATGGTACCCAAGTTGTTAATCAGTTCGGCCTTGGTCATACCGATACCAGAGTCTCTGATTTCTAGAACTTTCTCTTCTGGTCTTGGAGTGATTCTGATGAACAATTCTGGTTCAGTTTCCAATTGCTTTGGATCAGACAAAGCTTGGTATCTAATCTTGTCGATGGCATCGGAAGCGTTAGAGATCAGTTCTCTTAGGAAAATTTCCTTGTTAGAGTAAACTGTGTTGATGATCAAACTCATCAATTGAGTGATCTCAGCTTGAAATTCAAAAGTTTCAGACATGGTAATTGCTTGTGTATATGTATAATTTTCCGTTCTTTTTTCCCCCCAAAAAAAAAGTTAAGTTTAATGAAATGAAAACTTTCTCTTTTAGTTTAGTTCTTGATCGATTCGAATAAATTAAAGTGAAGTGAAGATCAGAGATTTAAAAAAATATAACAGTCCCAATCTAAAAAAAATCACTTAGAAGAGGCAATAACAATATCTTCGAAAGTGCAGCTATTTGTTCCTGATCTGATTAGTCTAAGTGAGGAAAGAACGCAACACGCCAACAGCCAGGAACCGGGGAAGAAGAACGACAATTCCTCATCCCTTTTATACTTTTTTCCCAACTGCCCAGGTTATAGAACTTCTGTAGGTTCCATGAGCTTCCACCAGAAGAGAACGCCCTGTGCTTCCCTCCCCCCAACACTTATTTTGCAGGGCTAACAAACGCTAACAAACCGCAGTACAAAGAATAACGCAGGACCAACCTCTTGACCAGTGTGCTTTAGTGTTCAGAAGCCGATGGAAGCTGGTGGAAGCTGGTGGAATCAAGTCGTAGGTCACTACTTGCTCTAACAAAAGGAAATCAAAGCAGATTTTCACTGCGGTGTGACAGAACACTCCGTAGAAATAGACATAAAAAAGATTTGAGAATTTTCGTTTCTGGAAGTTTCTGCGCAGAACGATTAATTACATTTGGGTGTGCATGTGCATTACGTGTGTGGGTATATACTATATAGTGTGTGATAATAGCAGAGACTTGGGCTTTTGGCTATATACCTTGATGTTCGTATCTCTTTAGTCTATAGTTGTGTAAATGCGGATAGCTCCTCGACGATGGTGGAGCATTGTTGATGGACCAAGTAGTCGTTGTCATGTAGCTTCAAGTAGTCCAGTGTGGCTGTCAGTTTCTCGACTGTGTAAGGCTCCGGTAATGTAACGTGCATTTCTTGATCTGAGTCGCCGAGCTTGGAGATGAGGTAGTCGTGGACAAGGTGTATTGCGGCTCTTCGTAGGATGCTCTTGGGCTCACTGGTCTCCAATTGCAGTACACCGAAGACACAGTCGAAGATGTCTCGCATCCTGGAATCAGTGATGGCGTCGACGTTGCTCTTGATACAAATACCTAAGATAGACAAAGCTGACATCCGTAAACGATCATCCACTGCTCTTGCGGTCGATGAATTGACTCTGATCTTTTCCAGACAGAGGTCGACCAATCGGCTCATCTGAGGCTCAGTCACAAGTTCATTCCTCACTTGCACGTAATTGATGAAAACTTCTCCCAGACGTAGACATAGGTCCAATTTTGTTCTGCGTGATTGATATTTATCAAATAATTGTTCCAGTGTTTTACCACTGCTATCAACCTCTATCAAATATGTCAAGCCCTTTATCACATTCAAGTACAAGAAGGGATCTTCATTGCTCAAAAATTCTAAGTGAATATTAACAACTTTCTCTATTGTTATCACTTTGGTATGTTGCAGTACCAGGTTTCGCAGCTCTGCTAGACCATGTGCCCGAATAGGTACCAAGGGATCAGCAAGACTTGCAATCGCTTTAGTCATTCTTTCTTCGTCGTTTTCTTTATTCGAATTCTGGGCTGCACCATTTGAACCTTTATACATTAAGACCTCCCGTAATTGTTTCTTTATATCTTCATAATCGTTAGGAAATGCTGCTTCTAGTTTATTCAACAGGCGTTCAATAGTAGGGCGGAATTGGTGCAACGTTTCGACCGAACAATCACCAATCACAGACTCTAATAGAGCAATAACGATGTCAATGGCGTTATCTGAGAAATTTGTCAATTCATTCTCAATGTTGTCAGGTTTTTCATGCTGCTGATCACCGTTTGGTTGTTCCTCATCATCACTATCCTCATCATCTGAATCCCTGACTGAAGATATTACACCCTCTATTTTTGTTACTTTATCGCCATCATCAAGAATATCAAATAACTCAGCAACAACAATCAAAATATCTGCGACACTACTAATAATTTCCGATCTAAACTCTTTAATAATGTGCTGTGAGAGTTTTAAATTGACCAACGCTAAAAGATTACTTGTTGTGGCGTCATTCACTGTTTCACTAAGGAAAGACAATTGCTGGCTCTTCTGACTCTTTACAGCCGTGTCCTCAATCCATTTCTTAAAGACGTGAAGGAATACTGAACGAGTTTGTTTAGGATCATCGATAATTCTCAGCAATTCAATGAATAGATCACAAACCTTATCCATATCTTTAAATAAAGTGGTTAATTCCTCAGTTTTATAGTCATTCGATGTTGCATACGCCAAATCTTTATCTAAATCATTCCTCTTGACTTCAATCAAAGGCAATCCTGATTTAATATCAATAGAAAACCTCCATTTTTCATGCTCATAATTCAGTATATTCTGACATATTTGGTTCAGTATAGTAGTCTCAGAGTCAAAAACCAGCAGAAAAGTCTTCATTAAGGAAAGAATAACATTACAATACTCCTGTATATCCAACTGCTCGTTTTTGCCAGACTCTTCTATTCTAATATCTTTTGAAGCGCCTTTTGATTTCAAAAATACTGCATATACCCACAAATACTGAAAGAATGAGATATCTGTTTTCTCACTTGATATAGTATTTCTTGAAGCAAAATCCATTAATAGTTCCTTAGATGTGTTTTTGGATAAAGACAATATAACATTAATACAATCGTTAAGCTCCTTGTATGTATACTCTGTGGCTGAATCGTTAAAGAAAATATTGTATACTCTTTGAAAGAGGAAATCCTGAACTATACGCTTATTCTTGAAATAAAATTCGGTAATCACGCCATTAATCCCACTAACCAATAAGGGCCTATTAATAAAGCTCATACAATCGTATATTTGATTAAACAGGTTTTTCAGATAGTCAATATTCCGTATCGTCTTTGGTCTGGTCAATAATATTTGATTTAATCTGGAGAATTTCTCGATGTCTATTTGTTCCTGTTCCCTAACACCTAATATGAAGTCAACTAGGGTAATTAAACCATTATTCTCCCGCCTATAAGTTAAAGTGGATAATCTGACAAGGAATATAGACTTTAGCTTATGATTTGCTATAGTCTGAGAATAATTATTGTAAAGCTCAAACAGTGAGTATGTCTCCTGTAAGTTTTCTATATCTTCAACAGTACATTCTAAGGTGTAGTTTTTCATGTCTATTAAATAAGTTGCTGCCAAAAATATATTACTGTACATTACACCATTTAACAACACTATCGAAATGTAATTCTTTTGCCCATCTATGGAATATTTCTTCAACATGATTTCCAAAACCCGATTTACAATTACACTAAGTTCGTCATCATCTATACTTTCAACCCCAGAGATAGTAAATTTCTTTTCTATTTGATTCCGGCTGAACTTACTGGCTAACTTTTCATTAAGAGGAATTCTACAGTCACTTGGAAGATATGCATCTATACCATGGACAATGAGTAAATTTATCAAATCGTCTAAATATTTCATATCATTTAGTGAAATAGGTATGACATCTTTCTGTACATCAATATGTTTACTATTTGACTGTAATATGTTATGAATTTCCTGTAATTGCTCAATAAGATATGCAACAAATAACTTCTGACTACCAAATCCCAAATATTCAAATAACTGCGGGCTCTCTCCTTCATCGTCAAACTTTCTAAGTTTGTCTATCAAATTATTTTCCAGTTTACTGAAAAACGTATCGATTGGCGTATCATTTGTAAAATCAGGTCCTCGGTCAAGTAGTGCTGCTATTGATTGCTTAGTATTATTATGTTGGACCATATTATCTTGTGCAGAGCTCATATCCTATAACAAAAGCAGCTAAGCACGCCAATACCAAATGTTCTGTCTGCCGTTATGCAGTTTCTACTAAACCGAAGAAATACATATCCGTCAGCTCAAAAGAATTTGCCAAAAGAACAATGCAGAGTCTACTCTATATAAGTTACACTGCCATACCTAACATGGTCACTGTTCCCTCATCGCTCTTTTTCTTCTTTAGAAAATTCCGCTTTTAGCCGTTCTACTAGTGATTTGTAGAACAATAGCAAGCATCAGAGATAGGTATATACAATAGTATGTCGAACGAGGTACTAGATTTTAGCATAATGAGTAAAATTTTAAAAAATCACATCAAAGATATAATGTAATTATACTATAAAACTACACAGAGCCGCCTTATGTTATGGACAATATTACATAATCAGTGCAGATTACTATTGCGTACAGAAGATAAAATGTAACATTTGAATCCTGGTATGTCCCGACTTATCTACCCCAATGCTACTATTATATACTTGATTTAACTGATGATTGCTGCCAATACTCCTATAGAAAGAATTTAGAATCTCAAAAATAAAAAAAAAAAGATAACTAAATATACATGTTTAGTGTGAATCAAAATATAAGAAGAAAAGAACACGCCAAAATTTGCGATTAAAATTGTTATATGTCATTAATGTAAATATTAAATACAAAATACTTGTCTACAAGCTGAACAAAATTGATACGGTAGTATAGAGATATCAGCAACAGCTGGCATTATCAAAAATCTTATGAAAGGCTGGACACCAGCTATTGATTGTTGTATCAGATGTCATACCTCGAAGTAGTATTTTCTGAGCGAATTCCTTATTTTTTGAAGATTCTAGCTCGCTAAAAAATCTAGATAGGAATATTCTCACTTTATCATTTTTTAAACTCTCCTCTAAATTGCTATCGATTTTGCCCTTGTAATATTCATATTCTTTATTTGATAACTTTGACTCAGCATTCAATATATTAGCCACTTTTTTCATCAATTCATTCTCATCTAATAGTGACACATTGTCTAAGGTTGACATGCTAGATGACCTCGATTGAAGAGGTGTTGGCGAGTCACACATTAACGATGATACCGATGAAGATGTAGATCTCCGTCCTATTGGCGGAGGCGGTACTGCACTCGCTTTGGCTAACCTTGACTTTGGTAAATTTAACACGTCATCATCTTTGCTTGCTGATTCTGAAGAAACACCCTCGTTTATTTTACTTGATTGAGTATCAGTATTCACACTAACAGGGATACGCCTTGGTCTTGTTTTCTTGGCTGCTTTTACCGCTGGCATAACGAAAAGAGATTCAGGACAATCGTTGTAGCCAACGACATCGTTCTCTGAACAATTCTGATAACTTCTGACAGGCATAGTGTTCGTCATCGCGATTATGTTATAGACTTGCTTTATTTTCGTATTCTGAATGGCCCCAATTTACTATCTTATTATTGTGTTTTTCAGTATGCTTTTTTTATAATTTCAAATGCTGATAGTATTTTCTTGAAGTTATCTGATCCACTTTATGAGCTATATTGGAAAGCACCTTAAAAAAAGACAACAATAAAATATAATCCCAGCTTTAAATGTTTAGATCCGATCAGTTCAATAAGATTGTAAGATAGTTCAGATCTTGCTTTCTTTATATGATGTTTGTTTCTTTAGTTGGATTCTGGATAGTTCACGGGGATGTTTCACAAATGTCGATCAATGGGACGGCTACGCCGTATTACTCTAAATAGTAACCAACCGAAATAATATCAGACAGACAAACTGCTTCTGCTTGATACTGATAACAAAGTGGGATATACTACCTGCAATGTGGGATCACAACTGTGAGTAACACGAAGTCTCGAGGATCAAAAACTCGTTTGGATTTAAGCTGCTTTTCTTATGCAGGTTCCAGTTCTACGGGCTTTTAATGAACTGAAGAAAACGTATAATTTTCAGCACAATGCGATACGTTGAATTGCAACTCTTAGAACCTTATATAGTGCAGAGTTCCTTTAATGACACCAAGGAGCTAAATTCAACGTTTCAAGCTCTTGTGATTATCAACCAGTCAATGTTGAGGACCTTTATTTTTGGTTTCTCAAAATGATATAATAACAAAATTGCCTGTATGGTTGCTTATATAGTTTCTGGTAAAACTAATAACGGAAAATAACTGTGTATTGTTTTAAAAAGTCTTATGCTCCTTTGATGGCTGTTTGTATTTTTATTATAAGTTCGTAATCCGCTTGATACTACGTATCAGGATAAAAATAGAAATTTGAATTGCCTTAGCGTATTAGGTGTTTCTCAGCTTGCTGTAAAAGATATATTAAGTCCTAAAAGGGGAACCGCAAAAGTATTAAACTCTCAATTAGGATATGTAGCTATGAGTATTATATGAAGTTTGTCTTAGTTGCAAATTTTTAAAATAGCCAACACAACCTTACTATCGAACGCAAAATAAAAGATACTGGAAAAGCAAACGACATAGAAAGTGTACACCCTGGCAATTACAAAATCAAGACATTGGGATAAAGCTTTTCTACACAAATTATTTTTCTTTATATAACAGAGAAATGCAAATTAAGAGGGGTCCCTAATTTATCGAGTTGTTCATAAATTTAATGTCAACAATTGCACACACGCGCAATATCATAGATGAGGTAACCTTCCTGGTTCTTCTATTCTCTCTAGTTTTATAAGCAAATCCCTTAAACATGCACTAATAACTGGGAGTAAAGTATTATCCTCTGCACTAGGATAGTGACAATTATCGGGCCCTATCCCCATTGAACGCACTTCGGTATTGGCTAAAAGAAAGCACAAGACTTATTCACCAATTCATACAAAACATCCGAAATTTGACTGGTGTCCCCAGTAGACACCCGCACTCCTACATATACAAAATGTATCATCCAATTGCAACATACATATCCTTGCCTCTGATGGTGAGGGAGAGAGTCTATCTTGCAAAGTATGGAGCCTTATAGGAGCTTGCGGCCTAACCCAGATTTAGGACTTACTCTCAGTTGCACTCTCCTCTCACTGACACCTCATCTTCTTAGTGCCTGCCCTACGCACTGAACCTCGTCAGCCTACGTATACTTTCCTCAAGAGACGAAAAAGGATCTTCCAGCCTGTTCCTCAAGGATTTTCAGTCTGTGAAGCTACGTAAGCCGATCTTATTTGAAAAAAATCATATGCAAGGAAGAACCTGTAGGACACGATAAGTTGATCTTTCTGCTGCTTTTATCCTGGGGGCAAAAGAAAAGAAGTGAAATAGCTTATATTAGAATTCTATTCTTAGAAACAGAAACCATGTGAAAAACAGGTTAGTTTTAGTTGCTCCAATATTAAATATAGTCACATATGTAGCAGTTTATGCTACCGTCGGCATGAATCGGCATACCTTGTTCTTTGTTAGTTTTTAAAGTATCTGTGCAATTGTAGTAAGACATGATGATATTGTTAGTGAAATGAATCAAGGCAATTTATATAACACTACAGAATCTCGGCATTCGTAAACCTTCGTTAGTAGTCGCGGCTGAAATTACAATTAGCTGTTCAATAAATATTACCACTTCAATTTTTACCATTAGTGGATGTATGCCAAAATAAAGGAACCATTGGTGTAAAGCCCCATTAATTTGCATTAAGGCAAGAATATGCATAAAGATTTCATAAAACATCATATAACATGGAAACTGAAAAGAACTAGAACTACTGGTGGAGGGTGTATAGTTTTTGAGGTGTTTTCTCCCAAGCAATATGCCAGTTTGAAAGAAACATAAAAAAACTTTAGGTGTCCTTACTATTAAAAACATATCATGACACAACTATAATACAACTGAGTTGCAATTATTAATCCTCCCATAGTAGCTATCTCTCTGTTTTCAATATAACTATATAGATAGCATTTAATTCCCAATGAGTATCTCACGCACATACTATTACTATCAATTTCTTGAAGTTTGTGACTCAAAAAACATGACTACAATAGATGAATAATTTCTGCCACAAACAAAATCCCAAGACCTTAGGGAAGTAATGTTGGGTATCTAACGTTCAAAATCTCAAATACTATGCTTTTGTGTCTCTACACCAAGTGAAGAACTCCTGATGCTTGTTAGTGATGCATTGCTTCCTAGGAATGATATGCACATATCAGTACCTATGAAAATGACTTCTGTGGTACCCAATTCCTGATATGATCCTCAAATACCTTCTCTTTAACATTACATATTATCAGCAGTAATAATACAGCTAGGGTAAGTATACAACCACTATGTCACAAGAATACCAAGCCATACTATCTGATGTACAAAATATACAAACACAGTTAAGAATATATGACCAGCTGTTACAGAATATATCTAATTTACATAATGTAATATATTCACAAATTGATGAAAACTCTGAAGTAAATAAAGGCAAATTAGATAACTTAGCGGCAGAAATTGCAAAATTACAACAAGGAGTTGCAAATAAAATCAAACAACTGAGCACAAAAATTAAATTTCATGACAATGAACACTATGTCCATTATAGTGCCATAAGGGATCAATTTCTCTCTTTAATTAGAAAACAGAGACTAATAGAATATAACTGGAAATTGTCCTGCAGAAATGAAGTCAAGAGACAGATTGATTTAATGAGCCTCGATTTATCAGACGCTCAGATCGATGATTACTTAGCAGACCCAGAAAACGAAATATATCAGAGCATTTTTAAAAGATATTTGTTGAGCAATGAAGATGCAAAAATGGCTCTGAATGAAGTTGAGCACAGGATGAAAGAAATTAAGAATCTTGAGAAGCGAATGAATGATTTGGCAATCTTATTCAAAGAAATGGAGGAGCTCGTTGTTCAACAAGAAGAGCCAATAGACAAAATAGACACCAATGTTGAGAAAGTGGTAGTCGATCTTGAATCTGGTATAACGCATACTGAACAAGCAATTCATATCGCGGAACAGAAGAGGAAAAACAAGAAACTGCTAATATCAATTATCTTTTACGTTTGTGCTATACTGCTCCTGTCAATCTTTGTTGCAGTAATAGTCACAGTCAGTCTTCATTGAGATGACATTCGAATAGTTAAGAGGCGTGATAATAACGCTTAAAGTATTTAGATTATTGTACTTCAAGAATTGATATACATAGAGTACTTCACAAAGTAATTTTCTGAAAATATCTCCCCAGATAAAAATAGTCCTAAGAACATAATGGAAAACAATGAAACAAATTTCATTGCATACAGAAATTAGGGTGGAATCAGGGATATTGCTATGCCAAATTAATTGATTAACAAACTAGTTTCCAATAGAACGTTGACGGAACAAGACAATTGGTGCGATCGCAACCGCGTTAATTGAATTCTCCACTCGTATCAATCCTGAAACAAGACTGAGGATGTAGAGAGCATTGCATTGGAAGGCTTAAGTTTTTGGCGTGTTTTCTTTAATGTGAAAGGAAATGAGAAAAAAATGAGTAAGAGAACATATTTTATTCAAGGATGAATCAAGAAGACTCATTTATTTATAGTTAAAAAGTCTGCACTGTGCTGCCACAAGTTTTCCAATATTCATGAAAATTTTCTTCACAGGCTACGCCATTCGTTTATCGGTATAGTGCTGATACTGGAAATTATCTTTATAGGGCTTGAGATTAACTTCACGAAAATAGGTATTCAGTGCCATTATGATGATCGAATTTTTAACAAATCTGAAACACATTGTATTTTCAATGAGACTGTACAGAAACAAACTGATTTAATCATTATGCTATGCACAGCTATTTCAAAAATATATCTTTACAAGCAACATATGCTGGCAATAAATAAAACTGACGCGTGATCACGTTAAATGTCAATTAGAGAACACTTATTTTAAATGTATCAAGTTCAGCATCTACATGGATTTTCACCGTCTACAGACCCACTTTCACAATAATATACTCTAACCTTCACTTTAACAAACATACAATACGAGTGACTCTTCTCTACCCATTAATTAGAACAGGTATATGACGGATTTTCCTATATATGTATTTACATCTTGGCATAAATACGCTAGACCCTCAAGTAACTGTCTTGTAAGAGGCGACGATTTGATCGAAAAGGGATCTTCAAATGCATCAACTGGTTGCTGTCTCTCCCTTAAACTGAAATCAATTCATTAGAATCTAAGAAGTGTTTTATGCAGTACTATAGATCAAGAATTACGTCGCTGTTCTCACTATCTCATCGAAGCATAAATCAATCGGGTATGATATTTTCTTACCGAGGTAGCTGGACAATTTCTGGCAGATTCATACTTCCGAACCCCCCATAGAGGATGATCATGAAAGATCGAATGATATTGGGGGAAGTACTTGGACTCGGAAAATATTGAACTAATTTGATATTGCATAATTCTCCTTTATTTCGCTATGGTAGCAATTGACACTGTTTCTTAGATTTTAATAGTTCAACTTTTAAAAAATGTTCTACTTTAGTTTGTAAGAGAAAAGGTTCTAGTACTACAATACTAATATGGAGTATATCTAATAAGAAGTAGTTAACATAAGAAGCCTATCAAACAACCGAGATGTACCAAGCTTATTAGTGGTGAATAGTAGACCGTAGTTCAAGAGTAGGAACCCTAAGTAATCTACAGCAGTCAATGCGAACCAGATTTAATAAGTGTTTTATTTGGTCAAATAATCTGTATGACTACCATGTGTCGTCCGTATATTACCAGGAATAACTGAGTTCAGAGTACAATGCTTACCAAGATGAAAAAGGACTAGACAAAAACCTAAACATTATGAAATATGATGATAATATGTGATATTGTATTTGCTTACCACCTAAACTCTTCAAACATAAAGTATCGTACTAGCAAAAGGATTCAACCCGAGTTACCACTAAGCTAACTATACTAACAAAACTGGCATTTGATAATATTGTGGAGGGAAAGGGTCTTAACGTTCTGAGGACGTTAAATAAATACCTTAGCTAGGGGAAGATTAGGAATATAAACCACAGAATATTATGGAGACAGAAAATGACGTTGCATAAATAACTCTTTCCTAATTAGGAAAATGGAAGCTTTTTGGTTTTCAAATTCTCTGCTTTTTTCCGATTCTTGTATCTGTCGATATTCCAAGGCTCAGACCCGCTAGAAGCCGTCTTAGTGAAGTTGAAATGATGTAAATATGAAAAAAGTAACACGTTAATGTGTTCAGTTGTTTTCGAGAACTCGCATTATTTCTTCCTTGAATCAAGACTACATATTGCGTTGTAATGAGAGATTTTTCTTTTTTCCCCTCTACTAGCAATATTACCATTATTTGTATTCTTAAACTCCATTCAATAAAGGTGTGTTTGCTTTTCTACATAGGGTCTACCTTGTGCTGCTATGTAAACAGGATCCGATTCTAATTATAAATCAACCAAAAAAAGAAACTAAATGGTCTTCAAGAGGGGAAGGACATTTTCTTTTGTCCCCCGCTACGCCGTCACTTAATAAACACATTGCAATAAAAAAATAAGAAACAACAAGTAAATTTACAAGAAAATCCAAACTGCTTACTAGCTAGTACAATTTTGCTACACTATTGTAGATTTTAACATCTTGGCATAAGAAGAATGAGTTCGGTATCTTACTGAACCTGAGTTTTGACCACTATCAATTTTTTATTCTCCTTGAATTATCTATGTGTTCTGACCACTTCTGCTCTCAAACTTTCACAAAAGCAAGATTTAACATACTAACTCATTGTTGTTTTCCATATTACCGAAAGACAACAGAGAAAGGCACAGCATTTTTTTATTTTTGCTTTTGTTTTTTTTGCAATTTTTGTATGTAATCTTATAACTCCTCAGATTTTAACGAAAGTTGCGTTGTAATATACGTTTGCGACTTTTCTTCTACGCTAACTCAATCTATTTGGGTATCACAAGCTAGGGATTGCTGCTGTTCCAAGACTATACGAAGCCGTGAAGAATATGATACATCTTCAGAACTGCACAGTCGAAAAGCATGGGTACCGCAAGTTAATTGTATAGCAGATCGTATAACTTAAACAGAAACCGTTTGGAAGTATTTCTATCCCGATTTCCGTTACATCATCCTCTGAAGTAGATGTGCATAATTATGCAACGAGTATTTCATTAACTTATATACAGAGGACATAGGGCCAATCAATTCCACAGCAGTCAAAAAGATACCAACTCTACAGCCAGCAGCGGCTAACCAATCATTTATCTTTGCAGGCTGTCTTGTGACTAGCTTCCTCTGCCCCTCTTTGCCCCTCTCTAAAACCCATATTTGTGCAAGGTGCAGTTTTTTGTTCCTTACAATATCTTGGAACGTAAGATAGTTCCCAATGCAGTAGGGCCATTGATTGTCATTATGCGACAAAACAGCGGAAAAACCAGCAAGAGAAAAACAATTTACGATTTTTTCCTTGGTGCTGCCTCCTTTTTCTCCTCCTACACTCCCAGTCTCCTACGGTTCTTTTATGGTGATCCTTTTTCAAATGATTAAAAAAAATTGAAATAAAGAACAAAAGAACGAAAGAACAAGAGACCAAAAGTATACCCACTAAATCCCCGCACGCATACTCATACCACAGATTTTGTAACTTCTCAATGTACATTAGCCACCGGAAAGTGGCCAGAATGTCCCAGATGGTGTCGTGCGGACCATTCCTCTCCACTCTCTTCCTCCACCATCCCCTCTCTTTCCCCCCTCCCTCAATTCTCTCTCACCTTTTAGTTTTTTTTCGCAGCCTACGAAATAGAAAATCTGAAGAGAGTCACCCAAAGAAAACTCTGCACATCCCAGTGGGAACAAAAATGGAAGTTTCTATACCTTTGCGAAGAAGGGAAAAAAAAAAGAAACTAATCTACGGTTTCTGCTGCGGGCACATCTGTGCATTGTTACAATTCACTACAAGTCTTCGATTTTGTTATTTCGTCCCTTTGAAAGCGATGAACTTGTAGTAGAACACAATAAGAGCATTCAACTGGGACTTAATCTATCATTTGCCAAAGAGCGCACTGTACGTCCCTCATACAGAGAAGTAGCGAACACTGAACTTCGAATCACTAAGTAGGTGATGAAATCGACCTGATTTCGGAATAACATTGCTACGGATCCTTCAGAAAAGAACGCAAAGATTTGAAGGGGGAACGGTGTCTGGAAAATGAGATGCTTCCATGCGTAAAGGGGGGTCCAAAATTTTTTCCACCTAATAACTTTGTACTTCCTGTTGTTTTTTTATTGTTCCTAGTGTATTCTTTGCACAGTTCTAATATATCGATCTATATTGTTATTCTTGCTCTAGTAATGCTGTTTTTCCTTACACATAATATATCTAGCGTAGAACAAACTCATAAATTATTTCTTTTTTTCTTTTTTGTTAGTGAAAATCTACCAACTCTTCACTTGATTTCAGTGTTTCTGCTTACCCTTGACTCTATCTTTTTTTAACGTTCTCTGAACCTAAGACCAGCTGTTATAATATAAGCATGGCCTTTGGATTCGGTTCCCAGAACCCTTTCCAATTGTTTATAAAGTATTGAACCATATAACCGGATCTCCCTGCATTTGATATTTGATTGCGTCCCGCTGTAGGAGCTAGTCAACACATACACTCAATATCCACATTTTTTTTTAGACTGATCATCAAAGTCGCAAGCATATAATAATATTCTTGCAAACAATCACATTCCCACTGTTTATTACACTTTGGTGGGAAAGATTTCGAAGAGAAACCCTTTCATCTGAAGTTAGCTATATTTGAAACCCCCATTCAAATAAAAATTGAGAATTATAGCCCCTCCAAGAAGATTTTATACTGATAACTCATACAACAAACAATTGGAGGTTTCATAATAACTTGCCTACTGATTCCATTATCGAGCGCAGCAATTTGACAATCTTTTTACTTTCAGGAAAAATAAAGGCAAAATACAAGGCATAGTTTTGCAACCCTGGTACAATATTAGTCTGGTACATTATTTGTATGGTGTATCATAGCTTTCAGATAGGTTGATTAATATCCATTAGTCAAAAATAATAGCACCATAAAGTGAAATTAATAGTCGTTTATCTTCTGAGAACCACTCGGGATATATCACACTCAGACTTTATTCCAAAAGGCTAACTCATATATTTAACAAAAGGACTATCTATCCATTATCAACCATTTAGCTTCACGTCTTTTGCGTATCAGTTTAGAACCTGCTCTTCATTTGAATGTCTACTTGACGATAATAACTGTTTCTATTTGAACCAAACGCCAACTCATAGGACATAAGTTTTAAGGCTACCTAGAATATTAAATTTCTTCACTATGATGCAGAATAATAAAAGCAACCAAAGCAATTCATCAAACGAAATAAATCGACCTTCGAACGGTCGAAAAAAATACAACAGTTTTGCTGCTACACAACAAACTCAAAACAAAAAGATCTTTAAGTGTGAAGGTTATGAGGATTGTTCTATGGCATTCACAAGGGCTGAACACCATGCTAGACATATACGTAAGCACACAGGAGAAAAACCATTTCAATGTGACATTTGTATGAAGTTTTTTAGTCGTATCGACAATCTGAAACAACACAAAGATTCTGTTCATTCAGCAAACAAGGCAAAGGGATTCAATTCTGTCTATTATGGCCAGAAAAAGGTTAAACAAAATAAAAAATCAGAGTCATCTTCTCCAGATAGCATTATTAGCAAGTTAGGCCAATATAGTTCCCCAGACTCAGATTCTTCATCAAAATCACAATCTTTCAAGAATAGTAATTCGGCCAATTCAAACAATCTTGATCGGAAAACTCAAGAAAGTAGATTTGAAAAATCCACACGCAAATCCTATGCTTCGTCTATTTTCTCGAATTCCGATAACAACGATAGCTACAATACCTCTTTTTCAACTTCATCAATATCACAATCGTCAGTTGTACCTCGACTATCCAGTAACAATGAGGGAAATATACCCAATGAGAGAAATGTTAGCTTTAAGAGTGTGCCTCAATATCAACAAAGTCATCCGATCTTTCAGTTGAATGTTTCTAATCCTCCAAATCAATTTGCGCCATTATTGCACTCACAAGCCAACAGTCAACAATTTCCAATGCAACCGCTCCCGACACATAACCAAGAGAGGCGTTTTAATGATAATCGTGGATTTGCGTATTTTAATAATGATAATAGCAAAATAGCTGTATTTCCACACGCATTTGGATATGAAAGAACAAAAACTTATCCTGAACCGGCTATTTCCCACAATGAAATTTTGATTACTCCTAATTTTGCCCAATATGGTCAATCGTTCAGTAACAATACGAACAACAATACATTCCGAACAACGTCACCCTCTTCATATAGGTGTCCTAACCCATCAAGTAAAAAGAGGCAACATAGTTATGAGAAATTGCATGAATTGAATAATAATTATAACCATCCTAGACCAAACATTAGAAATGACAAAAATAACTTGGATATTAAAAATAAGCCAGACAATAACTCGACGAGTTTTGCAGACAGGGGACCAGAAATTATTACGACTGACCAAAAGACATCAGCATCTGAAAGTCGTGCAACTGATAGTTCTGACGATGACGCCTCTACATCTAGACTAAAGTTAAAGTACATTATCACTTAGATGAATGCCATTTAATTTAAGCCTTGCCATTATACTCTCCGCATATAGTAATACGTATCATTATTAGCATTGAAATAAGCTTACTGACTTACTTTCATTATTTGATTCTAGTCTCTGTAACATTTTAGGATTTTCTAGACTGCTTCATTAGCATCAGTGTCAAACCATAAATTGTGTCATATAGATTTCTAAAAGGGTGCTAATATATTTTGCACATAGTCTCTTTTAGACAAACAGCAGTGGTTTATCTGAAGGGATAATTTTGTCCTTCAACGGATTGAATATAGTTAATTGGAGCTCAAAACCCTATCCCATCAACAAGTTTAATTTTAAAGAGCGGAATCACTCTTATTTGATAAAACATAAACGCTTAATAGGTATATGGTATTGCTTCCATCAGAACAACCGCCTTATATGGAGGCAAAGTTTTCAACCATATTATAACAAATCGAATATTGTTTATACCAACAAACATATTCCTAAAGCTGCCTAAAAAAACCCACTGATGCTCATATCTCATAGTTAATTTATTCTGTGACTCACTCTAGCCACATTAGAAACTGAAGTTACATTTATAGCAATATTGGTTTATTTACTTTTACCAATGAAAGTTCTAGTTACTAGAAATAGCTCTTTTTCCATTTTCTCGTCATATTTTTATTTATTTTTTTTATTTTTTTTTGGCCAGTACTATGCTTAGATGTGATCCCGCCAACAACCTTTACAAACGCAATGATACTTGATCACCATAGAAAATAGCAAAGACTATTACCAGAAAAAAATATTGTAAAAATCATCTATATGCCAAGAATTACAAACCTTGTCTCCGTCTCAAAGAGTAAACTCTTATATAGCAATACTAACCTCCTGGAACAGCATTGGTAAAAGGAAAGAAAGAACTTTCGAACCGATGAATTGCGATTCGACCCCTTCATTTCTTCTTTTCAGAGACCTCTCCCCTTCTACATACCGCCATCTGCTGGAACACCTTCTCCTTCCCTTTATTACACAGTGAATGCAATAATTTTGAACTCTTGGGAACCTCCAAACTTATCTTCTCCTTTCCGAATTAGGAAACTGAAAATCAGGCAACACAGTATTTGGTAACCCTTTCTGCTGTAAAAAGGCGGGAAAAAAACTTCTTCTCAACTGCCCATGGAGAAAGGCGTATGGAAACGAGACGGTTGGAAAAGAAAAGAGGAAAAAGAAAGGATAGTTCAGAGGGCTCTTACTATTTGCCGATTCCATTGTAGGTGCAACCCTTAGGGAAGTCTGATTCATGGTGTTAGTAGGATGTTATGAATTGGAAAAGCACTTATCAGACTTTCCAACGTTAGACATAGGTGTGCAGCGTTTGGACTGCTTGGGTGAATAGAATAGATGAAGGTGAAAAAAAAAGGAAAAAGAAAAAAGCTGAAAGAAAGAGTACTATCAGAGGAAATCGAAGTACGTTATTAGTATAGCGATTGAGTATAAGTAACCCAGTGCCAAACGTTACTTGCTGTGGGGTCTTCTTCCATAACTCGAAGTCATATATACTTTACTTTTCTGTATCTTTCAATCAGCTAGGTACACCATAAAAAGTCCCAGCGAAAAAAATAAATTTGCCCGTACACCTCCAAACGTTTTGTTGGATGGCTACACTCTTGATTCTGCACCAAACAGGTTAGTCTTTCAGCATTTACAGACAGCTTAGTTTGTGTTCATTCAAAATAGCTTAGCTTTTTTTATACACTAAGTTAGATGACATTATCAACCTTTAAGAGACTCACTATTGCATATCAAACATGTATATCCAATAAAGACTATATATATTGAATTTAGACTCTATGTATTAGTTGTGTGGTTTAACTAGATCAAACTTGTGAAATTATGTGGTTATTCAAATTAGGTAAAAATTCAGGGACATCGTACATATCATGCAGTGCTAACACTACTTTAGTTTCTATTATTTCCCTTGAAGCTTGTATCGGTAGACTAGACTTTTAAGAAAGTCTCTGTAGTGTTAGATGTGTAGTAATAGTAATTCATATGGTCAAACTGTATGTGATGCTTCTCACAGGGTTCAGACGGTTACATACCATCGCTTGAGAGTCATAGTAAATGTTCAGGTTCACGATTAAATCATGCTTTCTCTTTGATGTACCTAACTACGGTATACTTGTCCTTCATTTTTCATTAATTTCTAAAGTTAGCAGTTCCTTACCTAGTGCAGCGGAACTTAGCCAGAACATCCCAAGAGCATGCAATATAAGTGAACAACATTTTCGATAATAATTACCTACTCCGTTTCATAGTGAAATACAGAAGTAAATATATATACTCGAGATCTGCTGGCAAAACTTATCATATTCTCTTTGGTTGAAGGGTGAAAATAACAGAAGAAGGAGAAGCATAGTTTTTATTTTGAGGGTTTTGTTTTAGAAACTTAGCAGACGGCATATTATTTAGCATAGTGCACATACAGGTTTGATAACAATTTATCAATATCATAGTTATAACTATCAGAAATCTAATTCAAGAGAAGTATTAATCAAGGGAAATGGGAGCTGCACCATCTAAAATTGTAGAGACTCTATTGGAGGACACCAATTTTGACAGAGATGAGATAGAAAGGCTACGTAAACGGTTTATGAAATTAGACAGAGATAGTTCAGGGTCTATAGACAAAAATGAGTTTATGAGTATACCTGGCGTGTCTGCAAACCCATTAGCTGGACGTATTATGGAAGTCTTTGACGCTGACAATAGTGGTGATGTTGATTTTCAAGAGTTTATTACTGGGCTTTCTATATTCAGTGGAAGAGGTTCAAAAGACGAGAAGTTAAAGTTTGCATTCAAAATATATGATATAGACAAGGATGGTCTGATATCCAACGGTGAGCTTTTCATTGTGTTAAAGATTATGGTGGGCTCAAACCTTGATGACAAGCAATTGCAACAGATTGTTGACCGTACTATCATGGAGAATGATTTAGATGGTGATGGTCAACTAAGTTTTGAAGAATTCAAGAGTGCTATTGAAACTACCGAAGTAGCAAAGAGCCTGACCCTTCAGTACAGCGTGTAGTTCAGGCAAGAAACTTAACGAGGAGAGATGTAACTTAGGGCGACTAAGTATTTATGTATCTATGAATATCATGATATTTATTATTAAAGGACTCGATGAATAAAAGCAATCGATCACAAAATATCTAATGGTAAAGGAAATATAAAATCACCCCTTACAATAGTAAAGTGGTTGTCTTTCCTAGTGAGGGACATCAACACCCATTTCAAGGACAGAATAATCCTTGATCTACATTTCAGAGTTCGCATTTCTACTAATAGACAGTGATCAATAATATAACAAATAAAAACAATCCGATATATTGATTATTTCAACGTCATTAAACATATTGTATTAATGTGGTTGGCACAATATAAATGCCATATGCAAGTGCAGTGATTAACGTAACAAATATATCATTGGGGAGTTGCTAAATAATAGCAACTTTTCTTTACCTATTTATTTTACCCACCCACATTAGAAGAAAGAGTGGTTGGGGACTGTCTCATCCCAATATGAGCAAATAGTGATATCAAAGATTACCAATTGGTTGCATCCGGGTAAACCTTTCCTTTTGCGTTATCATCGCCCTTTCATGCTGGCTAGAAGTAGCGAGGATGTGGGATCCTTGCTATGAGGATAATGTGATCGATGAGCGTACGGGCATGTGAGGTGAGGATTCCATCAAGAGTTTCCTAATTTTGGTCGCATATGCATTTCATCGTGTATTCCTACATTTCAGTTAGACTGTTGCAGTGTTGCAGTGCTGCCCGTACACAGTTCAGCTCTTTCTCACTATAGAGGTCTTTCACTATAGAATAGTTTTATAGAATAGCTATTTCAGGAAAAGTGGAAATAACGACCTTCGAATTAGTACTATTCGAGAGCCCATAGAGAAGCATATCAGAGACCATCAATTAAACATCTCTCTCCGAAAGTGTTGGAGGCAGTTTAGGTTTGTTTCTCTCTTAATACAGTTTTTGAAAGAGCTACTCTGTTGAAGTTGATAAAAAACCAAGATTAATCTTTTGGGAGAAGTGGTTTCTGTCAGGACAACAAGGTGCTACTACAACAAATCGAGTTAAAAGAAAAGACACGTTTGGTGCAGACTATCAGATTGGTAATACAAATCACAGTGCTGTAACTGAATACAGGTCATCTCCAGAAAGATTGAAATAACTAATCAATAGCCTACCTTAGAATAGGGACTATCATATTCGGAATCTTTTTCTTCGAAAAAGCTCAGGCACCAATTTAAAAGAGTTGTGAGTATTTTGTTGGTGTGTATTTTGAGACTAAAAGGCAATTCAGGTAGATGAATTTCTGCATATTGAGTGAATTTTAGTTTGTTGAAGGTCATTTATTCACATCGCATTCCTACATATAGTACAGACTGAGAAGCATTTACTACTATAATCTTCTATCTGAACTCCTGTTCCTCATTTTTTTTCTATTGGCAATACCGAACCGTTTAATTCTTTTCCTGTAAGAACAAGAAATTAAAAGTTCGTTTTTCATTTTGCTACTTGAGGAACACAAAGGCAAAATCTACAGAGATAAGTGAAAACTTTTATAACGAGGGCAATTAATTGATTGTAAAATAAGTATCTCAGTTTAGGAGAATTGAAACTGTTGTTTTTCAATTTTGTGGCTATTTTGGTTGTCTTTACTAGAATCGTTTGGTAAGACCGAAGTATTGGTTTTGTGTAAGCTTTACATTTTTTTGCATTTTTGCATTTTTGCATTGAGGAACGTCATCCTCATCTAGCCACTTTCTGTTTGAACTGTCCACTTTCTTAGTTTCCTCTGCATTAGGTTTTACACGGAAAATAAATTGATAGTACAAGATTTCTTGGTCGTCCATACCTTTGTTATAACTAGGAGATAAATTTTGAACATTTGTATCAATAAAAATTTGGTTTAAGAAGGCTGAGGTTAAAATTTTGAAAGGCCTTATCTTCAACTAACTGAAGTAAGATAAAAACTACTAATTCCAGTTTAGTCTTTACTGATTGTAATTTTACCATAACCAACAAAAATGAACGAATTAAGCCTAAGTGATGAAAACTTCTCTGATTTTGGGTCTCCAGTACCTCCAAACATAATTCATACCGATCGAAATTTGATGGATGAAAAGCTGACAGCTAATGTATCTAACTACGTTGATGTCTCAGATCTGAAACAATTTAGTAATATCCCATATCTCTCAAATTACAATTCAATTCTATCATTACTGCTTTCAAACCAAAAAAAAAGTAATTTCTCAAAGTATAATGAAACATTGTTAAAAAAATACTACCTCTCGAGGCGGAACATCAATTACCAAACATCAATAAGAAATGATAATCCAATAAAGTCGATATCAAATAATAGTTCGGTAGAGCATAACATTAATGAGGAACATTCTGATGACGGTAGCTATATAGCCAATTCTTCTGATACCGGATCCGATAATAATTCGAAAGTGCAAGTACCGTCTTTAACACACATAGATTTTGATATGAATATTATATTGGAAAAGCTAGAAAAACCTTTGGATGAGGAAAAGTTATCGAGTTTAATACAGTCAAAGGAGGTGATTGACCTTCATACTGCAGCATCATATATCAAATATTGTCAGAAGTTGTTCACTGTCAATGTTAGAAAAGAAGATATTTTGAAGCAACATAATCTTTGGGTTCCATCAGTACATGATGACTTTAAGAAATATCTTTTATCTGAGAGAAGAAAGGAAAATTCCTTTTCGTATATACAAGACAGAAAGTCAAATCCTCTATTTGTTGATGGTGAAAGTTATATGGCTGGTAAATACGATATATTCTCCGGAAGCTCGTTGGTACCGTCCTTGTTTTCTGAATATAAGCCGCCATCGTTCCTTTATCATACAGCAGTAGAACTGGCAGGTAAATGCTACATTCTTGGAGGTCTAATCCCAATTTATGGGTATGAAGAAGATGCACCGGATTTAAGTCAGTTTAAAGTTGATGGGATTAAGAATATACCACCTCCTCTGTTGTCACAAATTATTAATAACCCATCGATGATTAATAATCCACACTTATACATATACTCTTTGCCTTCTTCCAGGTTAATTAGGCCCATAATATCTGGACAAATACCGCCGCCACTTATAGGAATGAGAGGGTCTAAATTAACGGATAGATATCTATTTTTCTATGGTGGGTTTGAAATAAAAACAGATTCTGTCTGTGACGAAAACGGTGTTATTTATTTGAAAAAAAGGGCATTTGTCAATAATATGGGGTATATTTTGGATGTAGTTTCTTTTAAGTTTACCAAGGTGGAAATTATTGCACCTACCATAAGCTCAGCAGGTTATCCAGAATTACATCCTAGATTTGGACATACTCAGATATCGGTGAATATGAATGCTACTGTCTCAAATACTCCCTTTTCTTCGAATGTTAGCCAAACGAGTTTATACACTGAGCCTCAGTTAAAATTGGATAGCAAAGATAATGAGGAGAAGTCTGACAAGAAGAACAATTTTGGGTTGCACACTATATACATATTTGGTGGTTATAGACAAACAGGAGATGATAGATATGAAGCTATTGCTGATATGTGGAAAATTGAGGTTACTGTAGTTGCAAGGGGAAAAGGTGGTTTTTGCAAGTTTGGTGATGCCGCATTAGCAAAGTCAATTAAGACCATTCAAAATTCGGAGAACTGGCCTAGTGGTAGAGCTTTTTGTGGTTACTGTGTACCTAATATGAGATTGGTTTATAAACAATCGTTTGAAACTTATCTACTCGATAGGCTTGATTCTGAATATATGGTAGATTTTGAGAGCATTAATGTAAGGAACAAGTCCCGACCTATATTCCCCAATGTTGCAACGAATATGGAGTCGGATGTTATTAATTCGCGCAAGCCAATGGATGCAAGTAATAAAGTAAATACTTCGGGCAGTGGTCTCTTTCCACCAGAGCAGGTTCCTGGTGGTGGATTACCAGGACGAGGAAAACCTAATAGAACCATTGCATTACCAACCAACGCTGGTGCTAGGACAATTGTCATTCATGGTGGATCTGCTGGAACAGATATTTATAGTGACATGTGGTGGTTTGATCTGGAGTTAGAAGTGTGGAGGAAAATAGATACTTATGCTAAGACGGAAAATAAAATGGAAGGTTTAGTACCGTTGAATTTGGGGATAGTGGGACATTCAATGAATCTCATAGGGCACATGCTTGTATGCACTGGAGGTATGATCGAATCAGATGTAAATAAATACTACAAAAACATCCCATATCAATTCAACCTTGATAGAGTTCCTGCTGGTAGTACAATATTCAATACCTTTGATCTCAATACACAAAGTCTTGCCGTTAGGTCAATAAAGTCACGTAAGACAGAGGATGATAACACAGCATATTTGACTATGGAAGATACCCCCGAAGCCATGCTTGTAGTGAGTGTGGGTGGTGAAGCTATTGAGTATGACGGTAATATAATATTAATTGGTGGAGTTGTGATTCCTAGAAAGAACATGGATCTTTTGTACTTGAGAGGTGCTATGCTAGAGTGTATAATGCCTTCTATGAGTTTATTGGCCTGAGTTCTTGCTAAATGAGTATCTCCTCAGTTATTCTCCATGTGTTGTTGGGATTGCTTACGTAGTTGATAAATTTATTTTTTGTTTGTATATCTTTCTTCCTATTGCATATCTCAACTATATTATATATAAATTGCATGCATAGTAACTATTTTCTTATGCTTAAATATGTGGAGTTAAAGGGCTTGGATTTTTTTTCATTGCGATGTATTAGCTCTTCAGTGATGTCGATGGAATAATACAGTCCCCAGTAAATTGATCTTTAGTTCATTCCATATGTGGGACATAGCCTATTAGCCCCAATCTTCTTCATATTTCCAAAACGGTAAACTTATATTTCTTAATTTTAATTTTATGTTAAAAGAATATTGATATTATAACAAATATATATAGATGTAGATATCGACACGTACACTATTTCATAGTTAACCAGCAACTAACATGCAATTCTTGACTTCATCATAAATATTACAGATATAAAAGGAATGGAAATGAGAAAGAACAACATGAAAATGTGTATTTTGTTTTGACACAGGTCAAAAAAGAATAAAAAGCCAAGTAATAGCAGAATATCCCTTCTCGATTGCTAGACAATTTTCACAATTTAACAGAGTCAATCAAATGCTTAACAACGCCAGGATTGGATAAGGTAGAGACGTCACCTAATTGATCAGACTCACCTGCCAAAATCTTTCTCAAGATACGCCTCATGATCTTACCGGATCTGGTCTTTGGTAAGTCATCAACCAAGACAATCAATTTTGGTGCAGCAAAGGGACCAATGTCTTTTCTCACAGTCAAAATCAAGTGCTTCTTAATATCTTGAAGTTCTTCCTCGGAGGCAGAAGCCCAGGTCGATTTGTCCTTCAAGACCACGAAAGCAGCAACAGCTTGACCGGTCAGATCGTCGTTGAAACCAACGACAGCACACTCGGCGACCATTCTGTCCTCGATAATGGCAGCTTCAATTTCAGCTGTGGATAGTCTGTGACCGGAGACGTTAACGACATCGTCAACACGACCCAAAATCCAGATGTAGCCATCCTTGTCTCTAGCGGCACCATCACCTGTGAAATAGTAGCCCTTGTATGGGTTCAAGTAGGTGTCCAAGAATCTGTCATGGTTCTTCCAAATGGTTCTGGCAAAGGATGGCCATGGTCTCTTAATTGCCAGGACACCTTCTGCATGAGAGTCGTTAATCTCTTCACCAGTAGTTGGGTCCAGGATGACGGTTTCGATACCAAAGAATGGCAATGATGCAGAACCTGGTTTCATTGGTGTGACACCACCTGCCAAAGGAGTGACCAAGTGAGAACCAGACTCGGTTTGCCAGTAAGTGTCGACGATAGGAATCTCGTTCTTACCGATCTTGTCAGAGTACCATTCCCAGACTTCAGCAGCGATAGGTTCACCAACTGAGCCCAAACAACGTAGAGACTTCAGGGAGAAGCCGTCGATGAATGAGTCACCAGCTCTCTTTAGTAGACGCAGAGCAGTTGGTGCAACGTAGAACTGGGTGACTTGGTGTTTGTCAATGATTTCCCAGTAACGAGAGAAGTTTGGATAAGCAGGGGTACCTTCGAAGACCAAAGTAGTACAACCGTACAGCAAAGGACCGTATACACAGTATGTGTGGCCTGTGATCCAACCGATGTCACCAGCGGTGAAGAACACGTCTTCCTGATGGACGTCGAAAGTGTATCTCATCGTCAACAGGGCGCCCAGTAGGTAGCCTGCGGTAGAGTGTTGAACACCCTTTGGAGTACCTGTAGATCCCGAGGTGTAAAGCAAGAATAATGGGTGTTCTGAGTCGACGGGTTCGCAAGGGAAGTAAGTCTTGTACTTCTTTCTCTCAGTTTCCCAGTCCAAGTCTCTTGGAGCTTGGAAGTTGACTTGAGGGTTGTTGGTACGCCTGTAGACCAGGACGTGTTCGACTTGTGGGGTTTCTCTCAAGGCGTCATCTACGATTCTCTTTGTTTCGATGATCTTGCCGCCTCTGTTGGACTCATCAGCGGTGATCACTACGCGGGAGCCGGCGTCATTGATACGGTCTCTTAGGGAGTTTGAAGAGAAACCTGCGAAGACGACGGAGTGGATGGCACCGATTCTCGAGATGGCTAGCAAAGTGATGAGTGCTTCTGGGATCATTGGCATGTAGACTGCAACAGTGTCACCTTTCTTGACGTTCATGGAGTACTTCAAGATCTGTGCCACTTGGCAGACTTTCTCCAGCAGTTCCTTGTAAGACATCGAGTAGCCTTCACCGGGCTCGTCTGCCTCGTAGATGATGGCGGTCTTGTTTGGAGTCTTCAAAGCGTGTCTGTCGACACAGTTGTAGCAAGTGTTCAATTGGCCGTTCAGGAACCAGGCGTTGTTCTCGAAGGAAGGTTTTGTTGGGTTGTCCACGTCTGGCACGAAGACCCTGTCGAAGTCCCTGAACCAGTTCATGAAAGAGCGTGCCTTCTCGCTGAAGAACTTCTCTGGGTTCTCGATGGACTCCTGGTACTGTCTCTTGTACTCCTGCAAGCCGTCCAGGTGAGGCGAGTAGTGGGTCTTGATGTTGTCCTTCAACCTGTGGTCGATAGGCTTCTGCTTGACCACACCGACATTGGTCAAGTGCTCGTACTCGTGGTGCGCAGGCTCCTGGTTCTTGTCCTTGATCTCCTGGATGTTGTCCACCTGTTTCTTCTCAGCAATAGCAGATGGTGACATGTTATAAAGTTTGGTTGTTTTGTTTTTGTTTTTTTGTTAAGTATTTCCAATTTGGAAGATGAGATCTGAAAAGTACCCAAACTCTGGCCCTATTTATACTTTTTTTTTTTATCCCCCCCCCCTGTTTCCCATTACCCACTATTCAGTTTGGGGGGGGTAAGGTGGAGAACGGCGGCTACGGCATGACCTGAAAATCCCCAACAGGGAACTCCGAGGGTCATCTCCTTGCGAATTGGAGTCCATTGACCCGAAATAAGGTTTTGGCTGCGAGGCAGTGGCAGTTGCAGTGGCAGTAGTACTTGTACTTACAGCGTAGCACTTACAGGCGTAGCACTTACAGGTGTAGCAGTTATTGCGAACTCGATCTCCAACTCGAGCCTCAACGAGGTCACAGCCCATTACCCCACTCTTCCCCACACACCGCGAAACCCCTTGTCTGTTGTCTCTGTTGTAAGGGGTGCGGGGTGTCTGGGTTGTTGGGTGGTTGCTTGGAAGGGGGGGAGTCGCGGGATACGTGTTTCTTTTGCAGCGCGTGACTCTCTGTGTTAATCTCTGGCCGTGAGTAGAGAGAACTTGCATGTGCATGTCACTGTGTACTTACAGATGCATGTATGTCACTGTGTACTTACAGATGCATGTGCATGTCGTCTGGTACAATATGCCTGTACATGTTGAGATAAACTCGAAACTACTTATTGTTCTAAACGAAAATGATCATATGATCATACCGTGCCACGAATATGAGCGTCTTAAACGCTAATGACACCAGGCATTATAGTACCGCTCATACAGGCACAGAAGTATATAAACGAAGGAGAAGATAAGATAAGATATAACTAGGCCGGAAACGGACTATGGTCATCTTACAGGTGAAAAGAATTTTCACCTGTAAGATTACTAATCAGAAAAGAAACCGAGTTAGGGCTTCTTAGAACCAGTTTATCTATTAAAGATAAAAGGTATAAAAGGAGCCCTCATCTCCATTAGTCTATGAAGTTAAACCTAAGTTCTAGTATCTTATTCTGTATAATGAAAAAGGATAACCAGTATAATTTGTATAATATACCCTTAGAGTTTTGAATTAATGTCTTATCATCATGTCTTCTAAGTATAACTGTACACAAGAACTAACTGATCCACAAGATCGCTTTAGACTATATCAACAGTTACACGCTTGATCATATAACAGACGTACAACCTTATCAGCTGTGCGATTATTAATCACAAGATTTCAATCTATCACGAAACACATTATCTACATCTGCACTACTAATCGGAATGGGCCATAGTTGATTATACAATTTACTTCTCTGCTAATAAAATCTGTCTAGATGGTAATTTATCCGGCAGTGACTCCATCCTTACCCGATGCCTGGTCCGAAAAGCAGCACACGAAAACCCACGAACAAAGATTGCTCGTGTCACCATATCACCGTGCCATCCTGTAATCAAATCGTTATCTCCTACATGATAACAACTGTACAGCCATCTTTCTTGCAGGGAAAAAGAAGTTAAAGAACTTACGATAGGTCATCCATCTAGTATCATTAAATTATCAATGATAACTAATTAATCAGGAAAAAAGTAATATTTTCTATCAGTAATGCTGCGGAAAAACAAAAAAAAATTTTCACCGAAAATCACTTTGGTTGTACGGGGATATAATGAGTCTTGAAAAAAAAAATGGCTTTACTATAGAGAGGGGGCCCGAACAGCTAGAGACTCTAATGCGATGAGCTTGGGCAGAATCAAAGTCTATACTGATTCTTGGTTGTAGAGGTGAATGGGCGATAACTCTTGAGTTCCTGTCTAGGATATACGGTTTCCATTTACTTCCTATTGTACAAGGCTTTCATAAAGAAACAAAAAAGAAAGAAAGCTACAATAGATAACTATTTCCTCTATTTGTGTTATATATATAAAGGCTATTTTGTGAAATAATATTCGACCATTCTTTTGCAGAGTATATCGAAGGTGATTGGAATTTCTTTGCTGAAGAGTTACGTTATCTTTATTTGTCGGGTTATATTTACCTAACAATAATACTACAACATCCAAAAAATAATAAATCTGCAATGGAGTTGAATTATAGAAACCACGACCATAGTGGTTCTGACGGTAGTCACTCTAATGACTATGAGCTGAATGAAGTTGAGAAGCAACCTGTTGAAGATGTCAAGACCACCAACGTAAATACTAATGACTTTGAGTATGACTATGGTGATGATTTCACAAACTCTTCTGAGGCTGCTACTGTTGAAGAAACCAAGCTAAAACTTGGTTTCATTAGTAGATTGGCTCTTAAGATGAACGCAGAGACCAAAGGTGTTGAACCAGTTACAGATGAAGAGAAGACCGATGACTCAGTATTGAACGCCGCTTCCATGTGGTTTTCCGCCAACTTGGTGCTGGCTTCTTATGCTCTTGGTGCTTTGGGTCCTATCGTCTTCCGTCTGAATTTTGGTACTAGTGTCTTGACCATCGTGTTCTTTAACATGATTGGTTTGGTTTCCGTTGCGTTCTTCTCTGTCTTTGGTGCCGAGTTTGGTCTAAGACAAATGATTCTATCCCGTTTCCTTGTTGGTAATGTCACAGCCAGAGTGTTTGCAGCTATTAATGTTGTCGCCTGTGTTGGTTGGGGTGTCGTTAACACTGTTGTTGCCGCACAATTACTTCACATAGTTAACCAGGGAAGCCATCAACTACCTCTGTGGGGTGGCTGTCTAGTCATCGTTGGTGGTACAGTTATGGTCACTTTCTTTGGGTACAGTATCATTCACGCTTATGAAAGATGGTCCTGGGTTCCTAATTTTGCTGTGTTCTTGGTCATTATCGCAAGACTACATAAGTCTGGCCAATTTAGTAATGGTCCATGGACTTCGGGTGCTACCACTGCTGGTGGTGTCTTGTCTTTCGGTTCTGCAATTTACGGTTTCGCCGCTGGTTGGACTACTTACGCAGCTGACTACACTGTCTACATGCCAAGAACAATGAACAAATTCAAGATTTTCTTCTTCCTATGTGCCGGTCTGGCTTTCCCATTACTATTTACCATGATCTTGGGTGCCGCCTCTGCTATGGGTGCTGTTAACAACCCAGAGTGGATGGCCTTGTATGACAAGGACAACATGGGTGGTTTGACTTATGCTATTTTGGTTCCAAACTCCCTACACGGCTTTGGTGAATTTTGCTGTGTCTTGCTAGCCATGTCTACTATCGCCAACAATATTCCTAACATGTACACCATTGCTTTGTCTGTGCAAGCTCTATATGAACCATTCTCAAGAGTTCCAAGAGTCGTCTGGACCCTAGCTGGTAACGCAGCTGTTGTTGGTATCTCCATTCCTGCATCTTATTACTTTGAAGGCTTTTTGGAAAACTTCATGGACTCTATCGGTTACTATTTGGCTATTTACATTGCTATTTCCCTATCCGAACATTTTATCTACAGAAGGGGTTTCAAAGGTTACAACATCGAGGACTGGAACAACTGGGACAGGTTGCCAATTGGTATTGCTGGTTGCTCAGCTTTGTTTGTCGGTGCTTTCGGTGTCGCCTTGGGTATGTCTCAAACTTACTGGACTGGTGAAATTTCAAGACATATCGGTAAGCATGGTGGTGATATTGGTTTCGAATTGGGTATGAGTTGGGCTTTTATTGTCTTTAACATTGTCAGACCTCTAGAAATCAAGTACTTTGGTCGTTAAAATGCTACCCAGTAACTCCTAATTTTGTTTTTGAGATTATATTCCTCTTTCATAATGAAATCATACACATTCGAATAAGTCCACTTCGATAAAATATAATTTTTTCAATTATACCTTGCTAGAAAATTTATTTTGTTACGCTTGCTAGAGATTGCACTCAGGATAAAGTTCTGCCCGAAAAGCTATGTTACTTTACTGAAATATGCGAAGAATGACACTATTCAAACATATGACTTCAAATTTTTTCATAATTAATTATTTTTGCATTTCTCTTATTTTTTTTACCATCTTTATATAATGGTTTACTTGTATAATATAACGTATTAAATTAATAATAAAGTTTAAAAACTCGAAAGCTCAGTTTCACATTTAGCTTAATAATATATGAATAATTAGTTTTTCTATTCGGACAGGGTTGTCTCTACTCATCCATTTCTCCATCTTAACTAGCAAGATTTTGAACAAAAACATTAAAATGATGAAAAAAATAGAAATATCCATCATATACAAAATAGTAAATATTCATGACTTTTAAGAACAGATCAATATAATTTTGCAAGGAATGACATCAAATGATAGATAACTCAAATATATTACAATTGATAACCATATGTCTACGGTTAAGTAATATTGTTGGGCTCATGTCCTTGATTATTGCAAAGTACTACCTTCCTGACTTCCTTAGATATGGAAAGACATTTACATTTGCGAAGAATGGTAATGAGAATATATGGGATAAAATCAAGAATTTTAGTGTACCTAAGTCATATTTTGCCCATTTTTATATTCTCTCATCAGTGTTAGCATTAGTAACACTGGCATCATACCCAACAGATATCCTAGTATGGCAACTGTTTTTACATTCTTCAAGAAGACTCTACGAAACGCTTTATATCAGCAAATACACAGAGAAATCCAAGATGAACTGGTCCCATTATGCCGTTGGCTTATGGTTCTATAGCCAGCTCAATATACTAGTGTATCTAAGAGTGCAACGAGAAAATACTACAGCTAGAGTGTTGCCCATATTGGTAATGGTTTTGGCTTCCTGGGATCAATACAAAAACCATGTAGTCCTATCAAAACTGAAAAAATACAGTCTACCAAGGTCTCGACTCTTTGAATTGGTTTGTTGCCCCCATTACTTAGATGAAATGATCATTTATGGCTCTCTTGTCTCTTATGGACACGAATTTGTATGGCCATTGATCTGGGTAATCGCCAGTCTAAGCATTTCAGCTTTAGAATCAAGGAAGTTCTATCTTTCAAAATTCAAAGATACAGAAGTTCCTCGTTACGCAGCTATTCCATACATCTTATAGACCAAGTTACGACTAAATTGCATCACCCGATAGACTCTAACCTATAGATAGCAATATATAACTAATGACTATTCAATTCGTTTATATGGGTCTAATGGCTCAGATCACAAAATACGTAGTACATTTTAGGCTTAGGAATTTAATTTCAAGGCATCTTGATTTCTTAAAAACACAAAGGATCTTCAATATTATAGAAGTAACCAATTGTGTTTGGTACTCGGATTAGATAATTTACCACTACCACAGCCTCTAAGACCTCAAAAAGCGCTACTAAATCGAGAAAGCTCCAATTGCTAGATATTTGTGCACTATCGCACCGATAAGAAATAATCTAAGAGAATAAATCGAAGAAATACCCTGTTTCTACTTCAGAAACTGATTTAATTGATTAAATTATAAATCAAAACAACAGTTACTGAGGGATTATTACAATTACTAGCACTATTCTACTCTTTACCAACTTTTTATCTTTATATTGGTAAGGATCATTGTTTCTTGGAAGTGATTTATTGCGACCAGTTTACAAACTGCGCATTCCGCACCAAGACTAGATAGACCAATAATTGAACCATTGGGGTATATGACATAAAAAGAGATTTTTAAATTTTAAGAAAATAAGGCAGAAGTTTGGATTTATTGAACCCATTTAACCATTTGATTTAATCGCTCTCTAAGTTTTCTTTCTGACTTATTTTGACTGGTTTCAAATAATATCATAATAATTCAAATGTCTGCATCTCCACACAACTTGAACTCACGAAATAGCGTTAGTTTAGATTCATTTGAAAATAGTTTTGACGAGGCATTGGACAATATAGAAATCAACCCGGTACGAGGATATCATATTGATAATTCATTGAACAATAGCAATAGAATCACCGATTTTGACATAGACGAGAATTTTGAAATGAGAAGTGTTTTAGAAGATGAAGAACATTTTGATAACGATGGCCACCCACTCATGCGTGATAGGACAAGATCTAATGCTTCCACGCTGAACAGTAGGTATAACAAGTATAATAATGTTTCCGGTTCAAGATCTGTAACAGGCTATACCCCTTCAACGATAGGAGTTGGACTGAAAAAATGGTTTGTAAATGTTAAAACAGCAATATCTAGCGGTTGGAAAGATTATAGTACATCTGTTGCATTGGGAGATGAGCATACAGAAAGGGAAGTCCATCCTGGTACAACTCAAGTTTATGATAGACATAGATTTCCATCAAATGAAGTCTCAAACGCAAAATACAATGCTGTCACATTCTTGCCTACTTTATTATATGAACAGTTCAAATTCTTCTTCAACTTATACTTTTTATTAGTTGCATTATCGCAAGCAATACCAGCCCTTAGGATTGGTTATCTTTCATCATATGTGGTGCCACTAGCATTTGTCCTAACTGTCACTATGGCGAAGGAGGCATCTGATGACATCCAAAGGAGAAGACGTGATAGAGAATCTAACATGGAGCTTTACGAAGTTCTTGGAAGACCAAGACCAGTTGCAAGTAAAGATCTTAAAGTTGGAGATTTAATCAAGATTAGCAAGGGTGCAAGAGTTCCAGCAGATCTTATCCTACTGCAATCAAGCGAACCTTCGGGTGAAGCATTTATCAAGACAGACCAATTGGATGGTGAAACAGATTGGAAATTAAGAATAGCTTGCACACTTACTCAAAACTTGAATGAAGATGATTTACTGGAAAAGATTACTATTACAGCCTCAGCACCTGAAAAGTCAATTCATAGTTTTCTGGGCAGAGTAACATATAAAGATACAAATACCTCGGGTCTAACAATTGACAACACATTGTGGGCAAATACAGTTTTAGCATCTAGTGGATTCTGTATAGGATGCGTTATTTATACAGGTAGGGACACTAGGCAAGCTATGAATACAACTTCAGCTAAGGTCAAGACAGGCCTTTTAGAGTTGGAGATTAATGATATCTCGAAAATTTTGTGTGCTTGCGTGTTCATATTATCCATATTATTGGTTGTATTTGCGGGCTTACACAACGATGATTGGTATGTTGACATTATGAGATACCTCATTCTGTTTTCCACAATTATCCCTGTCTCTTTAAGAGTTAATCTCGATTTAGCAAAGTCAGTGTATGCTCACCAAATAGAACATGACAAGACTATACCTGAAACAATTGTTAGAACTAGTACTATTCCGGAAGATTTAGGTAGGATTGAATATCTATTGAGTGATAAGACAGGGACATTGACACAGAATGATATGCAACTGAAGAAAGTACATCTCGGCAATGTCTCGTACACTACAGAGACTGCAGATATTGTTTCAGACTATATTCAGGGAATGATAGAATCCAAAAATGACTCTGTCACTAATTTAGGACCTAGGTCGACAACCAGAAAAGATGCTGCCACACATGTAATAGACCTCATTACAACTCTTGCAATTTGTCATAATGTTACCCCAACATTTGAAGATGATGAACTTACATATCAAGCAGCATCTCCCGATGAAATTGCAATTGTTAAATTTACTGAGTCAGTTGGTCTTTCACTTTTCAAACGTGATCGTCATTCCATGTCTCTATTACATGAGCATAGCGGCACCATATTAAATTATGACGTATTGACTATGTTCCCTTTCAATTCTGATACTAAGCGTATGGGCATAATAGTTTATGATAAACAAAAAGATCAGTATTGGTTCTTACAAAAAGGTGCCGACACAGTTATGAACAGAATTGTCGCAAACAATGATTGGCTTGAAGAAGAAACAGGTAATATGGCAAGAGAGGGTTTAAGAACTCTTGTTATTGGGCGCAAGAAATTAACCAAGAAGATTTATGAGCAGTTCAAGAAAGAATATGAAGAAGTTTCAGCATCTATGTATAACAGAGAACAGGAGATGGCAAACACAATCTCAAAGTATCTTGAACATGATTTAGAACTATTAGGTTTAACGGGTGTCGAAGATAAGCTTCAAAAAGACGTTAAATCGTCAATTGAACTTCTAAGAAATGCTGGTATCAAAATTTGGATGTTAACGGGTGATAAGGTTGAAACTGCAAGATGTGTATCGATTAGTGCGAAGTTGATATCTAGAGGACAATACGTTCATGTGGTCACAAAACTGTCCAAACCAGAAGGTGCCTTCAATCAGCTAGAATATCTGAAAGTGAACAAGAATGCATGCCTTTTAATTGACGGTGAATCATTGGGAATGTTCTTGAAATACTATAGACAGGAATTTTTTGATGTAGTAGTTCATCTACCAACTGTGATTGCATGCCGTTGTACACCTCAACAAAAAGCTGATGTAGCTTTAATCATCAGAGAATTAACAGGTAAAAGGGTATGCTGTATTGGCGATGGTGGTAACGATGTTAGCATGATTCAATGCGCAGACGTAGGTGTTGGTATCGTAGGAAAAGAAGGTAAACAAGCCTCATTGGCAGCAGATTTTTCCATAACTCAGTTTTGCCATCTAACAGAGCTCTTACTGTGGCATGGACGTAACTCCTACAAGAGATCAGCCAAACTTGCCCAATTTGTTATGCATAGAGGACTAATAATAGCCATTTGCCAAGCCGTTTTCTCTGTCTGTTCTCAATTTGAACCAATAGCACTGTATCAAGGTTGGTTAATGGTTGGTTATGCGACGTGTTATACCATGGCTCCAGTTTTCTCTTTAACACTAGATCATGACATAGATGAATCCCTAACCAAGATGTATCCTGAACTATACAAGGACCTAACAGAGGGGAAATCTTTATCATACAAGACTTTTTTTGTGTGGGTAGCGCTCTCATTTTACCAAGGTTTAGTAATTCAAGGATTTTCACAAACATTCACAAGCTTAGCTGAAATAGATTTCACTAAAATGGTCGCAATTGGATTTACTGCTCTGATATTTAATGAGTTGATAATGGTTGCTTTAGAGATATACACATGGAACAAAACCATGATTATCACCGAGATAGTAACTCTAGCCATATATGTGTTTTCAGTACCATTCTTGGGAGAATATTTTGATCTGAAGTACATTTCAACCTTGAAATTCATAACTGAGCTGATATTGATTCTTGTTGTTTCGATTTTCCCTGTGTGGCTAACTAAGGCTATATATAGAAGATTGAATCTGCCCAGTTATGCTAAGGTCCAAGAATTTTCAACTGTATAATTCATTTATGGAACTAAATTGAATTGTTTATATTATTTTATTTTCTATAATTATTGAATTTTTTTGCATTCGAACAAGTTATTTTTTAAAAAATCCGACCATGATTATGCTATACTTTCTCCCTCACTTTCGCTATCAGATTCATAGGTTTTAGAGCTTTCACCATTATGTTGGGTCAGTGGCCTTTGAAAGTCCTTAGCATGAGCCCATGGTATTGATCTTGAAATATTATCAAAAATGGCAGTTCTTCTTCTCACAATTGAATGATAGGTAGCTGTAGGTTCCTCAAACTTATTATTTATATCAGACAAAGATAGATCCAAATCATGAAGATGAGATGGCCTTGATGATTCAATAGAATCCCGACCCTGCTGGAAATGCTGATCATCATATAAATCGGTAGTCGCTTTTCCACTAAAATCAACGACATCTTGATTTGGATAAGGTAATAGGGCTTCGCCTGTAACTCTAAACAAGTGAACATTAGCAACATGTTCATTCTCTACTCTAAATATCACCCATATAAATCTCCTACAAACCTCAGTCACGGCTAGAGCAAATGATGTAACCGCACTTTGTTGAATAGTTTGAGGTGCTACTGCATAAACGATCCACTGAAATCTAATAACCACATCCAGTACCATAGCAATATAGTAAACAGCTTTTCTAGACCAGTCATACTTACCAGTTTCCCAATTTCTTTTACCAGCAAGGTAGAGGTCCTTACGTAGAAATAAATTTTCATTACCGATTGACGATTGTAATACCGACCAATCCATAACCAAATCCCAAATCGAGGTGGAAATAGAGTTGAGTGTTGCAAAAATTATGAAGGGATTTCTTTTTGCTGGTGAATGATTCGAAAGTCTGTATGCACACAAGGTTGCATTATAGGCAACGCCCAAAAGATATTTTGCGGCATTAGGAAGATGTGGAAACCAGTCATTTGAGTCAAAGAATCTCCTGACACACTGCATAAATCTCCAAAAACTTGGCAAGCACGATAATACACCCATTGCCTTAGAATGTGATGATCCGCACATCCCCAAAGGGTCCTTCCGAGTTTTTGGTGCATAATAGCATGCAAAAATAGCAAGATCAGAAAGGGTGTATGTCAATGAACATATAATATCACCTAAGAAGAAATCTTTGAACTCAACTGGATATAAACCAGAAAGTACCAATCTAATCGTGGTTGTGACTAAGAACTTTCTCGTTTCAACCAATTTATCCCAATATGGGATCAAATCATATGGTGTGATAAAGAGAAGTCCTACAACAATGAAGTAAATGTAGCCATATGGAGTTAAGTGATCAAAATGGAAACTGAGAGCAGATATGATAGCACATGATATAATAAAGAACGCCAAAAAATATAATCTCAGTGGTATTCCTGTAGTTGCAAAATCATTATTGAAAAACTGAGTACCACTTTTCGCTTGAACTTCACCAAACATAATAAATCTATAGTTGATTCCTGTACGGTGCCAAATGAAGCAATCGATCAAGAAAAACAGGGAAATTAATAGTATCATATACCAACCACCCCAAATTGGGAACAAGATTTTATGTCTCTTTGTATTTAGTGGTGATAGAAAGGCCAGATATAAGGTATATGCAATTAATGTCACTGCAATACCTGTAAACACACCAAAAACAGTCATCTGCAAGATAGCCCTATTGTTTCTATGAATCATTTGTTCATTTAGTGAATATTGAATGCTTACTTTCTTAAGTTTCTCCAAATGTCTTTTCTTCTCCGATAACGAGTTTACTACATCTACGGTGTACCATTTAGTCAGTTTGGCTTCCCAAGCTCTTAATGGGTCAATCGTGGTCGATGTGAGCGATACGTTAGTATCAGTAATCGTTGAGGAGTCCTCCCCAATATCATCGTCGGTGAGAGTTTTTGCCTTTGAAGCTTTTATTGTAGCTTCTGTCGACACTGCATCATGCTTGAAGATGGTATAATTAGCTCTAACGAATCTCATAAATCCTGCGAGTTCTTGAGTCTTGCATGTTTTATCGAATTTCTTTACTATTTTACGAAACCCTACAACATTGACATCTCTGTAGCTCTTGACTAGTTGTAGGAAAAGGTAGAATTCAAGTAAGGCATCGCTGAGTAAAGCTCTGGCATGCTTCAACTCTTTATGTGGGTTTTTAAGTATCTTATTACCGTGTTCATCTTTATTGCGCATTAGGTTAAGGTTTAAGTTTAGCTTATTACTGTATGCAAAAGTCTCTTTCAATTTGGTGTTGATACTTTTAGGCTTCAATGCCTCGGGTATCGTCTCTATAAACATTTTGGGCCAGGAAGGCATCAAATCATGCTCGTTCAGGAAGTGTTTCAAAGTCATCTGGAACATATTGTCGTGCTTCTTGAAACTGAGCTCGGGATCCTCTTCGATATCTTCCTCCGGCGCATTTGAGATAGACCCGTACGCCTGCAACACCGAGGTAGATGACGTCTGGTAAGTGACACGCGATGATATCTCCCTGAACTCCTTCTTGTGCTCCCTGTAACAGTCAAGCTGCTGCGACAAGATCAAGTACTTCTCCTGACACTGGCTGAGCAACCACAAGTAGAACTCATTACATTTGTACAGCTGGTTGGGTATCAACCAGTCCTCTATAAAATCGTTTATACATTCGACCTGGAAATCGTTGTACTTCTTCTTGGGCGTCCCACGCCCGCTCACATACCCAACTGCCGGAATGTTAAGCTTGGCAGTGTTCGCCTTGTACTTCTTCAGCTTCTTCTTGCCATACTTGTAATCGATATACTTGCCCTTCCACTCTGAAATCGTAGACTCCCTAAGATGATCCGCAAACTTCATCGCTCCAAACACAATGCACACGCACTACAACATATAGAGGGAGCTCCAGAAGCCAAAAAGCCAGAAGTATGACAGGAACTCGCCAATATTATAGCTTCCATGATGGGTTTATGTGCTGCCTTTTCTACCAAATGCTCATCGCATCGGCCCATCGGCAACAGCGAAACTAAACCCATGTGACACTAATAAGAATTGAAAAAATAATATTAAAAAACCAGTCACGTGTCATACAGCCTAAAGGCTGCCAAATATATAGCTTATACACAGAAGTAGACAGGAGTATACAGGAATATACAGGAGTAACTGGCCTTGCTATATATCTCATGTAGCATGTGTCGAGAGACGTTTGTGTTAGTGTCTTGAGTTTGTAATATCCCTGCCCCTTCCACTCCATATTTCAGCCTTTTGTATTTGGTCCTTGCGAAATGTATCCATTCATGCACCAATGCAGTCCTTTGATAATGGCTAAACTTGCAACTACAAGAGCAACTGGAACTCGGGATTGTGCCAGTGGAAGGTTTGGTCATGATCATGAGTGATTGTGCAGGGAGGCTGTTGTTGCTAGTGATAAGCGTGGGCTTACACTAAAGTGACTCATTGGGAATTGCGTTGCAAACGTGTGCGTCATCTTGCTTGTGAGAGCACTCTCTGGGCAAAGTATATAAAGCAATTGGCATTCTAGTTTGCAGTTGTTGACTGGGACTAGTTTCGCCATTGATAAGGAGACCTCTCACACACAAGACGCTCAATAAGATTAGGAAGAATGGATTTTGTGAATCACTTGAACGACAGACTGCTGTTTGCTGTGCCAAAGAAAGGTAGACTGTATGAGAAGACGAAGCAGCTGCTGAACGGGTCGGACATCAAGTTCAACCGTTCCAACAGACTGGACATTGCGCTGTGCACTACGCTGCCAATTGCGCTTATCTTCCTTCCTGCAGCTGACATCCCAACGTTTGTCGGCGAAGGTAAGTGTGACCTGGGTATCACTGGTCTGGACCAAGTGAAGGAGTCTGGTATTGAGGAGATCGACCTGCTGATGGACCTGGGCTTCGGAGGTTGCAAGCTTCAAGTGCAAGTGCCTGAGAAGGACCGCAAGTACACAGACCCCAAGCAATTGGTCGGCAAGACCATAGTCTCCAGTTTCGTCAAGCTGAGTCGCGACTACTTCCAGCAGTTGGAAGAAGAAGTCCTGGGCAAGCCAGTGGATAAGCTATCTACAAAGATCAAATACGTAGGTGGGTCCGTCGAGGCCTCGTGTGCCCTGGGCGTCGGTGACGCAATTGTGGACCTGGTCGAGAGCGGTGAGACCATGCGTGCTGCGGGACTGATCGACATAGCCACAGTGCTAGAGACAAGTGCATACCTGATCCAGGCAAGAAGACCACAGCAGGACAAGTCCAGAGAGGAGCTGATCGAAGTGATCAAGTCCCGTATCCAAGGTGTGCTAACTGCGCAGAGATACGTATGCTGCTCCTATAACACCCCAGAAGGAAACCTGAAAGAGCTACTGAAGGTCACCCCGGGCAGAAGAGCACCTACAATCTCCAAGCTGGACGACGACGGATGGGTAGCGGTGAACTCAATGATCGAACGTAAACGTAAAGCTGATATAATGGACGAGTTGAAGCGCAAAGGTGCCTCCGACATCATGGTCTTCGAGATTTCAAACTGTAGAGTCTAGGGTTTTAAGAGAAGTGACTACTGACCCCTTACAACCCCCCGCACACACTGGATTCTATTCTATTATTATAGATAAAGCATAGTACATACAGAGGGACAAACCCTCCATTCCATAATTTATTATAAATGATAAACAGTAAATACTATTTAATCGAAATAGACATGGCACTCCAGAGCCACACTTTGCCATTCAGTTTATCAAAGGAGGGGGGCCAGAAGGACACAGGATATCTCTTAAGGCACTCATCCCATTCAGCCATACTGCCAGCACCCTTTTAATACTATCTGGTGCTCACTGCAACGCTGCAACTCAAAGTGCTGCCCCATTGAGCACCCCCCCCATTGTGTACTTCATAGTGTGTATTGTGAGATTATATCGATAAGTCACGTGACTGAGCTACAAACTCATTTGCCATAATTCGCAGCTGCTTGAAGTAGTTCATCCAGCGCTGGCAGGTCCATCCAAAGCACCGGTGGCACATTACACAAGCTATAGCACTGGCATATATATATTGCACATGCTTCATGCCTGCCCCCCCCTCACTTGCCTCTTGTAACTGGTCCCACCATTACATACACCTCACACAGTTAAATTTTTTCTTGCAACTGTGCGGGCCCAACTGGATCAAATATTAAAGAAGTAGTGGTTTCATTGGTAAGTATTACAGGTACAATCCATAGCAAGCGACGTTATAGCACAATAGCTTGCTTTGAGTTGTGTATCTAGTTAGTGAAGATATGGAGGTGCGACAGGTGAAGCATAGTCGCGACGATACTGAGGCTGAGGGTGCCAAGAGGCGGAAGATGCCCTATGATGAGCAAATACAGATGCTTGCGGAAGAGGAAGAGGAGGACACGATGAAGCGCGATATGGGAGATGCGCTGGCTACGTCGACTGAGAGCCAGAGTGGCGTGAGCGTGCTTCCGCGGGACAACTTTCAGCGGTATTGCTACAGACATAACCCTGAGATACAAACGTCGAATACGCACGAGCTGTGTTATAAGCAGGACATGCAGCGGATTAAGATGATTAATAACAAGATCTCGCAGCTGGCGTGCCCGAAGGAACAAGCGGACATCCATCACATAATATCAAAGTACACTAACTCTAATGACAAAGTAAGGAAACTGATACTGGACGGTATACTGACGTCAAGTTGCTTCCCACAGCTGTCGTATATTGCGCAGCATATCAACACCATGATAAAGATAGATTTTATAAGCGTGCTGCCGCAAGAGCTGTCCTTGAAGATACTCGGGTACTTGGACTGCCAATCTCTTTGCAATGCCTCGATGGTATGCAAGAACTGGCACCTGTTGGCTGATGATGACAGGGTATGGTACCATATGTGTGAACAACATATAGACCGTAAGTGTCCAAACTGTGGCTGGGGCTTACCGCTTCTTCATATGAAGAGAGCCAGAGTTTGCTACATAAAAGCCAAGAATCCCAACACAACCGTGAATGACAGGAAAATGATTCAAGATAATGACAATAGAATAAGCCCACTTACTGATCGTACACAAGGGAACGAAAGTCCCGGAGCTACTTTCAGTACAAATGTTTGTACCACTGCATCCAACAATACCGTCAGTGGTAGTAAAAGCAGTGGACAAGGGCAGCAAGAGAATGGGAGATGCAGGCAGAAGTCTTGGAAAATGGTATATAGAGAACGGTTTAAAGTGGAATCCAACTGGCGTAAGGGACTTTGTACAATCCAGGAGTTTAAAGGTCACATGGACGGTGTGTTGACATTACAATTTAACTATAGACTACTATTTACTGGCTCTTACGATACCACAGTTGCAATCTGGGATTTATTTACGGGTAAATTAATTAGAAGATTAACTGGTCACAGTGATGGTGTAAAGACGTTGTATTTTGACGATCAAAAACTAATAACAGGGTCCCTGGACAAGACTATCAGAGTGTGGAACTACATTACAGGTGAATGTATATCTACATACCGTGGACACACTGACAGTGTAATGAGCGTTGACTCTCATAAGAAGATTATTGTGTCTGGTAGTGCAGACAAGACAGTCAAAGTATGGCATGTAGAGTCTAGAACTTGTTATACATTAAAGGGCCATACCGAATGGGTTAACTGTGTCAAGCTGCATCCAAAGAGTTTTAGTTGTTACAGTTGTTCAGACGATACTACAATAAGAATGTGGGATATAAGAACTAACACATGCCTCAGAGTTTTCAGAGGGCATGTGGGACAAGTTCAGAAGGTTATACCATTAACAATCATCGATGCTCAGAATCTGGTAACTCACGAGAGGAAACCTGGTGAGGAAGACGATATTGCCAGCAATGGTACCGGTGAGGATGATCCGGAAAATGGAGTCAATGGCCAACGTGAACTGGATAAAAAAATGCCATACCCAACACATTTGTTATCCTGTGCGCTAGATAACACCATTAAGCTATGGGAAGTAAGGAGTGGTAGATGTATCAGAACGCAGTTCGGGCATGTGGAGGGTGTCTGGGATATCGCCGCCGATAACTTCAGAATTATCAGCGGGTCGCACGATGGTAGCATCAAAATTTGGGATCTACAAAGTGGCAAATGTATGCATACCTTCCATGGAAGAAAACTGAAAGGTTCTGATGTAAATACCAGTAGTAACCCGGACCACGATGAAAGGACTAAGAGTGCCCCAGTCGCATGCGTCTGTATAGGTGACTCTGAATGCTTCAGTGGCGACGAATTTGGGTGCGTTAAGATGTACAAGTTCGACAGTCAGGACTGAGAAAGTGCGTTGCCATTGCAGTGAATGCTAGCCTACATTAATTTTATTTTTTTTAAGCGTTGTTTTGAGTATTTCTGTTCAGGATGTATTCAAGAAAGGGACCAGTATATAGAGATAAATAGTATTTGCTTTTCTAATAGGGAATTTCCGGTTAATTACACATCTATAATCATAGTATGTCTAATTTTTTTGATTGCTGGCTATGTTAATCTTACAGGACTAGTCAATAAATGCCGTTGTTGCACCAAGGGACAACACATCCCACACCCCCACGCAAACACAGAGAAACGCTCGCACCAACAGGACCAAGAAACGGGATAAGAGATGGCAAACTTACTTCACACCGAATTGTCACTAAAATCGCTGGGTCTTTGCTTTGCAAATGATGTGTAATCAAGGGATGAATCTCGTTTATCATTGCTCGGTTGCCCTGCCCCACTGTGCCAATTGACTTCTTCCTCTGGCGTCGATAAACAATGGGGGAGTCATTTCTTGTTTCTATTGGGTATTGAAGGGGATCAATCGAGGGGCCATGCCCAGATAACGCAGGTGTTGGCGAGGGATGTGAAGTTAGCATGGATACTGGGCATATCAGCTATATTTCTTGCTCGTGGTACCCCCTCTCCCCCGGGTCTCAAGCCCCTTGGCACTTTGCACTTCGATAACAATTCCTTATATATACAGATAAATATCCTACTTTCGACTTAAACTCTGAACACCGATTTTCGAAGACCAGTTTCAGCAATTTCAACCAAGTAAAGGACAGTTTGTTATATAAACGTCTGTAATACACTATTCTACTGGCTAGCATCGAGTAGCCTTACAAAGAGAGTATAACCCTTCGAGACTCTGGATAGTGTGACACGATCCAAACAAGCGTTGTGAAAAGTTCCCACAGTGAGGAGTCCGATAACGAAAGGAAAGCTCAACGGAAGGAGTCGCACGCAGAGGGATATTTAGTTCAATCACATCCTCTGGGGATAAAATAGTTCAAAGAGCCATTACCGTCTTAGTGATTGGATGTATATAGACGAGGAGATCGACAGTGTTTTTGTGCGGCGATTAGACGGCGATAGGAGTTCTGAAATGAAGAGTCGATCAACTAGGAGGTCGCTGAAGAAGAAGAAGAAAAGCAATGGATCTACAGCCAAAAGTACTTCTAGTGCACACAATGATAAGCCTGTGAAACAATCAGCTGTGGGACAACAACCTATGGCTGCTAAGGCCAATATGAGATCCAATGGCACTGCCGGCAAAACTGTGGTTGCGCAAGATGACTCAAAAATGGATGCCGAGAGGATTCATCAAGAGGCCACTAAAAGATTTGCGGTTATCGAGTCTATAAGGAACGACAAGGCCTTAGAGGCACAGACACCGTTTACTAAGAATTTCACAATACATGAGAAACTACCAGATCACAAAGACAACAAAGATGTCAAAACAACCGCTGGCTCGGGAAAGAGTGACCTGGTAGTGGATACTGATGATCATATTAAAACAGCTGAATCTATGGATATAAGGCTAAACAATCCCCTTTTGAAGGACTCACAAAATTCTGTGGAAAACGGTAAGGCCATTAATGTCGAATCTAAGAAGAACGAAGAACCTATGACTATTCTAAGAAAACATAATAATCAAAACATAACCGAAAACAAAAACGATACAGTACCCAAACAAAAAGATGCTATGCCAAATGTAAAATACTCACCTAAGGTAAATGATACAAAAATCGAAACAGAAAATGTCTTAAAAAAAAATCACGATACATACACTCAACTTAATTCAAAGGTAGCCATTTCAATGGAAAATCCTGTGGAAAAAGTACCACTATCTTTGGATACATACCAAAGTCAACCTAAAATTAAAGCAGAGACCACCCCAGATCTTATTACAGGTGAAAGAAACATTAGGAGAACTTCAAATGTAATAGGGACTGGAAAGGGTAGAATAAACTCGCTGGATTTCTTGCACAAACCTCAAAGGGTAACGCAGATGAAGTCCGAGGATTTCATATCTCCAGAGGAGCTCAAGCGGAACACTGATATGAACAAGCAAATTTTAATGGCTAAAATACTACCTGATGATAGAATTAACGACAAAATAGATGATATAACGACACCAGAGGAAGAAATCACTGGTCTTAAACATGAGCTTGGCAAGATGTCTATAGGAAACGGCTCTGCCAACTCCCCAGCAATAAATTCTATAAAAGCGGAAGAGATAATCGAGCTAGCTCAAGATGAATCTATTTCGCCAACAGAGCACCATTATCCAATCCTAAATAGGGCCAACCAAGCCCAACAAGACGTGTGCTTACCCTTGCATGATTCATACGATCAATCTCCAGTGGAGGACCACATGATGCCATTGCCCCCGGTATACAAGAAGTCTGGGGAGCTGGTGAAGAGTTCTCTGAAGAGGAGATCGAAGTCCCTGCCGGTGACGCCAAACTCGAACAGGAGAACTCAGAACTCACGTGGCGTGCGCATGAATAACCCCAGAGACCAATTGATTCGTAGTAAGAGTGTCCACTTTGACCAAAGGCTGCCAGTGAAGTATTTCTTCAAAGAGGAGAGTCCCAGCGTCGTTAGTATCCGTGATGAAGAGGACGACGTGCTAAGTTTCCAACACAAGCCACTTGTTCGCAGTATTGATCGCAACAATGGCAGAAAGAAGAGGCTAGACCTGAACAGGAGACTTGAGGGTGGGTTTATGGATGACGATGAGGATGGGTATCCGTACAGCTATGATTACGACGAGGATGACGATGAGACAACGCGTGGGGGCACAGACCTCGACCGGTACATGGACGAGTACGACTACGAGAACGGGTTCAGCCAGGGCGACAGTATCTTTAGCCGCGGGCTGAAGTCTCTGATGATGAACGACCGTGGCAGTGGTCTCAAGGACAACTTCAAGGACCCCACTCCGCCGGTCTCGCAATCAAGCACGAGCAAGAAAGAGGAGAAGATGACCACTCTAGTGAGCAAGAACTTCCCAACGCTGGGCAGCAAGACGTCGAAGTCGCTGAAGTTGAACATCTTCTTGAACTCCACGAGCGACAAGAAAGTGCTGTTACAAGAGGTGAGTCTCAATGTACAGAAGCGCAAGTCCAACTACTACAACAGCAACTTTGGCGGACCCGGTATCGGCTTCTCCACTGGCCGAGACGAGGACGACAAGCTGATCATCACGGGCACGGTGCTTGTCAAGAACATATACTTCGACAAGAAGGTCTCGATACGTTACACCTGGGACCACTGGCGCAGTTGCAACGAAGTGGAGTCCATGTACGTGGGCTCCGGCAACAACTACCTGCCAGGATCGCAAATGGATATATTCAGGTTCATGATCGACAACACCGTGCTCAGCAACGGCCAGTACGTTTCCAACCGCAGCCGAGAACTGGAGTTCTGCATCCAGTACACCACCCGCAGCAACACTGCCCGCGAGGAGTACTGGGACAACAACAACGGCAAGAACTACATCGTGGAAATCCAGTAGCACAACTCCCCTACCTCTATCGGTGTGATATATAAGAATACTAACATATGTATCGGGCTTTAGCAATTATCGTCATATACGCAAATAAGTACTCCTCTTTTAACCTTCCGCCTTTGTGAGTGCTCTCCTAAATCACTCTACCTGCCCCTTCTCAGGGCCTCCCCCCGCTCCTCCTCCCCCACACATACCTGCGTACAGCTGAACTGGAAATAGAAAGAAACTTTGAAACAACCTGCAATAGGACTGAGAACTGCCCCTGAATACTCCAACTTCCTAAAAGGGAAACACAGGGATGTTATTGGTCTTGTACTAATTGTTTTCCTTACAAGCACAGACATTACAGCAGAAACTGCAACTTCCCACTGTAATGAATCATTTGTGTATTGGGAAGGGTAGTCCAGGGTCCGGTGTTTCTGCGTCTCCGTCTGTGGCTACGTCCCAGTTGAAATATAAATAGCCCTTGGCTATTCAGCTCGGTATTCTTGAAACTCCCCACAGAAACACCCGCGCGACATTTTTCCAATTCCCTTTATTTCTGTTTTTCGCCACGGGCTTCTTCCCTGCTTGGTGCTCATGGCGCTCCTGTGCTCGGCCTATCATCGCTCTCCTGCGTACGTGTGAAAGCATAACTTATGTCCGGTTGTTCCGGTGTCTCCGGGTCTTTCACTGTGGCAGTCAAGTGTATATTGGCTGCCTCTCAAGTAGGACAGACAGCATCTGGACACAGATATTGCCGCACGCACCACCAGGTATTAGCTAATTAGAGATTTTCTCTTTGCAAGCACTGTATCTCCGCAGCCTGTTGCACTCTCATCCTGCTAATGTGTGCTTGTCTTTTACAACCAAAAAATCTCTCAAAATGGCTGAAATGTCCAAAAAGTCCTCTTTCTTCCAAAAACCTGTGCACTTGTATGTACTTTGCAGGAGACACAGAGACATATCGGGGAGCACAGCCAGTGTGGACATGGGAGGCCTTCCCCTTTTTCTGAAGGGCATCGCCTATCCCAGTAGCCCTAAACAGTTACAAAGTGCCATTCTTTTTGCCATAATAGCGCACTTCCCAAGCAGTCAGCTACAACAACTCACACTAATGGCACCCAATCCCCAAGGTATATAAAGAGACCATGTCAATCAGGGGAAGTAAATATGTCTTCTGTAACATAATGACCAACACATTCAAGAAATAAATAAACCATTAACTCCAAAATACAATAGAGAGATAGAAGAGACTAGGCAAAGTATATGCAAGACTTCAACATGCTGCTCACTATATTCTTTTTCGTTTGCGCTTTCTACTACGGTATTCACAGAACTGTGATCAACAGATATAAGGGCGAAGTACCATACCTGGCCTGAAAACAGTACACAAGAAAAAAAAAAGACATTCATGAATTTCCTTAAAAACATAATAAGCCGACCCCCTTCTTTACCACAACGAAATATCAATTCCCTTACAAAACACATCATCTAATTTATATCCACTTTTAAAACCAATATTAAAATATAAGAAAAAAAAAAAGCTCTTAAAAAGAAGAGGAAATGAAATGGCTTCTGCATAGCTGGTCTAGCGCGAAATACCACAAAAAAACAACAACAACATACATATCTAATCTTTAATTTTAATTTAATACATTATCTACATCAATTCTAATATATTATTACTTAACTATTCACAGCTCAACTCCAGACATTCTTGAATAGCTCATCGTCATCGATGGAGAGCGATGAGTTATTCTGTGGTGTAGTGTTGAACGGTGTAGTCATGCCCATGCCGCTGGATACGTTCATAGTGCTGTTGTTGTTGCTCTTGCTGGCGTTGGCACTGGAGTACAATGATAGTATAGACTTCTTCAGGTCGTTTCGTTGCGGTGTGTCCTGCTGGGTGGGTCTTGCGGGCCTCTTATTTTCCACTATCTCTTTGCGGCCTTGTAAGTTCAGCAGGCTTGAGCTATGCGTGCTTTGTGGTTTCAACTTCTCTTCAACAGCAACGGTGTTGTTCGTTGACTCATTAGACGAGGACATTGTGGACACCAGAGAGCTCGATGAGCTGTTGGCTTGGCTAACCACCGGCTGGTCGCGGGATAGGTCCACACTGCTGTCCATCCAGCGCTTACGCTCGTACTTCTGCCTGATGAACTCTTGCAACAAGTTGATGTCGTTACCGAGGCTCTTCCCGTTGAACTTCGAACTGTCGGGCAGCTTCGCCTCGTATACTCTGTTTGCGTTAACGTTGTTCCTCATCTGCACTAGCTCTTTCAAGTGCTCCTCCTTCCACGTATCCAGGTCAACAGACTTGACCTTCGAGATATGTGTCCCCAGGGACCTGTGCACACCGGCACATTTGATACATATGAACACACCCAGAGACCACGATGCCCACCTTGGGTGCGACTGAGACTTGCAGTCCGCACATGAGGCGTTGCCGGGATCGCGCAGTAGCGTAGTAAGAGCTTTCTTCACTGGAACAGAGGTCATTAATGTGGTATTATAAAGAACAAAAGTATTATGCAAAAAATATAGGAAATGAAGGGGAAGTTAAAGTATGGTGACTATGCCAAAGGATGCAGATATGAAACAGATGTATTCGTAGGGATATTCTATGCTTCAAAAAAAAAACTTGCTGATCAATGTGACCGTCTATCTATTCTTGTCTCTCTCTTATGATTTTTCTTTTGGTTTTTTTTATCGTGGGTATACGTTCAAACCAAAATTCGCGTAAATATAATTGACAAATGAGTACCTTTGCCGTTGCTCTGATGGCTAAATATAGCTTTTGTAGGTCTATCTTGGCAGCTTGATCCTTACAATTTCATATTTTTTTTTTGCAAAAAATCGACGATTTGAAACAATTATTGATCTTATAGTAACATACGAGTGCTATACAGCAAATGTGCCTCTTCTTGAACTGCACATTTGTTTATTTCTATATGGGGTGTGCTAGTTGAAAACGTCCTTGGAATATCTTACTGGTATTTACATAGTTAATGGCACCTGCCTTCAACTCAGAAGACAAACACACGGTCTTCCATCTTTGAGACAGGCTTGGCCCTTGGGAATCCGAGAGCGACGGCGTTCCTCTTGACAGAAGAAACCATGCCTGGCGGACCACAGACGAGCAATTGAACGTCCTCTTCCGCAGATGGGAAGGATTCCTTCATGAGATCCAATGTCACGTAGCCTACACCGCCTTCCCAGTCGTCACGCTCCGGTTTGTCAAGAAGATAGGTGATCTTGAACTGATCCGGTCTTTGCTTGACAAGGTCATCCAATTCTTGCTTCAAAAGTATGTCCTCTTCTAGCACGTTACCATACAGCAAAGTTACTCTGGTCTTATCACTGGGGTCCCGGGCAATAGCCTTCATTATTTGAAACATTGGAGTTATACCAGTACCACCAGCAACCATGGCAAGGTGTTTATGAACATTTGGCACATACTCGTAGAATCCTCTAGGACCAGATATGTTGATTTTTTCACCAATCTTCATGTCACCAATGTGCTTGGAGATATTACCTTCAGGATAAGATTTGACTAGCAACTCAAAGAACCCGACACATTCTTCGTCCAGAGAGGTTGGCGTGTATGATCTGCTCACTGGCTTGCCACCAATTATGGTTTTAACAGTGATATGCTGACCAATTGGCAACCCCAACACATGTGACTCATCTGCGAGCTTGAACTTGTATTTTGCAGTGTTATGTGTCAATTGCTCCTTCTCTACCAACTCAAACTCCCTAAACTCTGTCTTCAACAGTGCCTTCACAGCCTCCTTCTGTGAAACACCACCTTTCTTGCTGTACGTAAAAAGCTTGTAGAACAGTACTAGTACCGAGAACGTCGCCAAAATCTTTATGCCATCCATTGTATGACCTTTTTTACTTATTTTAATCAGACCTAGAGTTTTTGATGACTGTTATATACGCAGTTACAATCAGGGCACAAATAAAAGACACAGCTACCAAATAAAGGCAAAATACACTTGACTAGGCCAACGCGTGGCTAGCATCAAAGCAAAGATTAAATTACTGATCAACGTTCATTAAGAAGCACCTATTTCAACTTTCACACACTCCCCCGAGGTGTTATCCAATTTTTTTTTTCAACGATTTTTTTGGTGACAAAATGCCAGTTTCTGATCCAACAACAATGAAAAGGAATATATAATAAAACTTTATGGTACAATTTAGGAGGGCGAGCGTGGCTTCATCATTCGTCCTTCTTGGGCTCCAACATCTTCTTTGTTGGCCCTTTCAACTTGATATACACGTCTGTACCCCATCCCCATAGACTTTGAATATCCAACTTACCGTCGAACATCTCTATGTAGGCCTTGCACATCGGCAGTCCAAATCCCATACCTGAAACAATGTTTATATCCTCTCCTGGGATCACATATGCGCTGGCACCGGACTCCTTCTTATCCGACTCCACCGTAGTGTAGGAGTACTCGAAAATGTGAGACTCAACGTTTGGTGGTATACCTCCGCCAAAGTCTCTTATTCTAATCTCCAACTCTTCATCGTATTTTTCATCCTTGACTATTTGCACTTCTACTGGCTTCTCAACGAGACAGTTGTGAGATGTGGTGTTCTCTATGTGAGCGCGGTATGAGTTTTTAAGAATCTCGGTTAGCACATACTCTAGAATGGTGGGGATGCAGGGGAATGTCACATCGTGGCCGCCATATATTTTTACAGGTGCTACGAGCTGGTCGTACTTGACAAAACATAGATCACTGACGAACTCCGAAACTTTCTTGACCATATCTGCCACTGGCAACGCCTTGTGAATAGTCCCGATCATATTTGGATCAGAGTCCCGATTGTGATTACTCACAGCCAAATGATTTGTAGCAAGGATCTTCATAGCGATCCTGTCTCTTAAGTGTTCATCCAAGAACTTGAATATAGTATCCTTCTCGAGGAAGTCCATGATTTCTTCCAGGCCACGCGACAATGTCTCTACGGTATCCTGATGATCATCGAGAAACTCTATCAGTAGTCCATGTATAATGTCTTTGTCATGCAATGCATAAGGAAATTCAATGGAGAGTAACGATTCCAACGTCTTAAGATATAGTGAGTAACTCTTCTCGATAGATGGATTCACAGCAGCCACATAAGGTAGTTTCTGAATAGCATTCAACCTCCTGCAAGTGTACGATAGAAGAAGATTGATAGTCTTGATGGTCAACATGTACTCTTCATTGGCACTCAGTGGTGGTTTGTAATGAGTCAGATAATCATAAGTCAACGGAGGAATCGGCTTGCTAGCATATTCTTGAATCAGCAGCTCAATGTTAGACCGGATCTTATAGTGCTTGTCAAACTCCAAGTGTTTCAGCCTATCCTGATAGTTAGCCACTGAACCATACTTGCTGTTTTTCAGTAAAACTGACGCCGCATGAAACTGTCTGCCAATTACTCTCCGATGGCCTCCCAAACGCAAAGCGCTACGTAAAAACATCTCGCCTCAATAAATCAGTTTCAAGGCTCAGACTATACACTTATTACAAGGGGCACAGATCAGCAGAATGATGCTGATCATCCATTTCCATTATAGCAGTTTTGCTTCATTGACTTGACTCAAAGGTCCAGTTGGCGATCACTTCCCACTGGGTTTAAGGCTCTCCTTCACCCAAAATTTTTCTTCAGAAAGCTTGAAAAGGGAAGCCTACCAGGTAACAAAAATGCATATGTATTTAGAAGCAATAGGTTTCTTCAATTGGCTTGCTCAATCGTATATTCCTATAGCAATTATATTAGCGAGAACAAATGTCCAACTTCAATTCGTTTGCCAACTCACTAAGGGAGAACTTGCAAAGTTTCTCGAACACCGTGTCACAAAAGACCCATGAATTGTCTACAAACATCCCTACGTTGGCCCAGAGTACCCAGCGTATGGTCCAGGAGAAACTAGGCCAAGTCACTGACATTAGTCAATTACCTCAAGAATATCTTGAGCTGGAGAACAAGGTAGACACCATTAAGATTGTTTATGAGCACTTCTTGCAAGTCACTGCTGTTTATGAGAACGAGTCCTATGACTATCCAAAGTATGTTAGTGAATCTGTCAATGAGTTTTCCAAGAATATGGCTGCTAAGGTTCAGGAGTTGAGTAAAGCCACTTCTGCCACCGAGGCACAAAATATTCTGGTTGCACCTGGTCCAGTAAAGGAACCCAAGACACTGAACTATGCCATGAGCAAAGTTGCTTTGAACGCCAGCGAGTACTTGAATCACAGCTTCGATGACCCAATGGACGCTAAGCTATCCAAGGTGCTCCTGAACTACAGCGATGTCCAAACCAAAGTGGCCCAAGCAAGATTGCAACAGGATACCCAGATTCAAACAAAATTTAACAAAGTTATAAGGGAGAACTTGGCTGAAAGCATTGCCAGAGCCAACAAAGCACGTAAGGATGTCCAGTCTAAGAGACTACAATACGACGTCGCAAGAACTAACCTACAAAACGCGAAACCTGAGAAGGAAGCTGGTCTAAGAGTACAAATGGAAACTTTGGAGGATCAATTTGCACAAGCAACCGAAGATGCTACTGTAGTTATGCAAGAGGTTATTGCTAGTGCCAACTTCTTACCTAGTTTGAAAGAATTGGCTACCGCTCAATTAGAATACTACGAGCAATCTGCTAAATTGATGAAGGAATTTATATCTTCCGTTGACTCTTCTAGCTCTGACGCTCCAGCTTCCAAGACTTCCAAGACTTCTCAGACTAGCACCACTACTGATGCCGGCATCTCTCTAGAAGATGACGACGACGAGCCATTGCCTCCAAAATAAATGAATTAATCAAAAGTATTTGGCCTTGATTGGGACTGCCATTGCTCTCATAGTCAAAACACAGTGTTTTAACTCTTTTACTTTTGCTATATTGTCAAAAGATATGCTACTTATTCGTATAAAACCCATATAATTTTACAAATAGAAAATAATATATATATAATCACCAGAAGATATGCAATTGTTATGTTAAGTAACTAAATATCTCGGTTTTGTTCTATCCTTTAGGACCACTTACCAGCACACCAACATTGTCCAACTGATAAGTAGAGTATAATGTTCACATCGGAAACATGACTGATTAATGTATATCAAAATATCCTAAGATAGAAGTACTAGTCATATAGCTAATTTGATCTTGAATTTATATTAAGTACTGCAAAAAAATTAGGTCCTACCCGGATTCGAACCGGGGTTGTTCGGATCAAAACCGAAAGTGATAACCACTACACTATAGAACCATAAGAAGTTCTTGTTAGTCTACAAAAATCAGGCTGCCATGTTGAAAGATATGAAAGTCACATGATCTCATTATTGTGTGTCATAGTGTGTTTCCCTTTTATATCAGCAACTTCATTGTATTTATTCATAAAATCTATTCCAGGTGCTGGAGGTTTTGAAGAATACGTTGTAGGTTCTACATCGTTTCTATAAGTACTTGATCTCTAGACACAATGTCCCTCTAAATTACTTATACCTCACATGCTATTCTGTAATGTAAGTTATTTTCATCCACAAATAGTATACTAGCTATGCTGATTTCGATATCAAGAGGTTGTTTAAAGTATACTTTGATGAATGATAATTCGATCTTAGGATATATATAAGCTGTGGAGTCACTTGTGCTTTCCCCTTCTAAACTCCGCGTTGGTAAGGAGCCGGGTATATCAAGAAACTGATTGACAGTCCCAAGACGGTTTTTTTGGACATGACTATTGTTTCATAACAAATACATCCCATAATCATTGAAATTAATTTTTAAGATATCTACAACTTGGGAATTATCCAATAGATGATTTTAACCCTCTCACATGAACATCTAGTGATTCTTGAAGATATCCTCAGTAACAATATTCTGACCTGATTATATACCTTGATATATTAGTGAATATTATTGTACTCTACTTTCAGTTAGTAACATGTGCCTGAGTAATTGGAAATAGTAAAAATGTTGGCCTTTCATTTGCCACATCTCTAGCATCGCAATTGCTATTGCCTTGATGTTTTATTTCCATGTCAACTTTCACTTAGTGGAAATGAGTTGGATATAATTTTTAGGATTGGGGCTAAGGAATCTTGCTCAACATAACAAAAAGTTTCCAATTATGAATAAAATAACAGGTTACCAAGTTGGATATCAGTTGCTATTATTTTACCTTTGTCAGTATCAAATTGTATGCTCCAACATTTCACATTATATAAATTCTAAATGGATTAGATATCGAATACAAGAAAGTGATGCACTAATAAAAGTAGAATATTTACAAAGAATATTGCCAGTTACAATATGTATACTGTTAGAAACATTTTCATCTGCTATAATTATTACTTTGCATTTGACTCCTTGACCAATATTCTTGGTTAATGAGTCCAGCTTATAATTAGCTTCTTAATTTGAAAAAAAAGGAAATCTGCGATGACATGCATAAACAGAGGCAATATTGTACTTGAAGTAGAAACGAAACAGACATAAATCAAAGGCAACAACACCTCAGAAAATCACAGATGATGGATAGAACAGTTACACACCCAGAGGAGAACATACAACAACTGATTGTTGGGCTTTTAAGCAAGGTCATCAATTTCTTGCAGATACTGATCCCAGTTATTGTTCGGTTTAGCAAGGAGTACCCTACAGCTTTTATAGTCATTTCTTTGATCATAGGCCTGTATGTAGTCTGGAGATGTATCATGAGCTTATATGCTATGGTTAGAAGATTGTTCTATCTGTCTCTTGTGTTGCTTGTGGTGTGTGCTTACATGCGTGGTGCAGAACTGTTCTTCGAACACGACGTTCCACTGGTGGCGAACGGTATCTGGGACAACAGAGAACTGATTAAGAGCTCTGTGGTATCTACATGTACATACGGCTACAAAATACTAAGACAGAATTCCATTATTCTGTATTACTACCTGAAGAACCAACTGGAAGAAGCTATCCAAAAATGATAAACTTCCTTGTCACATATGGACATAGACAATTACCAATTATGTTTTTGATCGCTGGAGTTCGCACTAAGTATGGGTACGTTAACAGATTAGCTAATAGGTCTGCTTCTCTATAGAGTTTCTCCGTATGTGAAAGGATCTGCAAGAAGTTAAAGCCATACATTGGTGACAAAGACTCATCGAGGTGAAAGAGAGTTACTTACAACGATTTATCCGAGACTTCTTGTGAATCATTCAGGGGGAGTACGTTTGTCTTTATCCTTTGAGTGTTAAACTTTCTATGTTATTGAATGGCACTCTTATTGGGCATTCCCATCGTCTTACTTTGGGAAAAGGGGGATTCTGGCTCTACGCCCATTCTTCCCTAACTTGATGGGTCGAAAGAAGATGCATTAGCTTGAAGTTGTTAGAGAGACTCATATACTGTATATTTGCTGTTGTAAACTCCAGGTCCCCTTTTCAACTTGGAACTTCCCTCATCAAGAAGTATTTAAAGTAGCTTCCCTAGAGAACTTTTATTATATCTGTAAAAACAACTTTAAACTATTGCTATAGCATTAATTATAGAGCACAGCATTAATAGACAAAAGTCAGCAGAACATAGGCACATACAAATATGGTGAAAGATACTGAATACTATGATATCCTTGGTGTGAAACCAGAGGCTACTTCTGCCGAAATTAAGAAGGCCTACAGAAGGCGGGCAATGGAAACTCATCCAGACAAGCATCCTAATGACCCTAATGCCCAGGCCAAATTCCAAGCAGTTGGTGAAGCGTATCAAGTTCTGAGTGATGACGAATTGAGGAAGAGATATGATCAGCTTGGTAAAGAGAGTGCTGTGCCTCAACAAGGTTTTGTCGACCCATCTGAGTACTTTACTGCGATTTTTGGTGGTGATGGTTTTAAAGAATGGGTTGGTGAGTTCTCTTTGTTCAAGGAGCTTGGAGAAGCTGCTGCTGAGGAAGCTGCAACAGGAACTACTTCTGCTGAGGCTGCTGCTGAGGCTAATGGCAGTGCAAATGGAAAGTCGAAATTGACCAAGGAACAACGGGAGAAACTAGCAGAAATGCAAAAGAGAAGGAGAGAGGACCTGATCAAGCAGGTCGAGGAACTTTCAAACAAACTTAATGCCAAATTGGACAGCTATGTTGTTGCTGTTAAGGGTAATCACTTGGATGAATTCCAAAAGAAGTTGACTCAAGAAATTGAAGAGTTAAAACTTGAAAGTTTCGGCCTTGAGTTGTTGCATATCTTGGCCAAAGTATACCGTAACAAAGCAAACAACTATCTTCTCTCTAAGAAAACACTAGGTGTTTCACGTTTCTTGACAGGGTTCAGAGATGGTGCTAAAGATGTCAAGTCCACTTATAGTTTAATACACACAGGCTACGAAGCTCAAAAGACCATGCAAGGTCTAAGTGAAGTGAATCCTGAAGAATTAAGCCCCGAAGAGCGTGCTAAGTTCGAACATATGGTTGCGGGGAAGACCTTGGGTGTGATGTGGGCTATGTCTAAATTTGAACTTGAACGTAAACTAAGAGAAGTCTGCAACAGAATTCTAAATGACCGTAATGGTCACGATAAGACGTTGAAGGCCAAGGGTTTGCTGTTCCTAGCTGACAACTTCTCAAGAGCCAGAAGATCGCCTGAGGAAGCAGAAGAAGCAAGAGTATTTGAAGAGTTGATCTTGGGCCAGCAGGAAAGACAAACTAAGAGACGTTACAGGGTCCAATGAACACGAGAAGCCCTAACCTTATCACATAATTTAAACCTAATCGGTTACTTGTAAATTACAATATGTACTACACTCTATAAACGTGTATTTTGTGTTCTAATGAATAATTTAGCATTGTTACTGACCTGTCATTATGGGCTTCCAAATTGTAAATCCTTTCCCACGCACAATTCCTTTAATGGATCAAATCCGATAAAACAACAAGAATAGAGATTATGGGAAACACAAGAATATTATCTGGCGCAATTGATTCTATCAGGAAAGGAAATTACCAACAAATAACTAAAAGTGAAGTTGGTAAATTGCAATTCCAAAACCATCGCCAAGTTTTCCTAGCTACTTTAACTCTGACTTTGCACTGCCTTAAACTGGTTAAATAATACACTGCAGTAATCGATTTTATTTATTTTGTGAACAATAAAGGAGCAAACGAATTGAAACACAGGTGATAATGGGGTTGCGTGGTTTTATCAAGCTCTTTGCTGTTTTTGGAACTCTTCTAGCTTTGTTTTCGAACTTATTCATATACACATACCCTTCAATTCATCCTGGTAGATGCTCCTGGGCACGTACCAAGAATGATAAGTTTGTGGATGTATCTCTACCAAAAGGTCTATCCACCACAAATAAAGTTAAAATAACTGTTCAGAACTACTTTAATGATCTATTTGGGTACACTGAGAATACCGAGGATTCTGCTGTTGAAGATATTCATTTCATGGCATTTGGTGATCCTCAAATTAAAGGTATCTTTAAGAACACACCATATAATACCAGGTTAGATATTTTTGGAAATGATTACTACTTGGGTCACATATACTCAATGATGAAGAAAAGGTTAAAGCCTTTACATGTGGCGGTTCTGGGAGATTTATTCTCATCTCAATGGATCGGTGATTCCGAATTCTATAATAGGACCTATAGGTATATGGATCGCATCTTTCAAAGAGACACCACTGAGATTGTAAATATTAAGGAGAATCATCATGACGAAGAAGGCCAGTATAAAACAGACTGGAAAGCTTGGGGTGATCAGTTTAAGGAATACTACGAGAATAACATGACGTTCCCATTTGGTTATTCTGATGTTTATTCGTGGAATCCTAACCAGGAAAACTTCTTATTTATTAATATTTCTGGTAACCATGACTGTGGTTATTCTGGAGATGCCACTTACCAACATATGTCTAGATACTACGACATGTTTGGTAAAGATAATTATTGGATTGAATATGATACAAATACTGACCACCCATGGCGTATTGTTGTCCTGAATAGCTTATTGTTAGATGGCCCACCTTTGCAACAAGAGTTTGTTGATGCAACATGGGAATTCCTATACCAATTGTTTGAGCGCCGTTTTGAAGGAAACACAATTTTACTATCTCACGTACCATTCTATAAAGAGGAAGGTCTATGTGTTGATGGTCCAGAATTTAGATACTATCCGGAAGTTTTCGAAAGAGAACCATATAAAGCTAATCTATTAAGATCACAAAACCATCTAAGTAAGGAAACTTCAGAAAAAGTTTTAAACTTGGTGTTCGATAATGATAAACCAGGTATAGTATTGACTGGTCATGACCACGAAGGCTGTGAGACTATTTATAATAAGTTCAAGAATGGTACATGGGAAGCTACAAGAAAACCAGTTTATGAGGATACACTTGCTCATATACAGGAGGTTACGGTTAGAGCTATGATGGGTGAGTTCTATGGTAATACTGGCTTAATTACTGGTCATTTTAATAAGTCACTGAAAACCTGGGAATGGAAATTTTCCTTGTGTCCTTTTGCTATACAGCATGTCTGGTGGATTGCCAAAGTCTCAGCATTAATTTCAGGTTTTCTATGGTCTTTTATTGTTCTTCTGAACTAGGATAGTGATAATATTTATAATAATGATATTGAAGTTTTCTTTTGTGCATAGGCAATTTATGTCATTATATTCGGCGGAACCACTTTGTTTAGAACTATGGCATGCGTACTCCTTCTAATTGCACAAGCTTTAGAAAGAGCAGAATTTTTTTTTCTTTTAGCATAGCTTTTGCAGCTAACAATACTTCTCACTCTTATAAAATCATAAAGATGTAAACAATTTATTATGTACAAAGTCGAAATATTTAAAATAAAATATGTCTTGAAATAAATTATGCAGATATGGAGTCTTTGCCCCTTTTCAGTTGTTGCAGAAGTTGTTGTCCATGAGATAGTGCATTATCATCATCTCCAGTTAGAGAATTTTGTTCTGTATCCCGACCATCAGTATTGCTTTGTTTTTGATTATCTTTTAATAATCCGTAGTCAAGTTTGAAATTGACCTTATCAATCACTGTCCAGTCGTCCAGTTTAAATATTTTATAATCTCCAATTTCGTACTGATCATTCACTAGTTTAGGTTCTCCTTGTCTTAAGAACCACATAACTTCATTATTAGCCACTCTCCACTCTCTATTTTTGAGTACTTTAGAAGCGATCTGCTTTTCTAAGGGCGTTACACTAAAGTAATAGTTGTAAAATAGAGTGAACATGTCCAACGATTCAAATTTTGACATCAAGATTTCTTCATTGAAATTTGCTTCATTGTTTCTTAAAGAAGACCATAATGAATGACGAGCTGTATCCCATTGCTGTGCCGATCTGAAAGCATCAAGAGGTGAAGGCGGATTAACGCCATAAGGAACATTATCTAGTCTGAATATATTGCAGGTATCTCTGGATCTTCTTATCTTACCTTCTGAAGTTGTTGTTATATTATTCTTCGTCAAATCCATGCCCATAATAAACTCTTGAATACCACTTGGTAGCAAAAGCATTTCAAAATCAGAAGATAAAGCAGATTTCAAATGCTCTTTCTTCAAGTTCTGAGTATTTGATTCATCCAATGACAATTGTTCTTCAGAGTCACTTTCGATTTCCTCATAGTCTGAATCAGAGAAATCTGAAAATAGAGGTGCTTCCAATATAGGACTGTCAATATTCACTTCTTGCTCTTTATTATTATTCTCATCTGATGTATTGTCCATAGAGCCTTTGGCATTATCATTTTGTGGTTCAGCAGGTTTCGTTTGCTCAGACACTGAATTGATTTGAGTTGCGGCAGACACGCTTTGTTCGTGCGCTTTTTCCAATCTTTCTGCCAATGTTGTTCCAGTAGTGTTGATTTGTGTCTTTGAAATTGTGGGAGTCTGCTCATTTGTTTGTTGAGTTATCGAATTTGAGCGCGAAGACATAGTAGCTACCAAAGAAGGAGGTGAATTTATTTTGCGTTCTTTTTCTATACCATGAGATGCTGCAACAGACCATTTTAAATCACCTGCCGGCCTGGCTGGAACCACAGCTGGTTTTAGAATGGTAGAACTTGTCATTCCATTTTGAGTTTGAATGTGCGTATGACTACCCTTTATTTCAGCTGTGTCAGTATTGAAGCCAGTGGTTGTCGGCCTAGATGATACAGGTGTCGAAGTTGTGGGCTTTTTCACTAGAGGACTACGAGGAGTTGTATTTGCCGTTGAATTTTCAATTTTACTAACTATAGGAGATACCGACTCGCTCTTATTATTGCTCTTATCATCATTTTTATCATCTGAGTTAGAAATAATGGATGAATCTGCTGACTGAGGTTTTGCAGCTGGTATTGATATAGTTGGTGGAGCATTTGCTGTAGCGATAGCAGCGTTTTTAGCGGCCACCTTTGCTGCTTTTTTAGCCTCTCTCTCTAGTTTCCTCAATTCCTTCTTAGAAAGTTTTGACGTGTCTATCGAATCCAAATCTATTGGTTCGTTGTTTTCGCCGCCTAGATTATCTTCTGAACTTTGTGCAGCAAAATATTGTGCCACTTCATGAGCAATAGCTTCATTTGAGGTTAAATCTAGAGTATCATAAATAGTTTCATCTTCCACAAAATCAGGTTCTCTGTTTGATTCGATGAAATATCGAATATCATCTTTGATAGCATTTACTTTTTGTGGATCTAATTCCTCGTTGGCTAACAACCTTAATGCAAGTTCCATTTGCTGCTGATGCCAACGATAACGAAGCTGTAATGCTTTTAGTTGGTCTTTCTTTTCATCGTTTGCTGCTGATGCAGTCTTTTTCTTTTTGTTCAACACTATAAGTCGGTCAATTTCTATCTGAGCAGCTTCATATTGTCTTTCCAACTCGTCAATCTCTTGTGAGAGGTAATCGGAAACTTCTTTTATCTCCTTTTCTTGAGGGCCCAGCGTGTCTGATTTTTTTAAACTTATATTAGAGTAAGCCTTCTCTTTTGAGGCCTTCTCAACAGCTTTATATTTTTCCATCGCAGTTTCTACTGACCTTCGGTATTCTAGCAGAGAGTCTTTATCTTTTATCTCTGGTGAGCTCTGCCATGATTTGATCTGTTCTCGTAGCCTTTGTAGTTTTTTTACTTCACGTTTAAGATCAGATTCGAGTTTCTCTTTTTGAGACGGATTATTTGTACAACTTTCATGCCTTTCATAATAACTATCAAATATATCTAGACCTTCATTGATCTTTTTAAAGACCCTGTCTATTTCCTGTTGAAGTTTCCTATGAGCCATTTTGTTTTCCTGGTTGATATTACAGAGACTAATACAATCGATACTATATCATTCAAATTATATTCAAACGCAATCTTGATTTTTACCGCAAAGGTTCTCTTATAGGGTGTTTTCTTTGTTGTTGTTTTTTTGTGACGTTTAGAACGTTAATGTCTGTCTATTTCAAATTCCTTGTAGTCGCTGTTTATGGGAATATGTTAGCGAGAAGAGTAAGTTTTCTATAGTCTGGCAATTTGAAAGTGTCTTGCTAGATTTGGGATTAGTATCCTTTTTTTTTCTCTTCTTATTATTAATTTTGGTCAAGTTCTATAGTTCAACCAATATAGTCCTCCGAAAAGTACAAATATCTTCAAAGGGCAATTGAATCCACTATAATATAATACTTGTTTGTACAGTCCTTGTGAATGAAATCTAATTATAAGCAAGTATCGGTGTCTCACTAATACTATAAGTCTCTTTTCAATAGTGTGAAAAAAGAATTTTTATTCAATTACTGAAAAAAAAAATAAAGCGTACAGGAAAGCACTTAATTTTTTTTTTTCTTTGCTGATTTCTGGCAAGACCTCCCACTATAACCGATTGGAAGGTTATTGTGTTGGCACTCAGTATCAATATACGAGGTTTCTTCCTTGAATTCAAATTGTATTTCCCAATGTTCCCAAATGAGTTTCTGCCAACAATACAGTTTCTTGTTTCCCACGTCTCTTGTGATATTAAAGTCCTGATTTTCTGGGATTTGTTATTTCTCTCAGAAATGACGTCATTTTTTCCCGCAATTAATGGATATTAGCCGGAGATTCAAACTGTTTCACTTAAGGTATTGGCGGGCCAGTCTAACTAAGAATGCATAAGTAAGTTGAACAAGCACTTTCTCTTGCTGTCTGTTTGTGTGGTCATAGCCATAAGCGGTGTAACTGGTATATAACTGTAGATGCCAGGGTTATTTTAGCTAAGAGCCGACGCCAAAGAAATGTCAAATATCTTGTAAAAATTGTTCAATCTCGTGGTATCATACTACAGTATTGCAATTATGGTGGTAGTTGAATTTGCCATTGGTTAATTGTTACCATCTTTATGTAATTGGGATTTGTTGAGGGCCTTATTATAGTTAAATTTGTCACTGGTAATATCTATTGAAATTTTGTTTAATAATCTCAACGATAACTGGAAACATTTCTTTCGACATTTGTTATTAATGTTTTGATATTGTGGCTTCTCCTTATTACTACTGCTATTTGTTCATGTATTGTTAGTTTTTTTCATCATATATTGTGTAATACAAACTTGCAACTGTCCATGTATAGTATCTGGACCTTCCATAGTGTTGAGATAAGCGCCAGTAAAACGAAAATGGAGGAGTATACTTTGAACAAAGCTTGTCATATTTTATACCGTTTAGATTTCAGAAGTATGTAAATTTTCTGAATTGAATCTCTTGTAAAGAGGTTCGATCGGTTGTGTCATAAAGCACTTGTTCCGTAGTTCGTAAACTTCGGAGATCTCAAGCATCAGTAGACGATGCCTACGTTTGACCATGGCTAGGTTGTATAACCCAAGACATGCTAGTAGCATAGGATCCAATAGTATAAATATTACAGTTACAATTATGGATATTCTGCAATTTTTTTTTTGACTTTGAAGGATTTTGATTCCAGAATTGTTTTTGATCTCAATGGTTGACATTTTAAAAAATGCTTGACAATGTTTTATTACTGACAATATAGAACTCTTAGCGATTAATAATCAAAGGAGTGCCCTTTATAATTGTATGAATTCCATTTTTAAAGAAACCGTAGAGCTGCTTAAGAAATCTTTACGAAACATTTAAATTTCTTTGTAACTCATCAGTTCTAGTATTATATTTATCAATATCCCCTATGAGAAGACATTGTCTTGCAATTGTATCGAGAGGTCGATTGGTTGGTTGTAATTGCTCTCTTCTCATAGCATGTATTAGAGAAACTGCTTTATCAAACACACTGTTGATATTTTTTATCTCCGTGTACTTCTTTATTAAGATGCCTAAATCTGTTATCATAAAAGCCATACAATAAGCTCATCTACCCGGTTACACTCGCCACTTTTCCAATGCTTGTATTTGCAGATTTATTATAGCTTTTATTAATAAACAAATTTATCACAATTGTAGAACTAGTAAGATAAAATGTAGTCCATACAATGTATACTAGTCCAAATACTGAATTCAACGTATAACTTACCAACACTACCTCCTCAAACTCTGTAATCTGACCACAGCCTTAGATATCCTGGATAATCAAATTAATATGATACATTCATCATGGATTGGGCACTAAATAATTGATGTGTTTCAGGTATAAATAATTTGCTATTTATATTGTGAATGTATGTTTTATATGTGTTTCATAAATATTCAAGATTAGCATGTCTGAACGGTCGATATCAATAGACAATATTCTAATAATTTAATTCTTGAGCTAATTACGAAAGAATCTTGAAGATATAGTATTTTCTACTATAGAAGTTCTGAAAAGTGTATCTTTTATTAGTCACTCTGTTACCTTTTTACTATGAAGAAATTTAAGCGCCTAATTGAGTTTATATATCTACAATAAATTTGGGAGACAAAAACTTAGACCCACACATAAGATGCTATAAAACTCTGTTATAATGTTGCTTTGATATTCACAAGTCTGTCATAGTCTTCGGTATGAAAGATCACACTTCAACAATCACCCAGAATTGTGCCTGACGCTGCTGGGTATTTTAAAGAGCATTCAGATAATCTTGGAGGAATGCAGAGTTATTCATGCCGCAGATGGCAGTAATTTGATAGTACTAAATTTATGATAAGCCATTTTTTGTCATACCACATGCTGATCTCTAGTGATTATACTACCTACCGTTTTGCTCAATATTCCCAACCGAGCAGATGGTCAAATAAAGATGAACAGAGTATGTTTCATGGTGTTATAGATTCTAGCAAGAGGAAAACGCGACTTTGGCTGATTAAATACAGCCCCTCAATTTTTGTATCTCGGCTACTTATTCGGAATATGCACCTGGGTTTACTATAGACAAGGTACTTATAGTTTAATTTCATTGTGGGGCAAGATCTGATATTGAGTTTCAACAATTATGTTAGAGCAATTTGAGGTCAGTTTCTTTATTCCCATAGAGAATCGGATGTAAGCTTTTGTGAGCCCGTGTTACTTATTTCTGCGGTTCCGATTTCTCTATAATAGTAATTGATTCCTATGCTGTTGCAGCTTGAAGTTCTCCAATATCCGTGGAAGTAAAAATAAATCAATGTAATACTTTAATTACCACATGATTAGGATCGGGAGATCATTGCCGAAAAGTTCCCTAACTAATGCAGCTAGGCATCTAAACATATTTGATTGCCTATGTAACGAACTATGGTTTATCTTGAAATTGAATGCATGGGGTCAGTTGGTGATAAAATTATACTAATATAACTGGACCCTTTATAGAATTAGAGAATAAATTATACCTCGTTATCTGGCTTTTCAACCATACCTGAGCTGGAGGGCAGAAATAGGGATTACTTGTGGGAAGAAGGGAGGAGGATAGATGAGGATATATAGACGTACACACTTTTATATGGAAATGACGTCATTATCATTATAAGCTCTTCATGTGTTGCTCATCATTGAAGCTCCCAAACACTAACAAAACGGGTTGCAAACTGGTATACTATTGAATAAGGGTGGAAGTGCAACGTTCAATAGTGTGTGTGTACCCACACCTCGTTAGTCAACACCATTTGTATCTGTTTTAGCTGTCTAACGAGCTTTCAAAGTTATGTGCGCAATGACTGAATACGCTTTGTGTGGCCAGAGGTTCTTGTCCGTACATGCAGAGAAATGAGGGAAGTTCACAGTACTAGCTCTTTTTTGGATAATTTTTTCTCAGCATTTTTTTGCATATCGCAGTGGCTGCTCTGTGGCTAGAGGCTAGAGCACAGGCAGTAGGAGGAATACATTCGAATTACGATGAGAGGAAAGGATCCACACACACCTTACCATCACGGCAACACAACTCATCCACCGAGACGTTTCAGCTGAATGACACTGAGAGAAAGAGGACTTTCTGAACACTCGACCCGCATTTGTGACTTCGTTATAATCTTGGAGATTGGCAATCGCTTCAAAATAATATAAATTAATCTTCATTATCTATAGAATACCACAATATATTTCTCAGTTCTCTGTATAGCAAGGGACTAGGAACTCTGATAAAACTACTTCTACGTCTGCAACTGAAGACTCAGGCATAGTGTTCAAGACATTATCTGTCAGGCTTAATTGTCGTTTTATATATCAAGAACACTGATTTACAAGTATTGCTTAAAAGGTAATAGGTATTATAACAAATTTTTTAGACCACAAATTCTTTTCACTATCCCACCTTCTCAACAATGACTGAAAAATATCGTATATCAACTGGCCGTGGTGGTGCAGGAAATATACACGCCAGTGACAGCAGGGCATCTCCAAAGCTAATTAAACAAGGTTCTCAGACTCCTAGTATCTTACAACCTGTCTATAGTACTGGTAGAGGTGGTGCTGGTAATATGAGGAGGAATACAGACCCTAAACTGACAAGGAGGGCACAGGATGTTGATTCTATGAGTGAGGATTTGATCGATATTGATGAATTAATGGACCATGAGGATTATATAGAGCCGGTTAACCCTGTTGGTGCTCTCCAAGCAGATGATAACGAAACAGCAGTAGACACTAGCATTGGTGGTAGAAAGCAATCAAGATCACACACATCAAGGTCTAGGTCAAGATCAAGGTCAAAATCCAGGCTTTCAAAGACCCTGAGTGCAACAAAGTCAAACACCAAACACAAACCTCAAGAAAAGGTTATAATCGGTCGTGGAGGTGCTGGGAATATAATATCACCTAAAAGCAGTAACCCTAAAGCCAAGCATATGCACTCCAAAAATCAAAATAATAAAGACAAAGACAAGACTAAAAAGAAAAAAGGATTCCTGTCGTCAATAACCAGTATGTTCTCTTCCACCTAAAACCGGTACATTTTATGGGACATGGATTCCTCAACTTTGAATGATAATTTATCACACATTTTGGAATATACAGATTTGAATGTGGGCACCTATTTCATGTTTCAGCTGTCCACCATGATATCCTTATGGTCTCAGCCATCTCGCTCACCTAAATTTTAGTCCAGTTCCTATTGCATTTTACTTCTTCTGTTGACATCCAATTAAATGTTTTAATATTCAATTTAATAAGCTATGAAACAATCATATGGCGTTGGTCATATTCATACATATGCATCTTACACTCAATTAATTAATAATTATTTAATTCTTTTGTGTCTTAATTAACAAATTTTCTTTTCTTTACAAGCTCTAACTTTGTTTAATATTCAATTCATTCTTAATAAATAAAGTACAACATAAAAACATATAAATAAGCATAATAAATAATAGTTAAATAACATGACCTATTAGCTAAGCTAAGCTCTCGGTCTAATAAATAATTGTCCATTTTGAGTTTAAATCAATAGTTCATGGTTCCATAGAGAACCCAGGCCATCAGTAATAATTTATATCTGGTCGAAAAATCATACTGTGGCAGCTAGTTCCTCTAATAACCTGTAATCACGTTTCACAATACCACCGCTACCTGGGAGGTAAGTATCGCCCATTAAAAATTCGTCAACAGCGGCAGCACACTTACGACCTTCTTGAATGGCCCAGACAATCAATGACTGACCTCTTCTACAATCACCAGCAGCAAACATTTTACCGCCGTCAATATTGTATGATGAATGTGATAGTGTTTCAATTGTACCTCTTCTAGTCTTCTTGATGTTAGTATCGTTGTTCAGTAATTCTGGTCCAACGAAACCCATAGATAGTAACACAATATCAGCTTCATACAGTTCCTCACTGTTAGGGACTTCAACCATCTGCCAAACACCACTTTGTGATTTCTTCCATTCAACACGTGCAGTTTTAATACCTGTAACATTACCCTCTTCATCACCAATGAACTCCTTAGATAAGATACAGTATTCTCGAGGATCTCTACCGTAATGTTCCTTAACTTCAGCATGACCATAGTCTACACGCATTATACGTGGCCATTGTGGCCATGGGTTATCCTTGGCACGCTCGTTTGGTGGTTGTGGTAGCAGTTCAAAATTAACAACAGATTTAGCGCCATGTCTAACAGAGGTACCCAAACAGTCATTACCTGTGTCACCACCACCAATGACGAGAACTCTCTTACCTTCAATCTGCTTCCTGATAGTCTCAAGATCGTTTGATAATAATGCCTTTGTATTTTCAGTAAGGAGGTTCATTGCGTAATCAATATTCTTCAATTCACGACCTTTTATTGGCAAATCTCTTGGAATAGTTGAACCAATTGCATACACAACAGAGTCGTAGTTACTCTTCAGTTCATCAACGGTGATATCTTTACCTATCTCTGTGTTGGTAACGAATTCAATACCTTCAGCTGAGAGTAAATCTAGTCTACGTTGAACAATAGATTTATCCAGTTTCATATTTGGAATACCGTACATCAGTAAACCACCACAGCGATCAGCTCTCTCAAACACAGTCACTGAATGGCCTGCTCTGTTTAACATGTCAGCACAAGCCATACCTGCAGGGCCGGAACCAATAATTGCAACGCGACGACCAGTCCTCGTGGAAGGAGGAGTTGGAATAATCCAACCTTCCTTGAAACCATTATCAATAATGATTCTTTCAATAGATTTGATACCAACTGGATCTTCAATGATTCCCAGGGTGCAAGCACCTTCACATGGGGCAGGACAAACTCTACCTGTAAATTCTGGGAAATTGTTGGTTTCTAACAACTTGTCTAGAGCAAGCTTCCATTGGTTCTTGAAAACAAGTTCATTGAACTTTGGAATAATATTTGATAAAGGACAACCAGTATCAGATTGACAAAATGGAGTACCACAATCCATACATCTAGCAGTTTGGTATTTTGCGTCACGCTTGGAGACAGGCTTTGTGAATTCCTTCCAATCTTTTGTTCTAGTGGCAGGATCTCTATGTCCTTCGTGGCGAACATTGTATTTCATAAAACCATTCATCTTTACAACCTTTTCAGCATTTTTCTCCATTTGCTTAGCATCAGGAACAGCTTCCTCCAAGTCTAACACCTTAGGTTCATGTAATGTGGACTTGTTGGAAATCACAGCACGGGAAATAGCTTGGCGCTTGGCTGCCTGCATTTTTGCAACCTCTCCATTTGTAGCATCCAAACCAGGTTCTGCAGGAGAACCTAGCTTCTTTAGATATTCAGCTGTTGCATTTTCTTTTTCCTTTGCTTTTTCTTCGGCTTCCTTTAGTAACACCTTCTTGTAATCACTTGGAATAACTTTAACAAATTTTTTCAAGTAATGGTTGAAGTTGCCTAAAATATTGGATGCTAATTCGGACTTCGTAAAGTTGTAATGTTCTTGAATCAAGTTCTTGACATAAGCAATTTCAACAGGGTCCTCTAAATGTTCAAGTTCGATTGTTTCTTTGTTTATCTTAGATAGGAATGCATCATAATCAGATGTCAAACAATAAGCAATACCACCAGTTGCACCCGAGAAGGCATTAATGGATTCTAATTGAGAAAGAACTAAGGCTCTACCGCCTGTCATATATTCAAATGCGTTATTACCTTTAACTCTTTCCACTACAATTGTGGCACCAGAGTTTCTAACAGCGAAACGTTCACCTGCACTACCAGCAATGAATGCGGTACCTGAAGTAGCTCCATAGAAACATGTATTACCAACGATAACATTCTCATCACTCTTAAACTTGGAATTCTTTGGAGGTCTAACAACAATAATACCACCTGATAAACCCTTACCAACATAATCGTTAGCATCACCGTCAAGGATAAATGTGATACCTGAAGCCAAAAATGCACCAAATGATTGGCCAGCAGAACCATTGATATTTGCGACAATGGTATCCCTTGGGAGACCATTCTCACCAAATCTCTTAGATACACGGTAAGAAAGTGTCGAACCTAGGGCACGGTCAGTGTTAACGATGTTGGCATCAATATTAACAGGTAGACCTTTATCTAAAGTAACTTCGGCCTCATCAATTAGTTTGTTATCCAAACGTGTATGAAGTTTATGGTCTTGTTTCTTGGTGAATCTTGTAGCAACACCAGGTCGAATAGTATGAGCTGGTGTTAAAATTGGTGTCAAGTCAATATTTATCACCTTTGGATTAGCATCCGCTCTTCTTCTTAATTTTTCGGAGTGACCAACCATTTCATCAATTGTTCTGAAGCCCAATCTGGCCATGATTTGTCTTAAGTCTTGAATTAGATAGTAGAAAAAGTTGATAACATGTTCTGGTTGACCTTTGAACTTGCTTCTTAAGTAAGGGTCTTGAGTAGCAATACCAACTGCACATGTGTTGGTATGACATCTTCTTAGCATGACACAACCCATAACAATCAATGGAATTGTAGCTAGTGTAAATGATTCAGCACCTAACAATACAGCAACAGCAATGTCAAAACCTGTCCTTAATTGACCATCTGTTTGGACAACAACATTACGTCTCAAATCATTCAACACTAGGGTCTGATGAGTTTCAGCTAGACCTAATTCCCAAGGTAAACCGGCATACTTAATACTGGTCCATCTAGAGGCACCAGTACCACCATCATGACCTGAAATTAAGATGTGGTCAGCCTTTGCTTTAGCTACACCTGATGCCACAATACCAACACCGACTTCAGAAACTAATTTCACTGATACGCCGGCTCTTGGATTAGCACATTTCAGATCGTACACCAATTGTTTCAAATCTTCAATAGAGTAAATATCGTGATGTGGAGGTGGAGATATCAAACCAACATTTGGGGTGGAGTGTCTAGTCTTGGCAATGCTTTTAGATACTTTATGAGCTGGTAATTCACCACCTTCACCAGGCTTGGCACCTTGTGCAATTTTAATTTGAATTTCGTCAGCATCAGAAAGATAATGAGAAGTAACACCGAATCTAGCTGAAGCAACTTGCTTAATTGCTGATCTCATGGTGTCACCATTTGGATGAACCAATGAACGTTCTGCATCTTCACCACCTTCACCACAGTTAGATTTGGCACCGAGACGGTTCATGGCGATTGCTAGTGTTGAATGCGCTTCCATGGAAATAGAACCATAAGACATAGCACCTGACGCAAACCTTCTAGCAATTTCAGTCCATGGTTCAACTTGTTCGATAGGAATAGGTGTAGAATTTTCAAAATCCAGTTCAAGCAACCCTCTTAAAGTACAGTCCTTAATTGCTTCCATTTCCTTCTTGACATATAAACTCCAAGCATCGTCATTCTTGTGTCTTACAGAGTCCTGTAGTGCAGCAATGGCTGTTGGATCATTAACATGCTTGTATCCACCATCTCTCCAGTGATATTCACCAGTTTCAGGTAAATTGACAGATCTAGTGATTGTCATTCTTGATGGATAACCCTTTTCGTGAAAGGAGAAGGCATCTTGTGCAATATACTCAAAGGTTACACCCTTAATTCTTGAAGAAGTACCAGTAAAGCATAAGTCAATAACGGATGAATCAATACCAAGAGCTTCAAAAATTTGGGCACCTTTGTATGATGCCAAAGTGGAAATACCCATTTTAGACATAACTTTCAAGATACCACTATCGATGGCATGTTTATAGTTCTCGACCAGTTCTTGATCAGTAAGATCATGGTCGTCATTGTTAACATTACGTACTAAACCTTCTCTGTTCATTCTGATTAGTGTTTCCATTGCTAAGTAAGGGAAAATACCATCACAACCATAACCAAGTAAAACACAGAAGTGATGAATTTCTCTTGCTTCACCAGTCTCCAAAATTAATGCAACTTCGGTACGCTGTTTATTTCTAATCAAATGGTGATGTATCGAACTAACCGCTAGTAATGAAGACAATGCAACACGGTGTTCACCCATTCTTCTATCGGATATAATAAGAATCTTCTTACCTTCTTCAATTGCAATACTTGCATCTTTAGTAATACGTTCGACAGCATTGATATAGCCTTCAATACCTTCAGATTTTTCAAATGTTATATCTATATTAGCAACACTCCATGAAGGATTTACTTTTTCAATATTTTGAATAGCTTTGAATTCATTCCATTTTAATATTGGGGACTTCAATAACAGACGTTCACATTGGGATGGATGCATTTCTAGTAAGTTACCTTGGGGTCCAACGTAACAATCTAAAGACATAACATTTGCTTCACGAATAGGGTCGATTGGTGGATTTGTCACTTGTGCGAATAATTGTCTGAAATATTCATATAATAAAACAGGATCTTGGTTCAGGCAAGCTAATGGAGCATCATTACCCATAGAACCAAGAGCTTCTTTGCCTGTTAGTGCCATTGGAGTAAGTAGCATTGAAAATTGTTCGAAAGTGTAGCCATGAGCTAGTAATCTTGGATCACTTTGAACTTTCAGTGAAGGAGCATTCAGCACAAAATCCTCTGGTTCACAGTTTTCTGTCTTCTGAAGTAAATCTTCCAACTTGATAACCTTAGATAACCAAGACTTGAAATCTTCTCTCTTGGAGAAATCACTTTTAAGTTTCTTTGTATCGACAATTTGTCCTTGTTGAGTGTCGACTAGGAAAACATCGCCAGGTTTCAGCTTACCTTTCTGAAGAACCAAGGAGTTGTCAATTGGGATAACACCTACTTCAGAGGCGCAGATAACTCTATCATCGGAAGTAACATAGTAACGACATGGTCTCAGACCATTTCTATCTAAAATGGCACCACAGTATCTACCATCTGTAAAAGTTAGTAGAGCAGGGCCATCCCATGGTTCCATTAGACAAGCAGCCCAATCATACCATGCCTTCAAGTCTGAGTCCATATCAGAGTGATAAGCCTCAGGCACCATCATCATGATAGCTTCAGGTAATGAAAGAGTGCCGTTAATTGTTAAAAGTTCTAGGACATTATCTAATGCAGCAGAATCAGAGCCACCTTCTTCAATAATTGGATACAAAGAATCCAATTTATCTTTGAAAGTTTCAGAGACCATAACACCTTCTCTAGAACGCATCCAATTCTTATTACCTCTTAAAGTGTTGATTTCACCATTGTGAGCCACCCACCTTAATGGTTGTGCTCTATCCCATGATGGGAAAGTATTAGTTGAAAATCTTGAATGGACTAAAGCCATATGGGATTCGAAATGCGCATTCGTTAAATCATGATAGTAGTTGTAAACTTGATTTGGAGTTAATTGACCTTTGTAGACAATTGTGGAATTGCTCAAAGAGCAAACGTAGAAACAATCTTCAGGCTTGAATTGCTTTGTGATAAACTTTCTGAACAAGTATAAGTTTGTCTTAAACACGGTTTCGTTGAATTCCACTAATTCGTTGGAGTCTAGTGGTACCACCAATGTTTGCAATATGACAGGTTCACGGGATAATGCTACATCTCCAAGAATAGAAGAGTCATGGGGAACATTTCTCCATCCCACCACATTTAAGTTGAAGTTACGTGCGGTGTCTTCGAATTTTTGTTGCATTACTCTAATTTCAGCTTTGCTTTTCTCACTCAACGTTTCGTCATCGGAGTCATCCTTTTTGAAGAAAACGTTACCAACAGCATACTGACCACGTTCAGGTACTTCGATGCCTAGATCTAACTTGAATTCTCTTTTGATGAAGCCATGTGGAATACCGACCAGAATACCCGCACCATCACCATTACCATCAGAAGAAACAGCACCACGATGAGTCATGTTGCATAATAGCGATCTTGCATCAGAGACAATCTTATGCGATTGCAAGCCGTTGACATTTGCAACAAAACCGACACCACAGGCATCGTGTTCGTAGTCTGGGTCATACAGTCCTACTTTACCAGGTACCACTTGACCCCAGGACTTGTTTTCACTATTATGATATAGCTCATCGTGAGCGTAGTCCGGAATGTTGCCACTGGTCTCATACGCATCCTCCATAGGATCGTATGGGTCAGACGACAGCATTATTCAACCAATAGAAATAAATAAAATAAAACACAAATAAATTTATTGCTGTGATACTGTAAAAACAATAAAGGAGAAGAATTAGAAAGAAAAAATCGATATGGTGTTGGTATTAATGGATGATATTTTCAATTTCAGAATTCAAAAAAAAAAATAAAAGACTAATTAAGAGATAGAAGATGACTAGAAGGAAAGTGAGAATTCTTAAAAAAAACAAAAATATAAATGTTAGTGTATACTTTAACAGAACAACTAGAAATATATACAGAAGGCAAGCAAAAAGGATCAAATAGCCGCCGAGAACAGAAAGATCTTGGGAAAGGAAAAGAAAAATCTTAGTCGATGGGGAAATAGTGATTTGTTTATATACCCGCCTTGGAACAAGAAGGGTAGAAAATGGAAGCCAATTTTAATTGTTTTCTTTTGGGTAGAAAGTACTCATCTTGTAGAAGGGAAACACGATTACCGGAATCCCCATTGATGTTCGGCATCTACGAGGGGGGATGATATTGCTTGCTACGTCAGTTTGTGTGCATGATTGCTGTTCTCTCCTCACTTCTTACACTTTCTCACTCCACCTCCTCGCCCCCACTGACAGTTTGGTATACACAAAGCTCCCTTAAGGCCATAGAGCAAGAGAAATCAATTTACCATTGCAAATTTCAGTGGAATTATGGAATTATGGACAACTAAAACCTGCACAGAAGAGACCGTGGGTACAGTCTTGAATTTGGGAAGCAGAGATGTATAAAACTGAATCTACTGTAGAAGAAACACAGAAAGGATGAAAAATAAAAATAAAAGAGGAGAAGCAAGAGAGTCATAATTGACCGGGTAACTATATAAGGTAGGACTACTAAAAAAATAGGGTTCTGCTAGTGTACGGATGTTTTTGAGAGAGTTGGTATGTGTGGAAAGGCAGGATCTTTGGTGTAAAGAAAATACTGCAAGGGACTGATAGAGGGGATAACGAGTGCATAGTTATTGAAGTGAAGAAAAAGGATGGATTCTGTGAGATGCGCAGTAAAAATGACAATGCGTTACTGAAAATTTTCCGGATTGCAGAGCAGAGTAGATTGTACAGGAGTTTCTTTGAAACTGGTTCTTTTTTATACCAGAAAAGATAAATGAAGAAAAGAAAAAATGAGAACAAGCTAGTGCTAACGTCTTACTGTTCTGCTTCACAGTTCGTCATTTTCCGCTACGGGTGAATACAGAACTACATCATTTGTTTTTTCCCGTTCTCTTCGGCCAAATCTTTTGAAATGATACAATGGCTTTCCTGTGTTCATTGGTTTACGAGTTTTTCTGTGTAATGCTTCAAAGATAAAGAGAAAGTAGAAAGAAAATGTATATTATCGCCCAGTGATTTCTACGTGGGAAGGGGAAACTGTAGAAAACTTTCTGAGCGTGTTTCTGTTGCAATTGCTATCAGTATTTTTAAAGAGGGTACAGGTTATTGTGAGAGTTAATTGTGCGATGGTTTTAAGCTAGAGGTTATTTGTACTACACTCAAGAAGCAATTAAAAAAAAAAAATTCAATTGTAGTATATTGCCGTGGACCCTTTCTATCCAAAAGAGCTTGAAACAGCTGTCTGTGTGGTATTGCTATGCCAGTTCCCTTTTCGCTATCAGGTTATCGATCTCAACTATGATTGGTCCAGAAACCATTTTAGTAATACCGGTATTGTCCAATAGATAAGGAATTTTATATATGGATATGCGGAAATTGGGAGGACCAAGAAGACGCTCTTAACGCATTTTGAAAGTGGCATGTTTGATATTGTCAATATGAAATTGAACAGTAAATAGAATTAATTCTTGGAGCAACGGTGGTCACTGGATTTTTCTTTTTTTAGCCTACCTCCATCCAACATATAGCCAGTTGTAGACATAAATGAACAGTTTTCATAGTGGACCACAACACATTGACATCCCAGAAGGCCATTGCGTTTTTGCTCGATATCAAGATATTGAATTCATATTTTTGTAGCAAGTCCTCTATCTTACGAAATACGTGATAAATACATCCACCGCAAAGTCTGATCAAGAAAGGCAAGCTAACCAAATTTTGTTGAAATTAGTCTCGACAGCAACTTTCTTTTCTCAATGGAAAAAGCATCGCTACTCTATTATAAACCAAGTAAAACTACAACAGTTCTCATCAAAATTGATGTATATATAAATAAAAATGGTGCTCACGTGAATAAATACCTCGATTGTATCCAGGATGGAAAACACATGATGGCATTGTACTGTACGGCCAAGAAAACACTATTCGGGGGCCTTCTGTAAAACCAAACTCTCATAGATATTTTTCAATTTTTTTTTTTTTCGATATTGGACTAATCTCTCATATGGTTCCTGCAATAATCAGGTTCGGCAATTGGCTTCTTTTGAGAAGTTTTCCGTTACGTAATTGCCTGTCTGCTAGGTTATCTAGCAGAGGTGAGCAGGGATGGTGGCAAATTTAAGTTTGTTCTCGCTCCTACATTTTGTTTTCTCACTTACACTAAAGTAAATTAAACTGGATATCACATCGCTTGTTATAGTGTTTAGCATCGCACCGTTCTGTTATAATTTTATTTTTTCACCAATATGACACCGTCCATACCAAGACGTCACTTTAATATAGACTTTGATGTAGCCTCCTTGTATGTAAGATATTCTTCTTTCTCAGCATTTATGCTATAGGAACTATAATTTTGACAATTATTGTAACGCATAATATCATCACCCCCATTCCCCTAACTTTACAGGAAATTTATAGGAAATGACTGAAGGTAAGCCAATTGAATGTCTAGCTGCTGTTGCTTATGAAGCTGGTAAACCACAAGTGGTCGAACAGATCGTTGTTGATCCACCAAAGGCTCATGAAGTCCGTATCAAAATTGTCAACACCGCAGTGTGCCACACAGATGCTTACACATTGTCCGGTGCCGACCCTGAGGGTTTGTTCCCTTGTGTCCTAGGTCATGAAGGTGCTGGTATTGTTGAATCTGTTGGTGATGGTGTTACCAATGTGAAGCCTGGTGACCATGTCATTGCTCTTTACACTGCTGAGTGTCAGAAGTGTAAGTTCTGCTTGAGTGGTAAGACCAACTTGTGTGGTGCTGTTAGAGCTACTCAAGGTAAAGGTGTCATGCCAGATGGTACTTCTAGATTCCACAACAAGAAGGGTGAGTCCCTGTACCACTTTATGGGATGTTCTACTTTTTCTGAATATACTGTTGTCGCCGATGTAAGTGTTGTAGCAATTGACCAAACTGCTCCATTAGAAAGTGTATGTTTGTTGGGTTGTGGTGTTACCACTGGTTATGGTGCTGCTGTTAAGACCGCTAATGTTCAAAAGGGCGACACTGTTGCGGTTTTCGGTTGTGGTACTGTCGGTTTGTCTGTTCTGCAAGGTGCTCATCAAAGAGGGGCTTCTCGTATTATTGCAATCGACACTAATGATCAGAAGAAGGATTTCTGTACCCAATTTGGTGCCACTGATTTCATTAATCCAACTAAGGACTTGAAAGAGAATGAAACTATTGTTGCCAAACTAATTGAAATGACAGATGGTGGTCTAGATCACACTTTTGACTGTACAGGTAATGTTAATGTTATGAGAAGCGCACTGGAAGCTTGTCACAAGGGCTGGGGTCAATCTGTTATCATTGGTGTCGCGGCTGCTGGTCAAGAAATCTCTACTAGACCTTTCCAATTGGTTACTGGTAGAGTTTGGAAGGGTTCTGCCTTTGGTGGTGTCAAGGGTAGATCTGAAATGGCCGGTTTAATCGAACAATACAAGAAGGGTGAATTGAAGGTTGATGAGTTCATTACACACAGAAGATCATTTAATGAAATCAATGAGGCATTTGACGACTTGCACAATGGTTTGTGTTTAAGAACCGTTCTATCTTTCTCAAAGTAATATGCTCCAAATATTGTAACGACGATTTAAGTTGAACGGCACCCACTAAATACAATACATAACGTTAAAAAAAAATTAATTAAGTATTCTGTTCATTAGAGGAAAAAAATAAAAAAAACAAGCAAACTTCTTAATAATCAGCTGAAACAGTTGTGTGGGAAGTTATGTAATTTGTGCCCATACTTGATGAACCTAGAATAGGTTGCGATTATTAGATATTGAGGGCAATAAAACCTCAAACCTCGAGGTATAAAAAAGTATGCGCAAGCCCGGAATCGAACCGGGGGCCCAACGATGGCAACGTTGGATTTTACCACTAAACCACTTGCGCGGAACTACTTGTTGATTTACCTTGCAAAATGATACCACCTTATCAGGCTACAGTATTTTTTCCTTGTAAGCGTATGGATTCAACCTAACAAGGAATGGTCCTGCTAATAGTTGCCTTAGATCTAGGGGTTTTCACGGATACGGAGATCACGTGCAGGAGATACAAGAGCGGTAGTTTGTTCTTTTAGTATAGCACAGAAGAGGAACCAGATAAGTCAGTATGACTTATATTGAATCGATCTTCAAGGGTAATAAGGATTAACTATAGTGATCGGGTTTCGAGTTTTTATCTTTTTAGACTCAACCTAAAACCTAAGTTGTACAATAGTTTTTATTTTTACTTATTGTGTTCTTTCTTCTGAAAGCAACTATAAGGATCGATATTCAACAACCTTACCATTTTAGATTTTTAGAATGATTTATATACTTTTTGGTATAATACCAATTAAGCAATTATAATTTGCATTGCAATTCATTTATAGAATTCATAATTAGATGGATGCATTTTTATAACTTGTTATTGCTAAGTTGTTATGTATGTAGCTCGTGTTTATTGTGTGTACTTTGTACATCAACATGATTCCCCAAGACAAGGTCTCAAGAGTATCTTATCTGCCTAATTGTTATTTTCTGTGTTGATAACTTTCCTTTTTCCTTCCTCAAAAGTTCTCGGACTACTGGCATGAGTACTTGAAGAGTCTGAGACATCTAGCTTAGCTTATCGGAATTATTGATTGTTGCTCTTCCTATCGTATTGATAAGTATTGCATTTCGCGAGGCTTGAGCGTTTATTAGTTAGGTCGTGGAACTTGACTAGTGTAACTATGGTCATGTGGCCTCAGTCTTTGAATCCATAGGAGTACAATAATAGAAAAGTTATAGATTTCATTCAGCTTTGTATCCAGACAATGGTACCGTCCCTTTCGTTATTTTATTGTACTAATTTAACCTGTATGAATAAATTGTTTCATTTTCAATATTCTACTTACAAATGCTAGAATTGAGCATGCTTTTATTACTGCTCTATGCCTCCACTATTACAAAACCTAAGTATATCCCAGGTGTGCCGAAATTACAGGTCAGCGCTTTCCTTTGGTTTCTTAGGTTGTGTCATAGTTCATTATCTTCGTGGATTTTACCCCGTATCGTCCTTAAGTTCTAATTCGTTTTTGTAAACATCAATGCATTCGAGAACAGTATATTATTGTTCAACATCAATAAGTTGCACTGTAATAATGTACTAGCATCAAAAAATAGCCTTTTGTGTATTTTTTGAAGATATAATACAAATCAAAACTGTCCTTTATCATAAAAAGATTGACCCCTTATCTCAAATCCAACGGCTAAGTGAATATTTCATTTAACTTTTCCTCCAATAATCTAGAAACCTCTTCCTCTTGATTTTCAATATTTACGGTGATGAAAGGATTGCATTTGACTCTTGTATAAACTTTCCTAATACCATCAAAAATGCGCTTTATTTCAATATCATCAAATGAGTTGTCAACTGGAAAGCCAAGTACTATTTTTAGATTTGTAGATAATACCAGCATACCAAAGACACTTACTTCTTCTATTTGAAATAAGTTCTTGATAGTTACATCCCCGTCTGAAGTTTGTTTCCATTTATAAAGATTACTCTCAAAATAATCTAACGATATGTTTGCCAAAACATTGGATTTTAGAATATGTTCCATTTCAGTTCTGTATCGAGGAGGGCAATAAGTAATAATTGGTGAGTTAGTTTCAGATATTATGGAAATGAAGCATGGCTCGACTTTGGGTGTCATAGTTCTATTGTAGTAGATGTGTACGATTTGCAATATTCTTTGACTTCTGGCCTCAAAAGTCTGATCTTATTATAGTGTTATATCATCAACTGCAACACATAAATAGAGAGAATACATATCAATGGATTTGTATAACTGGATCGAGCTGTATCATCGCTATTTACAATTCAATATCAAGTCTGTCAGCACGATGAAAGTGAACGAGACAAATGTACTATGTCCTTACAGTAGAGCAGCATGCCTCATATCAGGTGCTTGTATATATTATATAATAGTAGCAGAGAGTTGAATATAATTGATATATAATGTTTGGTAATCAGTTGAAATACCACTAGTTTTTGGAGGCGATTGTCTTCGCAGCAGTTCTACCAAATACAACACACTCTAGCAAACTGGATCCCCCTAGTCTATTTGCACCATGAACACCACCGGAAACTTCACCGGCTGCATATAGGCCATTAGCCACTACTTGACCATCCTTTCCAACAACTTCAGAACTTGTGTTAATTTTTGCACCACCCATTGTGAAGTGGACTACAGGTGTAACTTCACCAACAAATACGGTAGTGTCCTGAGTTACATTCTCACCAAAGTTTTGAATGACTAATGTACGGCCAAATGAGTCGGAAGACGATACATTGTAACTATTAATCTCACTTGCAACTTCTTTGGCATCAACTGGTACTTCGTACTTCTTAACTAGTTCTGCAATAGTGATCTTGTTAACAAGTTTTTTGAACATATAGAAATCAAGATTGACCTTACATTTCTCGTATATGCCTTCTCCCATAACTAATAAGGCAGTATTCTTCTCCTTTGGACAGTGTGTTTGGATTGCATTGGTTACTGCATCTCTTGTAGATAATTCATTCACAAATCTCTTACCAGTAGATGGATTCAACAATATACCACCAAGTCCTCTAAGGGCTTCGGCTGCTAAAAATTTAGATCCGGCTGATGGATCCTCAGGGTCGATGAACCCAGTTGGGTGAACTTGAATTTGGTCCATATCAATCATATCTGCACCAATTTTTTCTAGGATTCTTTGGCCATCACCAGTTGTTTGTGGGCCATTGGTGGTTGGTAGATCAACGGTTTCAGGTGCGTACTTCTTCAGCATATCTTTTGAAAATCCAAAACCACCTGAACAGAATACTACATTGTTTGCATCCAATTGAATTTCTTTTCCTTCTCCATCCTTGTAGATTACGCCAGTAATAGCCTTTTCATTGTTAATATTAACGTCTACAACGTTAGCATTTAGGATAATCTTGCATTTTTCAGGTTCCTTTTCTGCTATCTCCTTTAATCTTTTAGATAAAGTTGAAACAATCTCAAAACCAGGTGGTAGTTTACCGGAAGATCTATGGGTTCTTGCTACACTATGGCCGCCCAACTGTGCAAGCAAGTCCAGAGAAAGGCCAAATTCTTCTTGTAACCACTGAATAGCAAGATGGGAATCATTTGCCAGTTTATCCATTAGATCAGTAACCCCTCTACCTTTGCTTGATTTAACAGTGTCCTGGTAAAAGAGTTCTGGGTTGTCCTGGATGTTTTGGGCCTCTTGAGTCCTAGTATGAGCACCATTAATACCACTAGAAGCCTTGGTAGAATTACCACCAATGGTACCAGTCTTGTCTAACAGAATAACTGGAGATTTTCCAAGTTCTAGAAGCTGATTAGCACAGGTAAGGCCGGCTAAACCAGTACCAACAATTACAGTTGCCATTGCTATAGAAAACTTATTGATCTAATGGTTTTGTTTAATCCTGTAGGGACAATTTACTGGATTCTTAATGCTATATATTTAACTGTAATAAGCCTTGAAACTCAGTAATTTGTCAATTGAAATGGGTTATTCAGCTCTTATATATTATATATATATTATAATGCAATTTGGCATTAGGTAATAAAGAGGTCAATTGGAAGGGGGGAGGATGAGTGGGCATTGCAGGACAATGGAAAAGGATGAATGGGTCCTTCAAGTGAACAACCGAGGGCTCACCCATACAATAATGGGAAGGGTGTCTCGTTTAACATGTTGGATGAAGGCTTTTGTCATTACAATCACATTCCTATTAGGTTCCACAAACTTCGTCAATACTAATTCCTAAAGATAGACACACATTCGGTAGCTTTTTCGGGACATTTAAATTGAAGATCCATTTTCATTAAGAGGAAGGATGAGTTGTTCATTAACTATGGGTGGTTTCTTGGGAATGATAGTCAACACAATTGCGGTTCAGAATAATTTTCTACTTATAGACAGAAACTGGAGAAGTACAGGCCTACACAAAGAATAAATTATGGAAGTCGATCGCATTGAAGTTTTGAAGGAGGTTTTTGCTCAAAATGTACAAGCGGCTTCACTCGGTTTCAAAAGACAACATCAGAAGAGGGTAGGAAAAGGAAGACATAAGTCTTGTAAACAATTACTCTCAGATGAACAGAAGCGTATAAATAATGAGTGCTTAAATAATGGTAAAGTGCCGAAGGTCACCTATTTTAATGTTGAAGCTCCACCTTCATTGAAGCCGGCCAAGAAGTACTGCGATATCACGGGATTAAAGGCTAACTACAGGTCACCAACAAACAATATAAGGTATCATAACGCTGAAATTTACCAACTGGTTGTAAAGCCCATGGCAGCAGGTGTGGATCAAGAGTACCTAAAACTTAGAGGTGCCAACTTTGTTCTTAAATGATTATTTTTCACAACCCATCAAACTTATTTCATCCTCATCTGTATATATAGAGTTAATGAAGATCTTTAAATAGGTGGCCATTTATTAAAGCTAGTTTTCTCAAATGGCTGTGTCCTACATACTATCAGCCAATACTTGGTTTTCATATTCCTTTTGTACTCATCATCATAATATTTGTCATAGCTTGAAGAGAGTTTTTCAAAGTAAAATCTAAAAAAAATGAAAAAACCAACGGACACTTAAACTAGGATAATGAAAAGTACATACTTCAAAGAGCATAGGTTTTAGTTAGAGACGGCTATTGGATTTATTAAAGAAGGCATATCATATTCCTAGTTGCAAAAGGTTACGTGAACGATCTTGTACATAAGTTGACACACTAGAGCGTACTTCTGTCTCTTTAACATTCAGACAATAAAAAAGGTAACTCCGACCTGATACATATTGGTAATTTATACGTGGGTATAAGTACAAAAGGGAGTCAAACAAGTTCTAGGACCAGTTACAAATTAGACATTATTTTACTATTTTGTTTTCAAGAGTCATTTGTTTTACATTAGACTTAGTTGAAAAGCAGCTTTTTTCTCTTATTATTGCATCTCGCTGTTACAAGGTTTCAACAAATTGCCTAACTGATTGATGTTTCATTTATTTGTGGCATTTTTGGCTTTTAGTTGGCTGCTGTATAGACTTGTACGTTTCATTACAATACCAGTCTCTAGCATTGTGGTAACGCTAGGTGTGAAAACTCCACCAACGACCAAAGTTTCAATAGATAAGATTACTAGTGACAGTATAACTATACACTGGGAAAATGAGCCACTAAATCAGGATTCTAAAGAAGTGAATACCGATTCTGGAAATGGGTATACCAACGAATATTCGATTTGCCATTATATTTTATACCTGAATAATAAACAAATTGCGGTGTTTCATAACAGTCCTAACGCATTGTACACATGTTGTGCAATTACTGGATTGGAACACGGCATGGAATATCAGCTAGATTTTGTTTCTGTGAATAAGTTGGGATATGTTAACAAGTTGCCCTCTATTTATTGTAAAACAGACGCTATTACTGGAAATGGCATTGATAAAACAGACATCATACATAATAATGAATTTAATGATCAAATGGATAATTCACAAAAAACCACTAGGTGGAGGAGAAATACTTTGGTGAAAAAGCTCACATCCACGTTTTCTGGAGACTCCTCACAATCCAAAATAAGTACAGATAATTATGGTTTGAGTGTAAATGGTTTTAATGCCGGCTCCAATTTGCAATCATATACTAGTTTGACGACACTGAAAGACTTGGAAAACTATACCATTGATGATTTGAAAAAGATATTGGTCTGCTCCCAAGAAGACCTGCATGATGTCCTTGCACAAGAGAAGTCAATCTCTGAGGATTTTCAGGAATCACAAGTTCAATTACAAATGGAATTAGATAATTTGAAAACTAGTTGGTCTCATGAAATGAATCTAAGGAAGTCACTGAAATCATCAATCAAATCTCTAGAAAACTCTAAACTATTAACAGATACCAAATCAGAAAAGGTAAAGAAAAAAATTAACGAATTAAGGTTCAAAATATCCAGGATGGAAAAGGATATGAAAGAATGGGAAAAAGAAAATTCTTTGTACCATACTGCAGATCTGGGAGGTAAATATGACACAATGATCAAAGAGATTGGAGATACAGAAATGCAACTGCTGCAACAAGTTCAAAATCTGCAATCCGAGATACAAATTGGAGAAGCTAATTATAAAGATATAGTGTCACGGAAGCCCATTTTAACTAAGGTAAAATCCAAAGTTGGGAAAGAAACAATTAATTCGCTGAGTAGCGATAAACAGGAAAATGCATTACCTATTATTAGGGATCTGGAATTCCTTCTCACCGATACTAGCAAATTATATCAGCATAACAGTAAACTGGCATCTTTAAGTAATGACTCTAAAATAATGAAATTCATTAAAACGCAAAAATCCATGGATCAAAAGAAAGATTCAAAATGGAAAGCGAAATTTGAGAAAATACAAACAACCATTAAAGAACTAGAAGGAAAGTTGACTGAAATGGAAAGTCAAAAACAAGGAAATAATTTGAATGATGAAGGCAATGTTTATAAAATTTCCTCCTCTGATAATATTCAAAATTATCAAAATATACTAGCTCAAAATTACCAAAATATATCTATGAATCAGAACGATACGCCTCAACTACTACCAAATAGCAAACTAAGTGATGGATTAGAGCAAGTCAACTCAAATGGACTGTCAAATGATAGTCCAGTTTTAAGTAATGATATTGACATGGCAAACCAAACTCCCCTAATTCTGCACCATCCTGCCTCATATAATGGTTTAAACCCTCCAATAAATTTTCAAGTGATGTCTCCACCCAATCAGGTAGCTTATATGAATCAAGAGACTAGGCAATTTAGTTCCGGGAGCAATGCAGTTGGTTCAGTAATGTCAGCTGGTGCCCAGAGCAATCATACTAATAATTCAGTTTGGAACAATAGCTATCCCTATGAGAATGCTGACAACAACCTTGAATATGAGAATACCAACCACTTACTGACAGGACTTGAAGATATGATTCATGATGAAGCAGACTATCCAGAAAGTATTAGTAATTACTCAAATGTATTCACAGTTGATCAATTAGATAATTACTGGAATAAAAAGAGAAGTATACCACTAAAGAGCAATGCTGCACATTCAACTAACACAGGGGTAAGTAATATACATGCAGCAGCTGAGATGTTATCTCCCCAGGCTAGTGCCCTCTCACAATCATCACAAGTAGATAACAAACTGGGAACTTCTTATTCACAAGATAGGATTCCACTATCTAGCTCGCCCTTGGGACCATATACCCACGCACATTCATCATCGTTGGGTGTTCCTCAATCGCATACTCAGCATTTGCTCTCTTCCTCATTAAATAACTCAGTACTTGGAAAATATCAAGACCAATTTGGCTTTCAGCAAGGCAGTAATTACTATGGTAATAGTAGGCCTCTCGCAAGTAATATTAATGGTTTAAGCAATGGCCTTCCGTCTCCTCATCAAAATGAAAATGAAACAGGGCCTGTATCGTTCAATTTTTTACCAAACTATGCCCACAATGATGACATTTTGGTAAATCAAGTACACTTGAATAATTCTTTTGGAGTTAATGATATTGGCCAGCATAATATAAATGAAGAAGCTTTCCAAAACTCTAGAATGGTGGACAATGCTAGTAACATCTGGAACACAATTCAGCTCGATAATGACGATCCAAAATCTGTATCTAATATGGAAAGCAAAGAGAGTAGCAGCACAATTCATGAACCAACTACACCCAAAGCCCATAAGCGTAACCAAAGTAACAGTAGTATTGCATCCTGGACCAGACTGAGTTGGAAAAGCTTGACAACTTCTAATCCAACCTCTCCACAGAGAGGTAGTATTCATGAACCCGCACTTGAAGAAGAGGATCAACGCCCAAATAGCCAGGGCCACGCTAATGGCCAAGAAAGACCCACAAATGGCAGAAAAATGTCAAGACTATTGAGCAGATCCACTATGAATAATTTATTCAAGAAGTCTACACATGACAGTTGAAGTATCTGCTCCTATATTTATATTTATCCTGCTCAGGTACTACTTTTTATAATTTATCAATTATAGGTGAGACATTTCAAATTGCAAACTGAATACTAAAAGCATATGAGTTCACATAGTGGTACTTCAACTACTTTTATATAGTTAATTTGCATGTACATGTTAATAAAATTCGTAAATATCATTGATCTACTCTATGTCAGTGCCTCGTGCGTTTATCAACATATAATGTTATACTTTGTAGATCACGTGTAATGTAATAGAAATATTGGTTACTTGAGTACCGTACGCCAACTTTAGTTTGATTCTGATTTTAATTTTTTTTCATTTGAACAGTTTTCGTGATTGTGCTCATCGACCATATAATATTATTTCACAAGTCCAAGTTATTGGACAAGCATATATGGAAAGTATAAAATAAGTTAAAGGACACTTAATAAACCAAAACAAATCTAGCTTAACGGCAAGCCTGAATTACAGTAATGAATGGTTTGTTTAGGAACTACCGTTTCCTAATGGGTGCTTTTGCACTAATCATGTTGATCTTATTGATTAGATCATCAAACTCTATACCAAATGGTTCAGGTATTAGCAGGCCTGTTACCCCAAACACCAATAAGCCTGATAGTCCACAGGACTTCAAGACTCTACCGATTGATGAACCTGGTTACACGGATGATAAGAAAACTGAAAATAATAACCCAGAAGTTGCAGATGCTGTGAAAGACGCTATCAAGTCATCAGTATCTGGCGATTCTGCAAAGACAGGTAAGAAGCCTTCGGGTGAAGTCATCGGTACTGGCAAAACTTGTACACAAGAGCATCAATATGTAATTATGATTGATGCCGGTTCTACTGGTTCTCGTGTCCATGTTTATGAGTTCGATATATGTTCTAAACCACCGATTTTAATAAATGAAACCTTTGAAATGTTGAAGCCTGGTTTGTCTTCTTTTGACACAGATTCTATTGGTGCTGCAAAGTCTTTAGATCCACTACTGAACATTGCCATGAATGTTATTCCAAAGCATCAAAGGCCTTGCTCCCCAGTAGCTGTGAAGGCTACTGCTGGTTTGAGAATGCTTGGTGAAACTAAGTCACAAAAGATTTTGGACGCGGTTAAGAGACATTTAGAGGTTGACTATCCATTCCCTGTAGTTGGTGGCGATGGTATCTCAATAATGAGCGGTGAATTAGAAGGTGTATATGCATGGGTTACAACAAACTATTTGCTTGGAAATATAGGTGCCTCTGATAGACGTCCAACGAGTGCTATTTTTGACCTTGGCGGTGGTTCTACTCAGATCGTCTTTGAACCAACTTTCCCACCAACTGAAGAGATGGTTGAGGGTGAGCATAAATATGTTTTGGATTACGGTTCTGAAAAGTACACGTTGTATCAATATTCACATTTAGGCTATGGTTTGATGCAAGGACGTAATAAGATAAATTCTCTACTAGTCTCTAATGCCATAAAGGAAGGTACTATTAAGCAAGGTGACTCTCAAACCGAGTATGTACTCAGCTCTCCATGTCTTCCACCAAAAGTTACAGCTCCGGTTGAGAAGGTTAAAGTCGGTGACTCTGAAACCTATAAAGTCAAATTTGTTGGCCCTAAGGTTGCTGCAGGTGCGCAATGTAGATTTTTGACTGATTCTATTTTGAACAAGGAGTCATCCTGTAAGGTTCCACCATGCTCATTCAATGGTGTTCATCAACCTTCTTTGGTGCGTACTTTCCATGAATCTAATGATCTATACATTTTCTCATATTTCTACGATAGAACAAGACCATTGGGTATGCCATTGTCTTTCACTCTACAAGAGCTTATGGAATTGACCAGAAACGTCTGTAATGGTGAAGAAGTGTGGGATGATGTTTTTGCCAATCTTGGCGATTCATTGAACTCATTGAAAAAGGATCCTCATTTCTGTCAAGACTTATCTTTCTTAGGTTCATTGCTACATACTGGTTATGACATTCCGTTGCAAAGAGAACTGAAAACTGCCCAGAAGCTAGCCGGTAACGAAATTGGTTGGTGTTTAGGTGCCTCTCTTCCTCTAATCAACTCCAAAGACTGGAAATGTAGACTTGATCAGAAGGCATAGTTAGATATGAAGTTTATTTTATCGCAGACAGTTACAAATAACCTGTTTATATCTACATTTGGTTTTATATATACAACTAGATAGTATAACAAAAAAATATATGAAGAATTTAAAAAATTATTCATTACCTGCTGCTTGTCGTCACATATGGATTATTGTACTAATCGTCTTGAAAAGGTCCGACTCTATTTTTTTTTTATAGCACATGGCAGCAAAGAAACACTTTTGTTAGTAGTAATTACATGTAGATACTAAAAGGATGATATGTAAGGAAATAATGCAATACCTCACTAGCTCGAGAGATTTTTTTTTGTTTTCTAAACACTATCATTCATTGTAGAAAAGAAAACATTGTATCAATTCGCGTTGGTTCACACTATATTATGTGTTATTTCCATTTATTTTACTATAATTTTATGCATGTGGTATTTTCTACTAAAAAACTTGCGTAGTAACATCAGATAGGTCTCATCTTGGATTTTCAAAGCAAAAAATTAGGCAAGATAGGGATCTACGTTTTTGTTGATCTACAGTTCTTTCGTGCTTTCTATGGGGAAGCACTGGCCAGAAGTTCCCTGGTGTTCCCTTGCTGGAATGATGATGCATATCCGATTCCTATTTTCCCATGATTATATATAGCAGGGGCTTTCCGTTGAGATCGGCTGGCAATCGGAGAATGAGACTTATATCTGAAAATTGATGTCTGTTATTGATCAAAATACACAAAATTTTGGGCAATAAATTGGATCATCAGAAGGAAAGGTTTCGGTACCTTTGATTAGGACGTCCAATAGGGTGAGCTGTGTGTATTTGAAAGTTGTAGCCATCCTTACTCATATTTTTTATAGTAACTGCAAGCATTTTGGTCCTTCAACAATGGAAACGTCAAGGAGAGATTCGAATGAAGAGACTAAAAGAACTATAATGGAGTCTGACTCTAGGAGCACTTCAGTACAGAGTTCGTCTTCATCAGGGGGAAGTATGACTCCGTATAGCCATAGTCCCCGGAACTCTGTTCCCCCAATAACGGTAAGTGAGGAAGATATGGGACCTATGAATGATCGATTTAAGTTTTCTGATATTAGAAGTGTTGAGAATATGGTCAGAAGGCTCTCAACAGACAGTCTACCAAGGTCAAGAGCAAGTAAGACGCATTTTCAGTATGCAACGACAGCATATGATGTGCGCATGCTGAGTAAAGATATTGTAAATAAGAAAGTTGAACTAGATGTTGAGACTGTGATGATCATATGTAAGGTTGATGATCAGTCTGTTATTTTACTAATGAGAGAATTGGTAGAATGGATATTGGTTCGGTATCCCATGATTACAGTCTATGTAGAGGAAATTTTCAAGACATCTAAATTATTTGATGCAGATGATTTATTTAAAGATGTTAAATGTAGGAATTCTAGGTTAAAATATTGGACTCCAAAATTCATAAATGAGAATGATGTCTTTTTTGATCTAGTGATCACTATGGGGGGCGATGGTACGGTATTATTTGCCTCCCATTTGTTTCAAAAGCATGTTCCACCGATATTGTCATTTTCATTAGGCTCACTTGGTTTTTTAACTAACTTCAGTTTTGAGCATTTCAAAGAGGAATTGCCCTTAATTTTGAACAGTAAGATTAAAACAAATTTGAGAATGAGACTTGAATGCAAAATATATAGAAGGCAAAAAGTTACTATGGACAACAGCACAGGGCGTAAGGTATGCTATATGAAATTAGAGTCTACCCGCCATGTTTTAAACGAACTCACTATAGACAGGGGTCCAAGTCCCTTCATTTCGATGCTGGAGCTTTATAGTGATAATGATTTAATGACTGTAGCACAAGCTGATGGTCTAATTGTTGCCACACCAACAGGTTCAACTGCATACTCCTTAAGTGCGGGTGGATCTTTGATAAATCCGGGTGTTAATGCAATTGCTGTCACACCCATTTGTCCGCACACACTAAGTTTCAGGCCAATTATCTTGCCTGATAGTATTGAACTGAAAATTCAAGTGTCCTTGAAATCAAGAGGTACTGCATGGATTGCATTTGATGGTAGACCTAAGATTGAACTAAATCGGGGTGACTATGTTACTGTTTCAGCGTCTCCTTTCTCGTTCCCAACAGTAGAGGCTAAACCTAGCGATTTCGTAGACAGCATTAGCAGAACTTTAGGGTGGAATGTTAGAGAAAAGCAAAAATCTTTCTCACACGTCTTATCTTTGAAGAATCAAGAAAAGTATGAGAATGAATCATACAGAAATAAAAGAGAGCTCGAAAATGAAGAAGCTGAAGAGGAAATTTTGTTGGACGAAAGTGGTGAAATTACCGCTAGAAATCTTATTAAAGTCCCAGCAGACATTGATAGTGCTAGTAAAAGACATCACAAAAGCCCTTTAGGGAAAACAATACCCACAAAAAGTAGACGTATGTCAGCAGGATTTACTCTAGAGTAGCTACTATTGAATATATGTGTGTTAATGAACATGACGTTATTGTCGTCCACATTTCAACTGAGACTTTTATTTTTCTCTAGAGTCAAAATACACCACTATAAATTACTATTTTATTTTATCTATTTGTCTTTATTTGATAGATGGTATTTTATAATATTATGCATTAAATTATTGCTCATTTCATATATTATTTCGATACTTTTTTTCAAATAAGCTTGAACGGTGTCATGGACAAATGCTTGGTTCGTGGATTCCAATTCCATCGCATCACATTGGAAAACTTCGAAAACATTAAAAATTCAAAAATAACTTAAGCCCAGTGAAGGGGGGTGAAATTTCAAATATTTTAAATGATAAGTTTGATTAATTCCCGCATTGTTTTGTTCTCATATATTAGATCAATTGCTTTCGATCTGCTAAGATATTTTAATTTAAGTTTTTATTCCGTTTTTTTAGCATATTATTATTGATCAAGCTTTATAGAAAATTTAGCAGCATTTAGATTTTTATCAACTTATCAAACCGCAGATGTCGCCAGACCCAAAATACAGTGCGTACTTATTAGATATTGAGGGTACATTGTGCCCATTGTCCTTTGTTAAGGATACCCTATACCCATTCTTTGTTCTACACGTCCAAAGAATTGTTTATGAAAATTTTAATGAGGAGCATCCAAAGGATGAATTTATTGCAGAGCAATTGGCCAAATATGATATAAAAGAGGAAGGTCAAGCTGGTAAAAATAAATTGGTGGAACATTTATTGGACCTAGTTGCCAATGACACCAAGGATTCTACTTTGAAAGCTCTCCAAGGTCACGTATGGGAAGTGGGTTACAATTCCGGTGAACTTGAGGTACCATTATACCCAGATGTTATTGACTTCCTGGTAAGGAATGACGGAAGAGGAGATGACAAAGTTCCTGTATACATTTATTCAAGTGGATCTATTCATGCTCAAAAACTGCTTTTTGGGCATGTTAAAAATTCCGGCAATTCCCACGCAAAAATTGCTGGTAATTGGGACCTGAATCGTTTTATTGATGGGTATTTCGATATAAATACAGCCGGTAAGAAGACAGAATCGAACTCTTACAAGAAAATTCTTGATGAAATTAAGATGACTGATAAACCACATGATGTTCTATTTTTAAGCGACAATGCAAAGGAATTGGATGCCGCTAAGGAGTGTGGTATTAGTGTTGGTTTAGCCATGAGAGCAGGCAATGTTACCGTCCCTAATGCAATTGATTATAAGCAATACTTCCAATTTACTAAATTGTAAAACACTTAATTATTGTGTGCTTTTGTCTGTTCTTAAATCGATTCCACAAGCATAATCAAATGGTTATGATATCTTAATATAATAAGTTTTCAGCTCTAAGAAAAATAAAACAATGTCCCACTAATTATATAATAAATACATACTAAGCTTCTATGATTTGTATTTGCAATTTTCTTTTTTGATTATGTTGGAGGCGTTACATCTACCTCGAGATTACGTGCATTAATTAAAATAAAGTTACTAAGTCTAAAAAGGATACTATATTCTTATAATTAATATAGAACAATGATGTCATAAATCCCAAAGCTGATATGCTGGGCAAATGCATGTGAATAATGTTAAGATAGAAATACAATTATTAGTCAGCGTAGTCACTGAAGAGCATATTAGCAGCAATCTCTTCATTTTTGTCACATGCAAAATATACCTGTATAACTAATGTACGCTCAAATCCAAGTTCGCAAAGTCTGGAAATAGCCTGCTCGTCCTCTGGTGAAAGAGTAATTGGGGCATTTTCTTCCGCAAAACCGTCAGCCCCCTCTACAGTATCGCCTTCCCCTTCTGCAATAGCCTCAAAATCCATAGCACCTTGTAAATTGTCACCAACTGCTTCAAGCAACATTGATACAAATACCTCTGGATTGGCCATAATCTGCTCACGAAGTTGTGGATATCTGTTACTTAAGTTTTCCAGGAGTGGAGCTAGTGCTTCGGGGTTACCAGATACGACTTGTCTTAAAGCCAATAAATCCTCCATAGTCAAACCAATGGAACCTGGAGGACCTCCAGTCGCAGATCCAGCACTCTCAGAGGTAGTACCTCCAGCAGTCTGTGCCGCACTTGGAGTAGCAGAGTCACGTGCTGCTTGTGCAAAAAGGTCGTCTTCTGCTGGTGGTTCGGCATTACCTTCAGTACTTTCCTCCTCATTCATATCAACATCGGCCTCGTGCTCTTGAGAGGTTTGGCCTTCTTGTGGTCTCAAGGTTTCTGGAATTCCCATCAGCAGATATTCAACAGCTCTGTCGGGATTGTTGAATGCCGCGCGAAGAGCACGCTCAACTTCGGCCCTTTCATATCCCATTTCCATTATTCTTTCGATTGTAGCGTTACGTTCTGAACCCACGACAAAGCCATCGTCGGTACCAGCATTAGGAGCTTCTGTGTTCTCAGAACTTGAATTAGTGGCAGGTTCTGTAGTCTCATTTTGGTTAGTTTCTGGCTGGGTAGAAGTTGCTGGGGTCGATTCAGAGGGGGTTTCTTCAGATTGTGCTTTTGGTGCAGAAGATTCTGTGACCTTAGTAGCGGTTGCCTTTTTGGCTGAAACCATAAATATCACCTCGTTACCATCCTTGAAGTTACAACTTTCAACGGAATCTCCATCCTTTAATACCTTACCTGAGAATATTAGTTTTATTTGGCTTGGATCACAGCTTAGTTTTTCACTTAAAGCTTCTTTAACTGCTACTATAGATTGAGAGCTTTCTAAATCAAGTGGGTACTTCTCCTTTTTGAAATTCTTAAATGTAACACTCACCATATTGTAGGTTTATTCTATTATAGTCGTATCTTGTCTATTTTCAAGTCTTGATGAATAATAGATTCAGTAAATCGGTATTGCTCTGGTTAAAGTCGGATTTTCTTTTTGTATAACACAAATTAGTTTAGTTCTCCGAAAAGTATTATTACGCTCTTGATTATTAGTAACTATTCTGAGTAAAATAACCAAAATCTAAATGAATCCTATGTTAGATTTACGATTAGCCAATTGTCTTCCTGATTATTGATGCGACAAAAACTTGTACTCTTAAGCTTTGATAGTATGTGCTGTCGCCAAAATGACAGTTATCTTTTATTTGGGCTTGTGGTGCCCATCCTCATGCTCGAAGTCCTTTGACATCCATTAGCAGTTTGGCACACAATAAGGTAAATTTTTACAATGTTGCCACCATCTCAACGTAATTAATGATAACAGCTGATGAATCATACAGGGTTTTCAAGTGGGATACATATATCTCTAACATATTAATGAACGTGTGTAAGATATGAGAAGCTTTCTTTTTAATTATTACAGGATATTAATATATTATTCCTAATAGTAGCTTAGACCATATAAAAAAAAATAAGTGCGTTATATATTCTGGTGAAGAAGTAAAAAATAAATGAAAATGCTAAAAGAGTGAAGACATGTTGCCGATAAGTTCATGAAAAGAGGTTATGCACAAGTACAATTGGATATTAATACGATAATGCTAGTCTAGTGAGATGGGTTGCTGGTAGAAAATTTTTAATGGCTAATACCTGCATTATACTATTTCCTAATACGCTTTAGAGCATGTGTCTTTCTATGGTTCTTGGGTTTTAGGTCCACAACTGTCAGAGTTATTCTATCACGGGACTGGTATTCTTATGATAATGCTTGAGAGTTTGCTTTATATTTTGAATACATCTTTGGGGAATTCTATAATAGTGTGAGGGGTATCCTACAGCTTGTTTTTCCCAGCAGTGCAACTACGCTAAGTAAAATTGATATTTTCTCTTGAAATTTACTATTTGGAAATGCAGAGATTAATGTCAGCTTTTTGATTATTTATTTGGGTCGAAGTCCAAAGGCTTGTCTTGTTGAGCAGCGTTATTAGCGTTGGCGTTGTTGAGTGATTGGTCACCGTTACTTGAAACATCGGCATCGTCGCTCCAATCCACAACAATATCTTTTTGTGTTTCCATATTTTTGAATATAATATCTTTCTCGTGTGCCCAGTCATCGCGAACATCCTCATAGCCTATTTCCCAAATTCTATCGTAGAACTCACGCAGTTGAATTTCTTCTAGTTTCCTCTTCTCTTCTTCTGCCATCCACGCCATGTATTTCAAGTCATCGGTGGAAGGTTCGTAGATATGCCAAATAACGTAGTGAGGTAATCCTACGACGTCGAAGCCCATTCTGCGGGACAATTTACCGAACGCTTCTGTTTCAGCGTGCTTCTGGAAAGAAAACGCTGGAAAGTGAGAGCCTGCTCTGAATACGCGTGCCTTTGACAATATGGAGACACCGCCGATACCATCTAGCATCATTTCATCCTCTGGGTTACCGTTTGGGTCTCTCATATAAGCCAAGTGGGTTCTCCAAGTGGCGTATTCGGGGTAACCTTCGACAATGACGCTGTCCTCTGACAAAGTGTCGGCCAATTGCAAGCCACCTTCTGATTCTACCCAGGAGTTCAAGTCATAAGGTTGGATGTTCCCCAGCCAGTCAGGCAGCGGTCTCCACACGTTGGGGACAATCACATCCTTATCGTGGTGCATCAGGTCCTCCATTATAGACCTGGGGATCACTTCTACGTCGACGTCTCTCCAGTACACCCACGAGTGGTAAGGCTTGATCGCTACTGAGCCGAGCCAGTTACGAGCCCTGGCCATCAGTTTTCTTCTGGGCCCCTGGGCGGCGAACCCGTGTCTGTCTGAGAAGGACTGTCCGATGATCTGGCCGAAGTCCTTCTCGAATATCTCTATGTTCCCGAACCGCTTGTTCTTGTCCTTCTGGGCCTGCTGCAAATGGTGCATCAGCACGCCCATGGTGTTGTCCGAGGAGTCCGACACCAGGAAGGACAGATCTATCAAGTGGTGTGGGTACGTCATCGCGTTCAGATGGTCGAAGAACATGGGCAAGTGCTCGGCAGCGTCTCTCAACGGGACACAGAACAGTATCCTGTCGTTGCGTTGCCACCCGTCGGGCAGCCCTGTGTAGTCATTCAAGTCATAGAACTCCACGCCGGGAACACTTCTAAAATCAGGGATGTAGTTCGCAGAGAACCACACCGCGAGCACGCCGGCTAGATCAAACACATTGTTGACAAACTTCAGCACCAGGTACAGCGCAAACAGCGACCCTACACAGCTCACCAGGAAGGGCCTATTGTACTTGAACATTTGTCGTGTCGTCTTTGTTCGACTAAATGAGAAATGAGCACAAGCAAGAACCAAGTCTATGTAAAGGGCAAGTAAATACTTGTTCTTATTTTGAAAATTTTTATCATTTGTCACTCTCCGCTAAATTGTAGCTCTATCAAGAGAGAGGGACAGCCAGAGAGATGAGCTTGTTTATTTTTAAATCAGCTAGAAGAAGATGATACGTTTGTACGTTACCCACATGATATACCGTATTCCATTCCATTATATATAGTCATATATCACGTATACCACCTGATTGTGCGTACATAAGTATATGTAGTCGTACAGTACGGTTTATTATTCACATGATATTACGTACAATTGTACATATCGTCATCGCACATCACGAATTTGCTCGTCATTGCGTTTCTGGTTTGGGCTTCCAGATGCTTTGTCACAGAGAAAGAAGAAGCGAAGAAGAAAAAAAAAATTTTTTTTTTTTTTTTAAAGTTTTTTGTATCTTCATTCAATTTCCAATTTCCAATTTCCAAATTTTCTTCTTCTCACTTTGATGAAAAGGATTTTGTGGGCGGGGAGAGAGAGAGCTTTTATTTTAGCTTCTTTTTTGAAATCTCTTCTTTAGACAAGAGATACAGACATAAGCACTCACACAGAACTCATAACACATAACACAATGGCTGAAGAAGAACATACCTTTGAGACCGCTGATGCTGGTTCCTCCACCACTTACCCAATGCAATGTTCTGCTTTGAGAAAGAACGGTTTCGTCGTTATCAAGGGTAGACCATGTAAGATTGTCGACATGTCTACTTCCAAGACCGGTAAGCACGGTCACGCCAAGGTCCACTTGGTCGCCATTGATATCTTCACTGGTAAGAAGTTGGAAGATTTGTCTCCATCCACCCACAACATGGAAGTCCCAGTTGTCAAGAGAACTGAATTCCAATTGTTGGACATCGATGACGGTTTCTTGTCCTTGATGAACATGGACGGTGACACCAAGGATGACGTTAGACACCCAGAAGGTGAATTGGGTGACCAAATGCAAGCTGCTTTCGACGAAGGTAAGGACTTGATGGTCACTATCATCGCCGCCATGGGTGAAGAAGCTGCTATCTCCTTCAAGGAAGCTCCAAGATCTGATTAAATCTAAAACTATGAAAATAACTCAAAGTGTAAAAAAAAAAAGGAAAATTAATATATTTTTAAATTGAAAAAAAAAAGATGTTGTATTGAAAACAAGGGAAGAAAAACAAAATTGGACATATAATACTTTTTTTTTCTTATATATAACTGGATTCTTTTTCTTCGATGTTTCAAAATGAAAGGCATACGAGAGATTTGTTTTTGGGGATTTACAAAAATGGCGTAGCATCTCAATGGCAGTTTGCATATCATATCAACTTTTATGCTCTATTAAAGGTATCCCGATAAGCGTATACTGGATGAGAGATGTCTCCTCCTTTTTGTGTTCCCTCCCTGCCCTCTCGTATTTCCCCTTGCATCAAGAAGAAGGAATCACTATATTTTTTTAGACAGTTTTTTTTTTTTACTTTATTATTTAATGGTTTAACGGAATACAAAAAGAATCACTTTTTTACATCACTCTATATTTTATGCAGCCGGTGTATATATCAATGGCTATGCTCTGGGCTTAGAAGCGTGTCCTAGCAGAGAATTTCTAGGTTAAAGCTGAGAGTGCGAAAATTCTATACGCTCTACACAACGATATCTAGTGCATGATATAAGCCTGAACCCGTAAATCATCCATTTCATCTAGTGCTATTGGCAACTTGGCCGAGTGGTTAAGGCGAAAGATTAGAAATCTTTTGGGCTCTGCCCGCGCAGGTTCGAATCCTGCAGTTGTCGTTATTACTTTCTTTTTTTTTGGTTTGCTCATCTAATCAATTAGACTTCCTAATCGGGTAATTGCTATGCTAAATGAATTTTTCAATATAATTTCCTAATCCGGTAGAGCTATTCATTGTAAGTGTTTCCACGTCAATTTTTTTTTTTGTCAAAACTCTTTCACCAAGCATTGATCAATGAGTATACTGTAACTTCAAGTTTTAATGCCATATTTGGCAGCTGGTATATTTGAGCTGTATCGAGGGTTGAGAGACCAGGAACATATAAGATTAGATCCCAATTGCTGTGTATCTAGTGAAGGAGTGGATAGAAAAAGCTCTCGATTAGTACTAGAATCTTTACTCCTGCTGACGGTTTTTAGAACATGGATGGCGGTATAGAGGATTCCGGGGCGTTCTTTGCCCCAGATGCAGTTTTCGGGGACAGAGTGAGGCGTTTCCAGGAGTTTTTAGAAGTGTTTGAGCAGTACAAGGACGACGTAAAGGCGATCCTGGCTAAGAACAGTGCCAGTCTGGCCAGTGAACTCGGTAATATAGATGAAGACGCCGAGGAGGATGTGGATCTGATGGATGACATTGACAAGTCGAAGAAGAATGTCTCGGATGGGCCCAATGCGGTGCCCCACAGGATTACTATATCTCTGGATGACCTAAGAGATTTCGATAGGAAGTTCTGGCGCGGGGTGCTGAATGAGCCAGCGTACTATATCCCACCGGCTGAGAGGGCTTTGAGTGAAATTGCCACGGCGCTGGATGATTCTCCAAGAAACACAGTGGATGCTGTCTCAGCTAAGCGTCCTTGGAGACTGTCGTTCAAGGGCTCTTTCGGTTCACATACTCTTTCTCCCGGTACTTTGAACGCGATGTATTTGAACAAATTGGTCTCCATTGAAGGTATCGTGACTAAAACTTCATTGGTGAGACCAAAACTGATGAGATCGGTGCACTACGCGGAAAAGACAGGTAGGTTCCATTACAGAGATTACACAGATTCTACAACTTCATTGACGACCAGAGTTCCTACCCCTGCCATATATCCTACCGAAGATCCGGATGGTAACAAATTGACAACAGAGTATGGGTTTAGTACCTATATTGATCATCAAAGAATCACAGTGCAAGAGATGCCTGAAATGGCTCAAGTGGGTCCCGTACCGAGGTCAGTAGACATCATCCTGGATGATGACCTTGTGGACAAGACTAAACCAGGTGACAGAATCAATGTTGTTGGTGTTTTCAAATCTGTTGGTGCTGGTGGCTTAAACCAGGGTGAATCAAATACATTGAATGGTTTTAGAACATTGATCATAGGTAATAGCGTATACCCATTACACGCAAGATCAACGGGTGTGTCAGCTAAGGAAACTTTGAATGATCTTGACATTAGAAACATCAATAAATTGTCAAAGAGAGGAGATATATTCGAAATTCTTGCTCAATCATTGGCCCCATCAATTTACGGTCATGAAAATATTAAGAGGGCGGTTTTGCTAATGTTGTTCGGAGGTGTCGAGAAAAATCTGGAAAATGGTTCACATTTGAGAGGTGATATAAATATACTAATGGTTGGTGATCCGTCTACAGCCAAATCCCAAATGTTAAGGTTTGTTCTAAACACAGCATCGTTGGCAATTGCCACCACCGGTAGAGGTTCTTCTGGTGTTGGTCTAACTGCTGCTGTCACCACAGACAGAGAGACGGGTGAAAGAAGACTAGAAGCAGGTGCGATGGTTTTGGCTGATAGAGGTATTGTTTGTATCGATGAATTCGATAAGATGACTGATGTAGATAGAGTTGCTATTCATGAAGTCATGGAACAGCAGACAGTTACGATCGCTAAAGCTGGTATCCATACCACGCTAAACTCTAGATGTAGTGTCATTGCTGCAGCAAATCCTGTTTTTGGGCAATATGATGTTAACAGAGATCCTCATCAAAATATTGCACTTCCTGACTCGCTTTTGTCACGTTTCGATTTGCTATTTGTTGTTACTGATGATATCAACGAAGCAAGAGATAGATCAATCAGTGAACATGTCTTGAGAACTCATAGATACTTGTCACCTGGTATGGTTGAAGGTGAGCCTGTGAGAGATAGACTAAATTTATCTCTAGCTGTAGGTACAGATGAAGACGACGAAAATGCTAATGACAACACTAACCAGGATGAAGAGGACCAGGTATTTGAAAAATTCAATCCTTTGCTGCAAGCGGGTGCTATGTTAGCCAAGAATCGTGGTAACTATAATGGTACCGAGATTCCTAAATTAGTAAAAATTTCTTTCTTAAGGAAATATGTCCAATATGCGAAGGAGAGAGTTGTTCCACAATTAACAACCGAGGCGGTTGATGTGATTGTTAAGAACTATACTGATCTAAGAAATGATGAAAACACTAAAAAATCACCAATTACAGCAAGAACTTTGGAAACTTTGATTAGATTGGCTACAGCACATGCCAAAGTCAGGCTATCCAGAACGGTTGACAAAGTTGATGCTACCGTCGCTGCTAACTTATTGCGTTTCTCATTGCTTGGTGAAGACGTTGGCGAAATTACTGATGCTGATTTGCAAATGGACTTTGAGTATCCATCAAACAGAAATTCGCCAAAGAAATCACCAAAAAAGAAACAAAGATTGGGGCCAAGAGGATATGGTTTGTCACCATCGAAAAGTAACAGAGGATCACCTGTTAAGAGATTGGACTTCGGCGATTCACAAGCAGAGGAAAGGCTAGATGCTTCTCAAATAGAAGAAGAGGATGTCCTTGAACCAGGAATGGAAGAACTACATATCAGTGATGATGCCAACTTACACAGAAGACTAGAAAGAGAGTTGAGAGGTTCGCCTTTGCGTTCCACGCAACAAGGTCCATTAACAGAGGTGACCACACCTAGGATGCCCAATATCTCGACTGCTGGCCAGGAAGAGGATAATGGCAATCAAGATATATCAGTGGATACTGTTGACCAAAGCAATATTTCAACTGCAAGGCTGTCACTATTGTCTGGTCTTGTTGCAAGGCTAATGCAGACCGATCTTTTCGAGGAAGAATCTTACCCAGTGGATGCTTTGTTCGATGTTATCAACGGGGAACTGGCAGAAGAAGAGAAGTTCACAAAGACAGAATACCTTGCTGGTTTGAAGGTTATGGCTCAAAGAAACAATCTAATGATCGCAGAAGAGAAAGTCTGGAGAGTATAATTCCATTTTATATATATTTTTAGCAGAAACATTGAATTGTGTTACAGAATCATTTCTGCTTCAGTTTCATATTTTTTAAAAGTGCTCTAACTATATAGTATTTTTTGTAATATTACCTTATTTCGAACTATTAATATAATCTCGAACTATTCCATATATTTTTGGGTTTAAAAACTGGCCACATTTGATGTAACTACTGGATATGATCAACATATACTACTCTTTAAATAAATCCTACACGGTGACTTCACAGAGTCGTCTCTTACCGGGGGATATAGTTTACACGGAAAATCTGAAAAAAAAATCTGAAAAAATTGAAAAAATATCGTTCTCTTAGTTTCTCGATGAGGCTGTCAATTCTGGCTGGTGGCAAGCTAATCCTAAACGTGAGGATAAGGTGTAGGATTGACTTTGAGCACAGTCGAACTTATTAACGTTTACGAGTTGAGTTTCTATTTCTTTAATTTTAGCACTTCAACTAATATTTGAAGAATTGGATAGTTTTGGTTGTCTAACAAATTGTAAAGTACTCTGCATTTTATTAAACTTCTAAAAAGGAAACCAGCAATGGCTGATAAAGTGAATAGTCCTATTGTAAAGGACTCACAGCTGCTGATACCTAAGAGTTTGACAGCACGTCCATACACTCTACCATTCTTTCCATTGTATGCTACATTTGCTCAGATTTATTTCCAACAGTATGATACTTACATTAAGGGCCCAGAATGGACTTTCGTCTATTTGGGTACAATTGTCAGTTTGAATATTTTGGTTCTGTTACTTCCAGAATGGAATATTCAACTTGCTGCTAAGTTTAAGTATAACAAGGTTGATAACATTAATGAAGCTACACACATTTTGATAAATACCACCCCAAACAATGGTTCCTCTGATATTGTTAAAATTGAACGCGCTAATGAAATGGGTGAATTGCAAACTTTTTTCCAATTCCAAAAGAAAAGATTCTTGTGGCATGAAGATGAACAACAATTCTCTTCACCCAAGTTTTTGATAGATGGAACTCCGAAGATCAGTGAATTTCAAAATTTCAAAGGTCATAAAGGTGATTTGACCCATTTGAGAAGACTTTATGGTAACAACGAGTTTGACATCCCAATTCCAACTTTCTTGGAGTTGTTCAAGGAACATGCAGTTGCTCCTCTTTTTGTCTTTCAGGTTTTCTGTGTTGCATTGTGGCTTTTGGATGAATACTGGTATCTATCTTTATTCAATTTGTTCATGATCCTATCCATGGAAGCAGCCTCTGTGTTCCAGCGTTTAACCGCATTGAAGGAGTTTAGAACAATGGGTGTTAAACCTTATGCGATCAATGTCTTGAGAGATGGTAAATGGGTGGAAATGCAAACGAATGAATTATTGCCCATGGATGTCGTTTCCGTTGTGAGAACAGCAGAGGATAGTGCTCTTCCTTGTGATTTGATCTTGGTTGATGGTACATGTATTGTTAACGAGGCTATGTTGTCAGGTGAATCTACTCCGTTGTTGAAGGAATCTATTAGATTGCGCCCTGGTAATGAAGAGCTACAAATCGAAGGAACTGATAAAATTTCCGTTCTACATGGAGGTACAAAGGTTTTGCAAGTGACTACACCAGAAAAAACCGGCAAGGTCCCATCTCCACCTGATGGAGGTGCTATTGCTATCGTCACCAAAACTGGTTTCGAAACTTCCCAAGGTTCTTTGGTTCGTGTTATGATTTATTCTTCGGAGCGCGTTGGTGTTGACAATAAAGAGGCTCTATACTTCATTTTGTTCTTGTTGATTTTTGCTGTTGTTGCATCATGGTATGTCTGGGTTGAAGGTACAAAGATGGGTAGGGTACAATCCAAATTGATCTTAGATTGTATCCTGATTATCACCTCTGTTGTTCCACCTGAGTTGCCAATGGAACTGACTATGGCTGTCAACAGTTCTTTGTCGGCATTGAGCAAATTTTATGTTTACTGTACTGAACCATTCAGAATCCCATTTGCAGGTAGAATTGATGTTTGTTGTTTTGATAAGACCGGTACCTTAACTGGTGAAGATCTGGTATTTGAAGGATTAGCTGGGTTATCAAGTGATCCAAAGGATATTCGTCATTTATATTCTGCCACTGACTGTCCTAACTCAACTTCGCTGGTTGTTGGTGCTGCTCATGCCCTTGTTAGACTTGAAGATGGTGAAATTGTTGGTGATCCTATGGAAAAGGCTACTTTGAAGGCTTTGAAATGGACTGTTGAGAAAGGTGATAAGGTATTTAATGAAAAAAATGGCCAAGTTACAATTTTGCGTCGTTTCCAATTTTCCTCTGCTCTAAAAAGATCATCATCTGTTGCTACTCATGATGGTAAACTTTACTCTGCTGTTAAAGGTGCTCCGGAAACAATCAGGGAAAGACTTTTCACTATCCCTGCTAATTATGATGAGATTTATAAGTCCTTTACACGTTCTGGTTCTAGAGTTCTAGCTCTCGCTTCCAAGAAGCTTGAGAAAATGTCTCAGTCACAAATTGAAGATGCTGACAGAGAGCACTTCGAAAGAGATCTGGAATTTAACGGTTTCTTAATCTTCCATTGTCCATTAAAACATGACGCCATTGAGACTATTCAAATGTTGAATGAATCTGCACATCGTTGTGTCATGATTACCGGTGATAACCCATTAACCGCTGTTCATGTAGCAAAGGAGGTAGGAATTGTTAAGGGTGAAACTCTGATAGTGGATATGGTTGATAATGGTAATGATGACAAACTTGTTTTCAGAAATGTTGAAGAGACATTGAGTTTCGAATTTGTTGTTAGTAAGGATTCCTTTGAAAAGTATGGTATATTTGACAAATACGATCTTGCGGTAACCGGGCATGCTCTAGAGGCATTAAAAGGACACCACCAACTGCAAGATTTGATTCGTCATGCTTGGATTTATGCTCGTGTTTCTCCAGCACAAAAGGAATTTATTTTGAACAATTTGAAGGATATGGGATACCAAACGTTAATGTGTGGTGACGGTACTAATGATGTTGGTGCTTTGAAGCAAGCTCACGTTGGTGTAGCATTGTTAAATGGTACTGAAGAAGGTTTAAAAAAAGTCGCCGAACAACGTAGACTAGATAGTATGAAGGAAATATATGACAAACAGACCGCTTTCTTGGCTAGATGGGGTAAACCTCCAGCACCAGTTCCAGAAAACATTGCCCATTTGTATCCTCCTGGTCCTTCAAATCCTCATTATCTAACTGCCCTAGAGAAGAAGGGCACAGTCATTACTCCTGAAATTAGAAAGATGGTTACTGAAGCTAATAATAAGCCTGTGGAAATCGCTGCACCAAGTACAGAAAAACCAGCAGCAAACGACCTAGCTAGTATGATCTTGAGTGGGGCTAGCGAAAGTCAAGAAGATGGAGAGACTCCTACCTTGAAACTTGGTGATGCATCTTGTGCTGCTCCATTTACCTCAAAATTAGCTAATGTTTCTGCTGTTACAAATATCATTCGTCAAGGTCGTTGTGCTCTAGTTAACACAATCCAAATGTACAAAATTCTAGCCTTGAACTGTTTGATTAGCGCATATTCTTTATCTATTATTTACATGGCTGGTGTTAAATTTGGTGATGGTCAGGCTACAACATCAGGTCTACTTTTGTCTGTGTGCTTCTTAAGTATATCTCGTGGTAAACCGCTACAAAAATTATCGAAGGCTAGACCTCAGGCTGGTATTTTCAATGTTTATATTATGGGATCTATCCTTTCTCAATTTGTTGTTCATATTGGTACTTTGATTTATCTCACCAATGAAATCTATAGATTGGAGCCAAGAGAACCTCAAGTTGATTTGGAAAAAGAATTTGCTCCATCATTGTTGAATACCGGTATATTCATTATCCAATTAGTGCAGCAAGTTTCAACTTTTGCTGTAAATTATCAAGGTGAACCATTCAGAGAAAATATTAGAAGTAATAAGGGTATGTATTATGGTTTATTGGGTGTTACAGGACTAGCTCTTGCCAGTGCTACTGAATTCATTCCTGAATTAAATGAAGCCATGAAGTTTGTTCCAATGGAAGATGACTTTAAGATGAAACTAACTATTACGTTGTTTGTTGACTTTTTTGGTTGCTGGGGTGCAGAACACTTCTTCAAATTTTTCTTCATGGATGATACACCTGCTGATATAACTGAAGAAAAGGTTAGAATTCAAGAGAAAAACTAATATACTGTTTTCGAAGGATCTGTAGATTTTGTTTTGGACTAGCTAATAGCACTGCATTATCTGATTTCGAACTATAGTTATTTCATTCCAGATACTAGCATATTTGGTGAATGAAGTCATGTAAATTATTAGATATTATTATATAGAATGAATCATTATATTACTAATTGTATTGGTCGTTAAAATGGCATTTCTGAGACAATGGACTATTCTTCATGACAGAGTTATTACCTTTTGTTCAAGAAGTCACTAGTATAGTAGTCCATGTATTTTGGTGCGCTGAACAATTTGTCCACGCTAATTGTTTTCGGTAATGGTTGTCCAAATTGACTGAGTTTACTGGAGTTATTCAGTATTAGTGAGTTCTTGTGTATTGGGTTGTTTGTAGCGATACCGGGGTGTCCATTATCTCGTTGGGAAACAGATTGTGCCCCTTTTGTTCCGACTCGTGGTTCGTTTATTCCCAGGATGGACAGTAAGAGTGGATCATCAAACACTGTGAGGTTACGATTGTCGTCTATTTCACAATTCAGCATGTAAAAATGGCGGTAATCTTCAAAAATATCATTTTTTATGGTTAATGGTAGTGTATTATTGTAACTCAAAGTTTTTATTAATGCGTTGAGCTTGATGAAGTTTTTCTCTGATTTCTCAAATTGGTACAGTAGTACCCAAAATTGGGATGAATTTTTGACCAAAGGAAGGCGGGCATATTGTGTGAAGTATTTTCTGGTCTGAATTTTATTTTTCAAGACCAGCCATGTGAGTTTTATGAGTGCTACGATTAGAACACTAACATTTCCATCATTTAGTATTCTCGTTAGGGTATCAGTTTTTCTATAACTGTTCTGTAAATAGGCAGATAATTTCGTTTCCAGAAATTTTGCGTACAGATTTTGTTTTTGTAATATTTCCTTACTGTCATCACCCCACTTATTCCCATAGTTATGGCGCTTAATCATATTCAACAGTTTCCAGATCAGAGAATGGTCAGATGGATAGTCTTTGATTAAACTTTCTAGTGTATCACAGTAGCTTTCATAAAAAATATCTGGGGAGTCTCGGTATCTTTCACTCATGTATGATAGGTTTAAATTTCGTATTTCTGTCGCAGACGAAGGTAATAGCCTGATAGCTTTCTGAAAACTAGATAAAACTCTTGTTGATGGATACTTCTGATTCATTTGCCATGATATATATGCCAACCAAAAAAACTCCTCTTTCGCACAAGGAATCAAGCATCTTCTATAGGTAGTTTCGATAATTTTGATATCGATGTCTTGTTCTTTTATGTAACTGAGGTATTGTTTCCAATTCTTTGCTTCCACTTGCGAGACACCGTTGACACTAAAAAAGGCGTGTTTGATTTGAGATTCGAATCTCCATATACTATTTACAAGAGTCTGTGTTTTTTGTAATTCTTTAGTAATATCTTCCTTTGTGAGTTTCTTTGAACCTTCTGAGGAATTGAAGGCCATGTATGCCTTGAAGTATTTAGCATATTGATGAAGTGGTATCTTCAGAAGTTCATGATAAATTGACATCACCGCTTCCCAATCTTCCTGAGTAGTCTCAAACTGAATGTATTTGTCCCAAAATTGGTGGGAAAGAAAATTGTAGCCAATATTATCTTTGGCAGTCTGATATTTTGATCTCCTCTCGTCCACCGATCCTGTTTTATTTGCCTCGAGGACACTAAGATAATCGCACCACAACTCCACAGAGTCAGGGAAAGCCTTCACAGCAGTTTCTAAAACCTTTATTGAATCTTCCAATCCGTATAGCTGGTACTTTACTGCTGTGTATTTTTTCCATACCAAACCCAGATACGGATATGTATCTAGTATTAGTTCAAATATCTTGCAAATATTAGCCTTGATATTTTCATTGGGATCATTGTACTTGACTACAATTTTTTCAACAACACCAATCAAATTGATAATACTCTCTTGGGATTCCCAGTCTAAATTGTTATATGTTTGTACCAGTATGGGGTTATCCCGAAGGAACGAGCCATCAAATCCAAGAACAGCATTTGTGGACATCTCTCAATTCAGCTTCTTTCAATGTTTGCAATCACAGTTCCAGAGTTAATCAGAGCACGCCAGGCATCCAGAGTATGTTAATTCTTGATTACATTTTAGAAATATTTAAGTCATCGGCATCGGATTTTCGACTTCTTCGGTTTCTGACATTTTTTAGCTCATCGCCATCCAGACTTGAAACATACAGCGATATTTAAATATTCGACAAAATCCAATATTTGAAACTTAGGTTCTTTACGTTACGAATCTATTGAATGTTATCCACTGTAAAGAAAACGTTTCAAGTTCAAAACTATAGTTAGAGCTAACATCAAGAAGATCAAATGAGTTCATACATATATATAAATATGCATTCCGAGGAATTGTAGTGATAGTGTCAGAACCTTGTAGACATTCATCATGGTGAACTGTAAAAAGAAGATTGCAGTTTATTACTTTTGAGTAATGGATGGCGTAACTACTTATGAAAGCTACCATGAGCTCTGTTTTAGTGATATTGATGTTCAATTGTTCTATAAAAGGGATTATTATACAATAGTGAAGTATATATGCTTACTCTATGGTCAATCAGTACTGAAATTTATGGTTTTGATATCAGATATGTACAGTTGTGTGAAACTATTGGCGTTTAACACTTGGTCAAATAACATTATTCAGCCTTGTATTCCTTTTAAAATCACTAAATGGCTATTCAGTGCATGTATCCTGCTATCAATTGTATTCATTTCCATTGAAATCGTCCTTGGTATGAGAATATTAATGAACACAAGGAGAAGAGATGTCATCTCACAGATGTATTTGAATAACTTTTCTCGAATAACTACATCACTGGTTGCTTATAAGAAATTCTGCATATACGATCACATTGAGCCTTCTAATATGTGGGAAAAACTTGGAGTATGGGCCTATTTCGAACTTAAAGGTGCTCCAAAACTTATAGCTGCGGATTCTTCTAGACAACTTATTAATGGGCTAACTTTATGGTCCATACTGATCTCGAAAAGCGGCAAAATAAAAAATGATTCTTTGAATTTGGGTGGTATATTCCATAGAATAAAGTTGATTGCAGTACAAAATCATGAGGAAGCTGTGTTCTTATCTTTTATGACCTTTTCATTCATTGTTTGGAGTTTGTTTATTTTTAAATTTTGTATGTTAATGGTGGCGGCAATAGTGATTACACATAAACTTGGAAATACTAGCTTCACTGAATCTAAACAAACATTAAGACGATATGCTCATTTTGCAATTAGGAGAAATATTAACGATATGATTATTAAAAAGTTAGAAAATAGCTTATCAGATTGTGAAAGTGAGTGGAGTGATGGCACCTTTCTGATTAGTGAACGCAACGAAGCTCAATCGAAACTATTATCCTCGATATATACACCATGTGAAGCATACATGCCCCGATAACACCATCAAACTATGTAGCATTCATATAAGCCTGATTCAAGAATAGATGGCATTTTGTTTGAAATGATAGTTAAATAATTCATTGATATATCATGATAGTAATAAGTATAATTACATTTGTATAAAAAAATTAAAGAAAAAAGCATGGATAGTCTATGATTGGAATATTACCTTTTCAATGATAGTTAACAAAACTAGATGTTTGAATAGCGTAAAAGGCTTTGAGCAAAAATAAAAATCAGTAAAAGGGAAATAAAAGATGAGTAATGGTACGGAGAGATACATTACAGCGAAATGAACCTTTAATGACATGAGATGATCTTGAAAGTAAAATGGAACAAATAAGGTATGTATTGCATAATTTGTTTATCTATTTTTCTTTTTTCTTTTCAGCTTCAGCAGCTTCAGCTTCAGCCTTTTCTTTATCAGCTCTTGCTCTTCTAATCGTGACTAGTTCAAGAAGCTTTTCATTAGGCTCATAAATTCCGAATCTTCTAAATCTTCTGATCTCCATGTTCATCTTGCCAATGTCGCCGTTGCACTTATCCAAGTTTTCTTTCAGGTTATTTTCCAATTCAACGAAGTACTCCTCACTTAAGACAAATCTCTCATTTTCTTTCATCTCTTTGAAAGTCGAACCAGTAAATCTCTCCTTCAATGGGGTTTGGAAACCTTCTCCATCATGCAATTGGACACCTGGGCTTGCAATTCTCTTAATAACACCAGCTCTATAAGCACGCACTTGACCACCATACTTCTCAAGCATGTGATTGTAGTAGTTGCCTTGGTAAGCGTCAAAAGTAGCTCTTCTAGCACCGATCCAGCCAATGGATTTCAACATGTTCTTGAACTTTGGGTTGTGGACATCAAGTTCGTTTCTCAAGTTCCATAGTCTGTAAGGGTTGAAAGAGATCGGGTTGGCCATACCTGAGTAGAAGAAAGTAATAATAAGAATAATCTTTAGGATGTGGAGCACAAAGAACAACCATTGTGCATCCACACTGGAGAAGTTAACCTGGATTTCAGCTTCCAGCTTAGCGGCCAATTCATAAAGCTCCATTCTTCTCACAAAGGGCAGCAGCATACGGGACAATTGGTTGGTTAGACAGATACCTGGGGTTGGTGAGATGACATCCGGCAAATCTGTGTACAGCCATCCGGCCATCAGGAGAGCGAAAATGGTCACGTATTTCTTGGAGTATCTCCATTGAGGCACAATCAGCTGGCCTGGCCACAATTGCTCAAACAAAGGTTTGTCGTAGTCCAGATCCTTCACGTACTTCTGATCCGCAGCATCGTAATCAAACAGCAAGCAGCCACCTTCCGTCAGAAACCCAGGGTGAACAGACTTCTTGAATGCGTAAGGCTTCTTTTCGTGGAATATAGTTGGCCTCAAGACCATAATTTCATTAAGATTAGAAGTAAAGATCTTCTCAACCCGAGTCTTGATCGTATCCTCTTTGTCGACTTGGAAAGCATAGTCGTGCTCACAGTCGTCATTCAACCTGACGTAAACCTCCATTATAAGTTTTTTTCCTGTTCTTATCCTTGTTCCTCGGCAAAGTAGGGGAATCAAAGCTACACTACCGCAAAACTACTAGTATTTATACGTCTTTATACTTTTATTTTTGCCTCCCAGTTGGCAACCCAATTTGTCACTCTCATGTCTTTGAGCAGTGCGTTTTTCTTTTTGTCACTGGAAGGCTATTAGTTAGCAAAGGTTCCACGGAAATCATTAAGGAATTCGCCAGTTATCAAATGAAAAAAAAAGTGGGGCAGGTCCCTTTTCTTCAAAACCTCTGCCTTCGCCTCCCTCCCCCCATTGTGTAATCCCTGCGATTTCGCCTTCTTTTGAAAAAAAATATGATTTCTAATGACAAATTACCAATTCCTTTGCGATGAGCATATTTTATTTGTAATGATATTAGTAATTGTTCTTTAGACGCCCTTTTTTTTTTATAGATAAGCAATAGGGTGTTGGCGATGGAACTGTACCATCTGACATTGCAACGGCAGAGCAATTATGTGCACTCTGTCAAGGGTTCGTTTCTTGGGCGAGACAGCAATGAGCTTGTTGTAGCTACACAGACTCATATAGAGTTGTATGACTTCGCTGGGAAAGTCAGACGGAAGGTGGGCAATGACATTGTTCTTTTCACGTCTCTGTTGGCGCTGGATACCATATGGGACGAGGATGGGCTCGCGCACCTTGTTATGCTGGGCCAGAATGGTAACCTTGTAGTCGCCAAGTTCGCTCTTTCTGGTGACAGGTTACAACTGGACAGTGAGTTTCTATACAGGTTTGATAACTCAGTGGAGAAGACCTGGCTCCCGAAAGTAGTCGCGAATAAGAGCTCCATTTTGGTAACTTGGGGTTTGACCCAGAAAATAGTTGTGCCCGTGAGCTGGAGTCAGGAACCAAGGTTCCGCTCGCCTATCTTCTTCTCTAATGCAGAACACTCAGTGGTACTAGAGCTATGTTCGTTGACTTCGTTCGAGGACCACTATGTCTCTTTAGAATTGGATACCCGGTTGAAAGTGTACAAGCTGAACTTCCTGTTCTTCGATCGCAATCTGCAGTCTTTGCTTCTTACAAATTCATACAACCTGAAATCAAACGAAGTCGATGACCGTCCAAATTTCATCACCGATATACCTGACCTAGCGGTCTATGGAGTCTCAACAGCAATAAATAAGTCTACATCGAAGAAGAATCCCTTTGTACTGATTGGATTCAATAAGCACATTTTGATCAAAGACATGATGGGGATCTATAGCTTAAAATGCGAGTTTCCTGCTGATATTATGGAGTCATTACCGATGGATAAGAAGCTGCTGATAGTGGCGTCAGATCTACAAATTTTGAAGAATAATGTGGGATTTCTGTTATTGCTGCAGACAAATACCGGTCATTTATTTAAAGTGATTATATTCCCAAATGAAGAGGATAGAAATAGACCCATTGCAAAGCTTGGATATTTTGACAAAGTGAAACACATTTCAAACAGCTCTAAATTGCACATATTCAATAACGGTTCGATGTACATAAATTCCCAATTCAATTATGACCATGTTTACTTGAATTTTGAGAGTATTGGCGATAATGATGAAAATTACGATAAAATTGATAACGAAAATGAAAATATATCTGTTATTTCAAAACATACCAATATAAATCCAATAGCTTTAAATTTGTGCCTGATGGAAAATATGCCGTTAACATTCATGCATTTCCAAGGTGGAAATCGAACGACAGATAGTGAAAAAGTGAACATCATAAGAAACGCCATTCCTTTGAAAGAGTATGTTTCCTCGCCACTGCCCCAAGGTGTCTCCAACATTTTCACAATTAAAACACAGTATCAATCTTACCACTCATTTATTTTCCTCACCATGATTAACTTCACCACTGTTATTCTGAAAATAGCTGACGATTCTATCGAGCAATATATTCCAGCGTCGGACACTTTTAAATTGAAAGATGATATGACCATCCATGTCGCCACTATGGGGGATAATTCCATCATACAAGTATGTAAAGATGAATTCAGACAGATTCTACTAGACTCCAAAGATGAGGAAAACTTCAAAATGAATTTAAAGTGGTATCCACCTGCTGGTGTATCCATCCTTTCTGCCGTCTCTAATTTCTCACAGTTGATCTTAGCTTTGTCAAACAATGAGATTGTTTATTTACAATTAGAAAATAATACGCTGATAGAGTATAAGAATAGACCTGAATTACCGGATGTAATCACATCATTGGCACTACTGAATGATAACACCAAGAAGAGCGAGATTCTGGCTGTCGGAACTTCAGACAATATGGTTAATGTTTTATCTTTGGAAATTGTTGACGAAGCTATCTCGTTTGAAACTGTTGTATTTCAGGCATTGGATGCTATACCGTCATCACTTTTGATTCTTAACCAAGGTCACAAGCTAGTCAATCTTCATATAGGTGTGGAAGATGGGTCATATCTAGTTAATAGGTTAGACTTGCGGAATATGTCTATAAATAACATTTTAAGAAAGCAACTTGGAACCAGATCGATTAAGGCCTTAAATCACATTGGTGTTGACCTGCGCAATGATACTTTACAATATGATGATGATGAAAGTGGCAATTCTAAGGAAAATACTTTGAAAAACCGTGGTGAAAAGACATCTGTTGTGGTTATTCATGGCAATAGAACGTGGGCAAATTATTCATCACATTCTAATATGTATATAAGGCCACTATATCTAAAGGATAGTCGAAGATTGATTACAACAAAGGAGTTCTCTTCTGCTAGCATAGATTCTGGTGGCAGCTGTTGTTCTCTTAGTGCATCTGGATCTCTTTTAATTGGTGGATTTGATTTCTTACCATGGGTTGGTAATTGGTTTAGCAAAGATGCGGTAGCAATACAATTATCTGATGATTCCTCAACAGCTGTCTCTGGCGGTGATTCAACTGATGGTAGTGATGATGACGAGGATTATGATGAAGAAAAATTAGAGGAATTTGATATTCACTGTAGGAAATTTTTGAATTTTAATGATCAAGGGAAAAGCACGGTATTGGTTTTTGAAAATACAATTGACGATAAGGCAGAGAGTACTCTTTGTATAATCAACAAGAAAGATATTTCTCCAATGACTATATCTGATGATGGTAAGTCTGTCTTCCGCAAATCATTACCTTTTAAGACTAGAGACGTAGCCTTGAGTAAGCTAGGTACAAAAAAATGGTATCTGTTTGTTTTGTCGACTTCGAGTACAATTTTCACATACGGAATAAAAACCTCGACTGATGGCACGGTGGATCTGAAAATGGAGCTAATTCATGAAACTCATTTTGATAATGAAGTGTTTTGTATAAAAGTGTTCAGAGATATGTTGATTGTACCACAATACAATAGACTATTGTTTTGTGAGGTGGGTAAAACAAAGCTACTCAACAAGATGATTGGTCCTGCTGTTGACTATGTTGAGAAAATTACTGTGTTGGATTGTTGGGCTGATGATAGAATCGCAATTGGAGACTTTAGAAATTCTGTTAGCCTCTTACAGTTTTCATCCAGTCATGAAGTGAATGTAATAGCAAACGATATTTGTACTCGAGATGTAACCGCCATCAAGTTCTTGGATCGTTCGACTATTATTGGTGGTGATAAATTCGGTAGTGTTTGGGTTTTAAGATTATCAATACAAGATGAGAAGATTCTTCAAAGTTGTGACAATAACAAAGTTGAACTACAACAGCATTTGCTAAGAGAAAAAGGCACATTAAGAGAGAAAGCGCCAAATATCTTAAATACATACTTCAAGCTTGATTTGGTTAACCAGTTTTTTATCAATGACATTGTGACGGGTTTTTCTGTAGAGGAAATCACACAGGCGAGTGATAGACCTATCATATTTTATTATGGGATCCAAGGCACGATTGGTTGTTTACTACCGTTACTTGTGAAATCAGAAATTTCTAAACTGAGAAGTATTGAACAAATGATGAAGTCCGCTGATGAGACTTGGTTCTTAAAGAATGAACTGCTTAATGAAAAAATAGGCATCGAGCTAGAAGATAAGGAAAATCATGAGTATGATTTGGCTGTGCATTCAGTAATTGACCATGAAGTTGGCCGGACAGCAGGCAACTGGGCTTCGAGTTCCGGATTTATAGAAGGGAAATTCACAACTTTGGATTGTGATCACACTGCTTACAGAAGTTACTATGCACCGGTAAAAAATGTGATAGATGGTGATATATGTGAGACTTACTTAAACTTGACTGACGACCTTAAGGCATACCTCACCAAACATGCATCCCCTGATAATGATTTGACTACCATTGTACAAACCCTAATGAAGGTGAGGAATAACTTCATCTAGATTGGAATATTCATTGAACTAAATAATTAAATAAAAGGTTTTATAGAGCATTAATTCGAATTTCATAATGAAAGATGGAATATTGACTTGGTATTTATGTGCTCATGTGCTCATTTATCAAAGCGAAAGTCCGCCTCGGAAGTTATTTTCAATTATTACTCCTTCATTTACACTTTGAACTATTTCACTGACATTAAATGGTGTAACTTTTCCAAACCATAATGAATCCACCTTTTTTCTTCCATTTTGATTTTCAATTGGTTTATAAATAAGAATATTACCCGCAAACTTGTGTCCCCCAATATGGGATATTATTCCAGTATTATTTACAAGCGGTTTAGAGTTTGCAGTATTTACAGAGTGTAGTATTTCAGGTCCCATTATGCCACATCTCATGTCTCTTTTTTCATGCCCACATACAAATAACCAAGCGTCATTTTTTAGCTCCCTATAATATATTGAGTCGTCTAATGATAATGTTATCTGGTTATTATTCGAGACAGTTGTCGCAGCGGCTTTCCCACTGAGATAATCACTAAAGCTTAATTTGGGTGCTACAGCATGTCCAGAATTAATATATTGAGAGAATTTCTCTATATCTGGTTTCTTTACTCTGTAATACCTCATGTCCGGCATGACTAAAAAGTCGTAAAACTCTAATGAAGTTGGAGCAAATGACTCTAATGAAGAGGTTATGCTGATTGCATTAAATAGGACCCCTGGACCAAAGTTAAGTTTTGAAATAATATCGTATGGATGCGTTGTATTATTCTCGATTCTGGACTCCCATATATTTTTCCAAACTCCGGGTTTCTTGGCCATTCCTCTATTTATATCCGAGATAAGCATGACGTGCTTATCATAGCTGGGAACAGCAGTTTTTAAAGATATACCAGGGTCTATTTTCTCATCATCAAAATGCAGTTTCGAGTTGACTTCCTCGCAGTAGCAGTTATGTGCTATAATTTCCTCTCTTAACTCTGGGTGTAACACTTTCCTGTATCTAGCATTATAATATCGTTTTGTAAGCGGTAGCAATACCCTATTGCCAATTACCATCGTTTCCTGAATACGGCAAACCTCGGAATCTGTCTAATGGTATCTTCTATTAGCCAGAGCATTGATATGATATTTTGGGTGAACCTTTTTTTTCACCCCGCTAAAATTTCATCCACTAAGCAAATAGTGTAAAGTCGATCTATAATCATATTATTTGACAATTAAGTATATAACTCAGATACACTCATATCAGTTGTTTTGGTTTGCTATTCGATGATCTCTTGCCTTGATAGTTGAATTAGAAGAAACAGTATATTAAAAACTAAAACATAAAGAGAGTATTGTTGATATAAATTTTGCGTAATTACCTTTGCTATATAATTTGAATATAATTCGGATTAGTTATTAAGTTAAAATGGAATGTAAGTCAATATAAGAGAGTTGTGGGTATTAAAAAGGATAGCAGCATGAGTATGTTATCTGGTATGGTCTGTATTTGTTCTTAGTATGCATGTGAGCAAATAGGTCAATGAATGTTTTTCAGTGAAGAAGTTGAATTTTAAACAGACTCTTCATCACCGCTGGAGATCTTTTCAGTTCTCTTTATCTTGAAGAAATTGATGCCGTGGTGGTTAGCCTCGGTGGCTACTGGCTGGGCAGCAGACATCTGTTGGGCTTGTTGCGTTACCACTGGTGGAGTTTGGAATTGCTCGTTTGCGTAAGTTTCTGTGCCATCAACAGGTGCTGGGACTTCTTGGCTAGTGTTTCTGTAAGAGAAAAGGTTTTGGGTCTTTGCGCTTGGGAATCCAAAGGTTGACTCTTTGAAAATACTCTTTCCTTCTTTCTTTGACTTGATGAACCAGTAGAAGATGGTTACAAATTCGAAGAGCACTAGCACAACACTAGCCCATGCAATACCAAACAGACTTGGTCCGACTTTACCGTGTCTGTCAGCGTCACTGAACGCTTTCTTTGCCATTGCGGCGGCAGCTTGGATCAAGACCACAGCAGTTATGTTGAAGACACAGCCGAAAGTGATTAGGATGAATATAACTTGAGTGACAGCCTTTGAGCACCATGACAGAATGAACAGGATGAAAGAAATACCAACGAAAGCCAAAGCGATCCAGAAGAAACAGAAGGCAAATCTGGACAAGTAATAGAAAGCGTCTCTCTTTGAGATGAAAGAGTGTGGCACATTCTCCTTTGTGTGGAAGTTGTCCACTGGCGATATTGGTGCTGCTGGCTTCAGGTATTCACCACAATCGATCTTGTTGTTGTCGTAACTGCAAGCACCCCAGAATGTCCATCTGGTTAAGCTTGGTGCATTTGGGATACCAGTAGTGTCACCTTCCACCCAGTAAAATCTATTGATTGGGTAGTCGTTAGTGCTACCGGATATGATAATAAGAATCAACAACAATGTGTTACCTGCTAGGAATAGCAGTATCAACAGTTTCAATGATATATGAAATAAACTTGGCAATTTCATAGCTAGTGATGGTAATTCTCTGGTGTGTTATTTACCGACTTGGTTAATGTCGCTGTAGTAGACTAAAAAGTTCAATAGATAAACTATACTTATATAACATGCAAGAAGTTCAACACATGGGGGGGGAAAAAAATTATCGGTAGAGGATTGTTGATAATTCCTTTCTGCTGATCAAAAGATCAGAGAGATCGAGAACCGGGGTAAACTGTCACCCAACAGCAAGTGCTGAGAGAACGTTAGACTATAAAAGTTAACCAAAAGAGTAGGGACCCTTTTACCCTCAATTGCTTGAACAAGGATGTTCTGTAAGCTTTCAATAGCTCATCTCTTTGTAAGACAACTCCCGCATATTGAATGTAGAGTGGGAACATGGATATAAACAAGTTTTTCAAGAAAACAAAGTAAAAAATTCATTTGTGCGGGAGATTCAGTGCTTTTGTATTCAGCTTATTCAGTTTGTTTACCTTTTTTTTTTCCAAGACTTGGGATGGGATCTTGCAGCTAATCATTATCCAAATCAAGTGTAAAGAAATAAGAAAACAGACCTAATTAGGAAATCTGTAAATATTAAAAATCCTTTCTCTTAGTACGAACAGTGAATTACCAGAGCAAATCCAGTACAAACGGCATAGTAATGTAATAGTATACGTACAGTTCACACGCAGTTGTTATTTAGTATACATTTCTCATATGACTACTACGTTTGTCACGATTTTATCTTCCCGTATTAAGAGATGTATGGTGTGATTTCTTCTCGATATTTTAAGAGCAGTTTACCGCTTATACCTATATCAGTTGTATAGAGAGTCGAGTTTGGAGTAACTAACAAGCTTTAGGTTATACCATCACACATGTGAGTTGTAGCATTAGTGTTCCCAGCTTCAGGAATATTATTGGGGTTTTCGTTTTAGTTAAGAAATCCACAGAGATTTCTTGATTTGTATAATGTTGTTCGGGGGAAAATTATATCTCTTAACAGTAACATCCGTGTTTTCAGAAATGGTCCCTTAATAATAGATTTGTTGAAGGTTTGCCTTAATGTGTACCTGGGCTTTTTCGTTTGTGTTGTTGGATGGTTTAAATTTTCGGATTTCTTAGCTTCATAGAATTTGTGGAAGAACCCAAACCCTGATATCTAGTTTTCAAAGTTGACACCCGCAACCAATGGTGTGTTATACCTTTTCAAATTTCTGGTTGAATAAAAACTCAATCATAATTAACTATTTTTCATTGGAAGAAACTAGTTATATGCTTGCTGCTCTTCATCTATGGACTTACGTATCTCTTCCTGGATATTATCAGATTTCCAAAAGCTCCTCCAGTATCTCAATAATCATTATAAGTGCTCTAATTATATCATATTTTTTCATTGAAGTACAACTTGTCTAAGGTATCGAGTCATCCAATTTGTTTTTTTATAGCAGACTTGAATGCTGTCAAAATTCATATCTCTCAAATATTTAATTATCATGAAAGAGGTGACGATGCCAACCTATACCTCGGCTATTAAAACATTTGTGGTCTTTTTTTTATCTCCTCACTTATATTTTTGTCAAATGAGCTTAATTAATTAATGGGTTATCTAGTTGTAAAATCAGGAACATATTTTTATCTTAATATATGTCTGCGTACTGAAAAGATCCAGTTTTGTAGATTTGAAATCAAGTAGTTATTTAACTGACAGTTTCTTCATAAACCTTATCCAAGCACTAAATTCACCCATTTTGTTGAGGATAGACGTCTTACTGAGATGTTTAGGGTTTCCTAACCTGTTGGATGATGTCCCCTCTTGACATTGTCATCCGTGGTGTCCTTCGCCCAAACGAACTGTGATCTTATTACTAAAAGAGTTGGTACAAGTTTAGTAAATTTAGCATAGAAATTGTATAATTTACTTTTTTCTATTATATATGAGAAACTGGCTCACTTTTCACCAAATATGATTGATGAGAGCCCTTTTCTATACCATCTATCTTTGCTATTCAGAACCTCTAATTTGATCTACTTTGCAATGATATTCAGGAAATTCTCTTAAAACTGGACAAAAACTTTAAATCCATTAACGGATAAGTTTTTACCTTGTCTTATCTTATCTGGTGTTGCTTTTTACTTCTGTGCCTGTATGAGCGGCATGGTCACACCCACATCCTTGCAGTTGACCACACACATATCTTTCGTGGTGATCTATGTTCCATGTGATTGTCTTCGTTTCAAGTAATAAGTAGTCTCGTGGTTTTGTCGTCATCAGCCGGTTCGTTTCTCACTTCACAGCTTACTACTACTACGTCTTCGTGAATGGGCCAATATCTGCGTGCTATAAGTTATCCCAATTTTTTTGTACTGAAAATGAGAAAAGTAGTCTCTAAATTACAACGGTACTTGTGGGAACCTAGCAAAGAACCACTGCCTACTGAACAATCAACGCAGTGGGTTCCTTCTTTTGAGGAAATTTCTTTTTAGTTCTTGGATTGTGCCCTACCCATAGCATATTCAATGCTCGTTTCTTTTTTTTTTAATATATTGTAGGACCTATGCTTACTTGCAATTGCTTGGATTTAGGAAGACTGTGTGTATTATATGGGAATTCTGAGATGACAGTATGGATTGAAAAAATTGTTTCTCGAGTAAGACAATGCAATTTAGCGATGCGTTAAATTTTTATATTTTTCAATTTCATTAATATGATTTGTTTTTTTTTTTAATTGCACTTCTTATTTAGGGTTGATTTGGAAACCTTATTGAATACTGTTCTTATATATAGGATCGCTTTATATAGTTGATTGCCTATTGCTATATTCGAAAAAAGCTAGAGTTAAGGGAAGATTATAGTATGCAGATGTACGCACCTTCGTCACCAGTGGTTGCTAATGCAGATGTGAGGTTGATGATGCTGTTGCAACAAGAGCAATTGAAGATGCAGAAGAGACGGATGAAGCGCAGTCATGAGATGTTTGAAGATAACAATTACAAACGGGTAAAGTACGGCTTCCATAACTCCGAGACACGCAACACGTATCCGTCTATTGTACCTGCCATAGGAACGATGAATAGCACCACCAATAACAACGGTAATAACATTAATAACATATCACATGATAGAATGAACTTGCATAATACAGTACAGACTCATGGGCTGCGACCTGAGATGTCTGGCTTGCATAATCCAGATAGTGACTCCGAACCATATGCAGAGATAGAGGAATATATGGTAAAGGGTTATTGTTTGGATGAAACTGTGGCAGGAACACAGAATATAACTATCAATGAACCCTCAATTATGACGGACATGATGGATATGGACTAGTTCAACTGAATTGATAGAATATTATAAAAAGGGCTTTTCATTATTACCGGAAATATGTCATTTATTTTGATACAATTAAAATTGTCATACTCTTAGCTCCATAATTATACTAGGTTGAAACGACAATGATATCAAATAGGGAGTAATAAATGGTTAATGCTTATTTCTTTCACTACTAAATCAGTCCACATAAACGAGTACGTTCATATTTATCTATACTTAAATGCTACACTTATGACAATATATTAATTTCTTCTTTATGTTACAATATAATCTTTTGAAACCCCAGTTAATATTCACATAAATACTAAAAAAATAAAAATGTGAAGTATTAAGTATATAGCGGTTGGTAGTAGATGGGGTTTACTAGCGAATATCCAATATACTACAAATTCGGTTCTTACGAATATAAAAAACAAAGAAATTAAAAAAAATATCTCCCGGGGGCGATTCGAACGCCCGATCTCAAGATTTCAGTGTTGAAATTACAGTCTTGCGCCTTAAACCAACTTGGCTACCGAGAGTAATTAAATTGATGTTATTTCAGGTATGGTAGCTTACCTTCACTCAGTAATAGCAAATTTTGAATATCTATTTATTTTAAGTGGTTTTTAGCTATATTCCCATCAAGTAGAACAGTTATACCTATCTGTATGTTCATTATTACAAAAAGAAATTAGGACTATATCTGATGAATGTTTTAGGTGATTTGTGCTTGAAGATGTAAAGCTGTATCTATTAATTTTGGTGCCATCAAATTGTCTATTATAAATCTTAGATTGATGCAGTTGAGATATAAAAAAACTAACTGTTACTGTTAGCCTGCTTTTACGTTGGTATATGGGCTTGTGCAAACGTGATTTGCTGTAATAATGCTTTCTTGGAGCTCTTAATATTGCTCAGTGGCACGATGCATCGAGTGTATAGAATTTTGTTCTGGATTTTCTCAACTTCATCGAGGAAGAAAAAAAATGTCACCAAATAAGGCGATGAGTTTGGAAAGAGACATCCATACTTACCTTCTGAATATAGTTGTAAATTACGTATATCACTTGTGTCAACCCATTGCAAGTTCTTCTCATCGATATTCCTTAGATATATATTCTTCCTTATCGTACAGTGACTGACTAGACTAGCCCACGTTGTTTGGCCATTGACCAGGGACGTTAAGAACTTTAAAGATCTGTTAGAGAAGCCTTTCCTCTGAGAATGGAAAACATTACTAGTAATGAAGGGATCCCAGATCTTAATGAAGAACTGAACACGATTCAAATTGAAAGTACGAGCAGTAATGATGGACATGAGGAGCTACTTAGAAAGCGTGGCATTATAACTAAATTGATGAAAAACTGTGAATTGTCAGCCAAAGAAGGTGACAAAGTATACATCATCCCTAAAGATTGGTTTGATAAATTCTTTTCTGAAGAATTGAAATCTGAAAATGATTTAGGGCCTATTGACGTTGCATCTATCATTAAAGATTACGAACATTTTGTCCTTGAAGATTATAATAGCGTGCCATATACATCAGTGCCTGAACCGTTATTCCTTCAGTTTCAAGAATGGTATGGTATCACTGACCTATCTCAACCAGTAGTTACTTATCTCATTGAAAATGAAAATGGGGAGTTAGTTACTGAGTATAACAAGAGGATCTTCAGATTGCATCATTTAACTATAGGTGAATCGTCCAGAAATAACTACACTTTGAATCAATCTTATATTGTTCTCTCATCATTGAATCTTTATTCTGACTTGAAGGTTAAGGCTATACAGCAATTTGCAAAAAATCAAAACTATCTTAATATGGAAAATCATGAATTTAGGGTATGGGTTGTAGAGGATAACGAGACAAACTCCGCTAACACGGCATTGAGTAGTTACGAGATTACGCCATTGCAGTTTTTAAGTTTATCATCAAAAGAACTAATAGCAGAAGACATGTTCCATAAACTTCTTAAAAGTACGTCATCCCAGCCCTGCGATATCATAATTGAGACTCGAAATTTAAATGATGGTAAATGGCCTTCCTATTTTTTTATGTATAACAATCCTATGACTATGACAGGAATAGTCGGACTGTCAAATCTGGGAAATACCTGTTATATGAATTCAGGTCTTCAATGTCTGGTACATATCCCTAAGCTAAGAGACTATTTCTTTTATGGAGGCTATGAGCAGGAAATCAATCTTGATAATCCTCTTGGCTACAACGGAACAGTCGCTACTGCATTTGGTAACTTGATACAAAATTTATATTCTTATCATTGGAACCAGCAGCAATATCAGTCCTATTCTCCAAACCGATTTAAAATGACATTAGGTCAAGCCAATAGCATGTTTGCAGGTTATATGCAACAAGATTCACAAGAGTTCCTAGCCTTCCTATTGGATAGTCTACACGAGGATCTTAATAGAATTCATGACAAGCCTTATATTGAAAAACCTACTTTGGAAACTTCTGAGGAATTGGCTGATGAAAACGCGGTAAAGCAACTTGCAAAGAAGACTTGGGATGCTCACCTCGCTCGTAATGACTCTGTGATAAATGATTTATTTGTTGGTATGTATAAATCAACACTGAAATGTCCGACTTGTAAAAATATCTCCATTACCTTTGATCCATATAATGATCTGACTTTGCCATTGCCAATATCAACAGTATGGAATAAGAAAGTGAAAATCTTTCCCCAAAAGTCACCACCATGTATTCTTGAAGTAGAACTCCCCAAGTCAGCGACATACAACGATTTAAAGGATTATGTTGCAACATATTCCAATATTGATTCAAGTTCATTATTCGGTTGCGAAATTTTTAATCACCAATTTTATCGAAATTTTGAGTCCCCCATTTCAGACTCAAACTACTTACCAGTGCAGGAATTGATTTCTGAAACTGATGACATCATATTTTATGAAATTATTATCAATCCGGGTGACATTATCTTACCTGTTATAAATACCAGAATTGAAGAAGGATTCAATAGCCCATCCTTATTTGGAGTGCCATTTTTCGTTACAGTGTCAGATGAAGAGAGAAGGAATCCATTCTTGATATACCAGAAACTGGAAAAATTATATACTAATCTGAGTGGTGGGTATATCCAATTAAGGGAGACTTTAAATAATGAAAATCAACTAAATGCAATTTTCCCAAATCTAGTAGCCAAGTATGGAAAGGAAGATATGGAGCCAATAAACGATATTATTGACACATTATATGATCCAAATGACTCCACAGATGGTATTTTCACTTTGAAAACGATATCAGAAAGCAGAGATGAAATTGAAATTGAATCGCCATCAAAAACCCAGCCTTGGATTCCAGAAAGTAATATTAACTATAAACTTGCAGATGATATATTCAACTTCTCATCAGTGATCTTGAGAGATATCTACTATTATAATAAAATGGAAAATCAAACAAGTGATGCTGAGAACGCTTCATCAACAGATAATTCAAACTCCGAGGATAATATGGAAATTTCTACTGATAGCCCAGTTGTCGATGGGTCTGACTTAGGAAATAGTGAATCTAATCACAAACCTGAGAAATACCAGTCTGAATTAGATAAACTTTGTATTGAAAGCAGTTCAATTTTAGTTTGCGAATGGACACAAAAATCGATTGATGAAGTATTTACTGATGATAAACCTATTGATTGGGAACATCCCGCCCTTCTTGAGAATAAGGAATTGTTACTAGCTCAAAAGCAGAGAAATTCAGCAAGCCCAAATATCATAACATTGGATAGCTGTTTAAAACTTTTTTCTAAGCCAGAAGTTTTAGGAATTAACGACTCATGGTATTGTCCAAAATGTAAAGAGCATAGGCAAGCTACTAAGCAGCTTGAGTTATGGAATACGCCAGAAATACTGCTAATTCACTTAAAACGTTTTGAGAATCAAAGATCCTTCAGTGATAAGATCGACGCGGTTGTCGATTTCCCCATAGAAGGATTGGACATGACACCTTATGTTGTTGATTCAGTTGTAGAGGATGGTTGTATCTATGATCTCTTTGCAGTTGATAATCATTATGGTGGTCTCGGCGGTGGGCATTATACATCTTATGTTAAAAATAACATAGATAACAGATGGTATTATTTTGATGATTCAAGAGTCTCATCAACTGATCCAAAAAAAAGTGTAGCAGGTTCTGCCTATTTGTTGTTTTATTGTAAAAGGGAACAGAATCCTAATGGGATTGGCAACTCAAAGTTACAGGATATTATTATCAATTCGAGAACTAAATATGAAGAAAGATGGCAAGAAATATTAAACTCACAGACTCAACTGTATGAATCTACAAAAGACATAGTAAGCCAAGAGACATCCTTGAATATTGGATATACGCCTGATTCTAAGAATAAATCGTATGAGATTGAACCGAATAACTCACCTTCTTTGACCAACAGCCATTCAGACACCACAGAAAGTGAGACTTTTGAGCTAAAGCAAGATAAAAATGGTTCTGAGTCCAGTGAGGATGATATTTTGTCTCGAAAATCAACTGGTTACAGTACAGAAAGTCTTGAAGTCGGAAATCTTGACATCAATGAGGCAGATGAAAATGGAGGTAGACGGAAATTACGTTTGTTAAAGAAAGTATACGGGTCAGATACAAATCCAGAAGATGAAGACGAGTGTTAACTAATATTGTATAGATTTCATTTTTTCGGATTTTGTCATTTTACTCTATCTTATGCATGTAACTATAATACTAATGATACGCATTTTTAAAGTTGTAAATATTTTAGCATTCCTAGTGTTTAATTCTACAAACGAAATTAAAATGTTTCAAAGTTTATGATTTGGACCAAATACAGAGACATCCTTTCATCAATAACAATAACACGTATCTTATGATTATTGAATTAGACTATTATACTAAAGTATTGGAAAGGCAACGTAAGTGCTTCACAACTCTGAAGTATATTACTAATAAACCTAAGCTGTATGAAAGCGTTATTGTTTGTTAGAAATCCATTAAATTGGACAAATAATGCGATCCATCAAGAAATTAAGAATATATCAAATCAGATGATCAGCCCCTACATCAGAAAATATAAAATAACTGGGCGTGTGGCGTAGTTGGTAGCGCGCTCCCTTAGCATGGGAGAGGTCTTGGGTTCGATTCCCAACTCGTCCATATTATTTTTTGCTTCTACTGCCCGTCTTGTCCAAAGCCACCTAAATGCCATTAAAGAATCGGTATTATAACTATCAAATTAAAGTGCCTATTTACTTTTTGATACTAATTTATATCTAACCTCAAGTTCTTTCTGAGCCTCTTCCAATTCCGTGAGCAGTTTCTCATAATATTCTACCTTATTCCGTATTTCTTGTAATTTATTTTGGTTCTCTATTTTCTGTTCTCCAAGCTGGTGTAGTTCATCTTTATCCTTCAATTGAAACTTCTCATCAATATTTAACAATAGTTCATTATTAGCTCTTGACTTACAGCTGAATAGATTAACAGATTCGCCTATCTCCTTGTCAACAAAATCCTGTAAGGCGTCTACACATTTCTGGACATCCTGCTTGATCATTTGAACACTTAAAATCTAACAAAAAAAGGTTAAGAGAAGCAAACTTTTCAAATCTTCTTATTGTCAGATTTGCCACTTCCCAGTATACAGTCAGTCACAGGCAATATCAAGAATAGATATACTATTTACAACTATGGCTTCTCATATGTTGACAAATGTATTTCTTTGTCAATTTGACATGTCGCGAGGGAACACACTAGTATGGTCGGCTCGTGATAATGATCCACTATTAAAGGGAATTGAGTTCAAAGCGCTACCATCCGGGATTCATGAAGTATCAGACGATGTTATTCGGTTCTGTATAGAGTATGAGCAAACCCAGTACTACGGTATATGTTGTTATTTGCAAAATGCTTTCGAGGTACTGGATAATGAGGGTCAAGTTGATAGATCAAAAGTGAAGATGTACTCCCTGGGAGTTATTGTAGACCCCAGTCAAATATCTGATGACCTTAGAGGGTTCAACTACGAAGTAACAAATCAGTACATCCCAGAGTTACAATCATTGTTAAAAGATTGGTCAACTAATCAGGGTTCAAATTCCAATTCATATGAACAATTAAGCACTTACTATCATAAAAAGATTAGTGGCAGCCTAAATTATGAAGTAGATTACCAAACCTCAATGTTGAACCATTTACCATATTGGCTAAATAAATTAGGGCCACTAATCTTTCCTTTGTTCAAATCATGCTTGCTTAGAGAGAGGATATTGGTTATATCCGCGCCTGGCAATAGCTTCGAGTACACGAATTCCTTACTTTACTGTTTGGCCACCATATCAAGAAATTCGAAACTCAATATGGGCAACACAGGTTCTAAGGGTAGTTACATACCAACTTTGTTTACAGTCGGGACTTATGATATAGAAGATTTAGAGAAGCATGGACAGGAGGGCTTTTTAGCTGTTACAAGTGATGAGATATTGCTATATAAGGAAGAGCTCTTTGATAAGGCTCTGATATTGCCATCAGATTCCCTTATCCATGAAGGTCTTGAACTTCAAGACAACAAGGGCCATCCTGTTAAAGCCACTATTCATGAATCGAGAATATTTAACAAGCTGCTGGAGACATACTGTGATCAGGATATCACGAAGAGGGATTTGGAAAGATTTTCCCGCAATACAGAAACCATGTCATGGCTGCAATATATACTAGATAGTATGCTATTCTTGGCTACAGCAGGCCATATAACCGCGAGGTACAATGAGACGAGGGAAATAATCCAAAAAAGTTTATCTCGAGAAGAGGGTGAACCGGATGAGCATTACGATGCTAGAGGTATTGTACAGTTTTTCAATAGTAGATCAGATGAGTTGCTTGACTATATTCAAAGGACCATTGAAGACAGTAACAACATACTACCGGCCACAATAACGATAGACCTTGATATGGATTATTTTAGTAAACAAGACTATGAATTTTTGAGAATGTTTGCCAAGAAATGGCTAGATAAAGACATTATGTTTAAGACAAATATACTGGGTATATATTGAACATTGAATAGATATAGGAGGATGTCGTAAGAATGATGTGATTGATTTATATATTTCCCGATTTATTGAAGTTCAATGTGTAGAGGAAAGTAATTAATATAAAATTGTAGAAATGCTATTAACTGCTTGCCGAGGAAACAGTCATATGTAAGAAAATAAAAAGTAAAGCAAAAATACATTGGAAAACATAAAAATTGCATAGAAGTGAATTGAAATATCAAAAGTTTACCGATAAATAATATAAAAAGTTAGAAAAAACAAAAAAAAAACAATAACAAGAAAAAAATGAATTGTCAAATTAAAATCAGTAAACTAACCATAGTGCACATGCAATAATTGAAATACCGATGATAGCTGTAATGATACCAGCACCAGCTCTAGAACCACCAGTAATATGAAGAGGAGCCAAGTTGGTTGGATGTGGTTTTGTACCAGCAGCACCATCACCAGTAGAGTTACCACCATTTGTGGCGTTATAAGGTGGTGCTCTCTTTAGAGCTTGTGTGTTTACCATCACTTCAAGGGCAGCCATCTGTTCACCAAGACCGTACATACCGTCCCAGTCGTCGCGGAACCAGTTCAAACCACAGGTGTGTCCATCTGTACCACCGGAGCAAGATTTTGCTGCCGCTAGAGCGGAAGTGTTCAACCAGGTCATGATCTGTTGCCTAGTCTCTGGGACTAGTTCTGCGGTCGAGCCCAGGAAACGGGCGAAGTAGGCCTTAAAGGAACGTTGATCTGTGTTACAAGTGTTTGGGCCTTGACATGCGGCTTCATACAGGATCGAGTTGTTGAAGAAGACACGGGATGCGTTCAGGAAAGCGTGTGTTCTTTCGTGCCACAGATCGGAGCCTGTCATGTTGAACAAGTAGGCAGAGCCGGAAAGCATCAGACCCTGGTTGTAAGTCCACTGGTACTTGGTGACTGTTGTACAGTTGTCGTTTATACTAACACCATCGTACACGTATCTGTATGTGCCGTTATCGATTAGGTGCACGTCTTCCATCCAGTCGTAGACTCTCTCTGCCCAGTCCACGTAACTCTGGTTACCGGTGTACCTGGCCAGTCTTGCGGCGATGTGGAACAGTGCACCGTTGGAGACGGTGTTCTTGTAGTCGTAACCGGAGTTCCACACGAAAATCTGCCATCTGAGACCACCGCCACACGTCTCGGAGTCCCAACGCAGCGCCATGGTGTTGAAAACGGCCTGCGTCAGGTACAGCCACTGCGGCTTGTCATCTGGCGGGTTGGGGAACTTCCTCTCCGCGGCCTGCATCACAGCGATACCCCAGAAGGCCTGGTCATCGTTACCCTCGGTGGTAGACTGGTTCAGAGGCACGTAGTCGTTGTTGTCACCGGTCTGGTGCAGCAGCGCTGCCATGATCTTGTCGTTGTACGTATCGTTCTGCATGAAGTACCAGTAGTCGAGCATGCAACCCCAGGCACCACCGGCCTGCCACCAGTAGTACGGATCAGAAAACATCCCCACAGTCTTACCATACTGGTCACCGGTGTAATAATCCATCAAACCGTAAGCGACTAGCGCAGTCGCATTCTGCAAAGAAGCGTAATCATCCAGATCAAGCTCCAGACCAAACACACTCACAAGGCTCACAAGCCCCGAAAGCAGTGTCACCAATCTCATTATTGGGCGTATATGTGTTTTATCTTACTGGTCTTGTCCCGATACTAGTTTTATTTTTTTTTGAACTCCTTTCCTATTTATATGAAATTTTTTTTTTTTGTCAATTCCAAGAATCAGCCCGTTGTGCAGGGAAGTAGTGGGAGACTAGTAAGTGGGAAATCCCAACTGTCAATCCCAATAAAAGAGGCATCGGCTACGGGGATTGGTGAAGGGGGTGGTGAGATGGGGGGGACTCACAATGGAGGCAGTGGAAGGGGTGAACTCCTCAGATGTGCGCTGCATACGATTCCTCTGATGACGTTCTTCCCATCATTTTCGCGACTCTCACCTGTTTGCGCTCTGCTTTGTGCTCTGCTTTGTGCTCTGTTTTGTGTTCTGCTTTGCTCTCTGTACAGCTCTGTGCGGCCCTGCGCCTTCTTTTTTGATTTCAGTTTCGTGTCGTGTGTAGTGAGCGGGACAGGTGTTGTTAAAAGAGAGATTTTCTTGTCCAACTGAGGGTCATGTGGGTTTTACGTGTATAGTGTATGGGTGTATGGGTGTTATTGTTTCTCTGTGATGTGGGTGTGTGGGTGTTATAGTTTGTTTTTTTACTGACGCGTTTCTCTCACGTTACCGGGAATCGGTTTCCCAATAAAAGGACAGGGACCCAAGAATCAACTAACGCGTTATTTTCTTTGTGTGTTTTTCTTACTATATAACCAACCATTTCGCTAAGCGCTGAAACTAACCCAACACCTCCAATAACGACATACCACAAGATGTTTAGGCAGTCGAAGAAGAGGGTCTCTATGAGGCGGAACTTTGCGGAGGACCGAGGTGATGCCTCCGCAATCATTATCGGAGCCACCACCACTGAGGAAGAGAAGAAGCTGTACCAGAGGATATACGAGAACAAGCTGTCCTTTTATGACATACCTCCGCAAGGGGAGATCACGCTGGAGGAGTTCGAGATATGGGCCATTGACAGGCTGAAGCTGCTGCTGGAGATAGAGTCCTGTCTGGCGCGGAACAAGACTTTGAAAGAGATCGAGGGTATAATCAAACCCTTGTTCAAGAAGTACAACATATTCAACAACATGGACACGTTCGAGGACAGAAAGAAAGAGTACTACTCCCATTTCATCCTGAGACTCTGCTTCTGCAAGTCAAAGGAACTAAGAGACAAGTTCGTGAGGATAGAGACCATGCTGTTGCGGTTGCGGTTCAATATGCTGTCCTCGACAGACCAAGCAAAATTCGTCAAGTCTTTAAACTTGCCCAGCTTACAATTCATCGACGAAGAAGAGAAGGCCGAACTCTCCACACAGTTGTACCAAACCATCTCCAGAGACTTACAGTTCACGTTAAACTTGGCAGACGAACAGCAAAGGCAACTTTATTTCAAAAATGAGAAATTCATTAAACTGCCCTTTGAAAGTGTGATAGAACTGGTAGGGAATAGACAGGTGTTCTTGAAGAACGGTTACGCATACTTGCCACAATTCCAACAACTGAACCTGATAGCTAATGAGTTCTCCACCAAACTACAAGAAGAACTAATTAAAACATACCAATACTTACCAAGATTGAACGAGGACGACAGACTGATACCCATTCTTAACCACTTGTCATCAGGCTACACTATTGCGGACTCAGGTAGTTTCGATAGCCAGTTCGGGAATAACGAAGATAACGAGATAAACGCCAAATCCGTATGGAGTGAAGAAATAAGTAAACACTATCCACTCTCAGTTAAAAACCTATTCTATGGGCTAAAGGAAAACAACCATTTAAGATATCATGGAAGACAACAACTAACTTTGTTCTTGAAAGGTATCGGCTTATCCGTTGATGAGGCACTTAAATTTTGGCATGATGCTTTCACAAAGAACAACAAGATGACAACTGAGAAATTTAACAAGGAATACAGATACAATATTAGACATAGTTATGGTCTGGAAGGTAACCGAATTAATTACAAACCATGGGACTGTAGAACGATCTTATCAAAACCGAGGCCAAATAGAGGAGAATACCATGGTTGCCCCTTCAGAGATTGGAATCATGACCGTCTTACAAGTGAATTATCCAAAATGGGTCTCACGACTCAGCAAATAACTGATGTATTGGATTCATGTGACAAACATGAATACACTATTGCATGCACTAAAGTGTTTGAGATGACTCACAACGTCCCAGAGGGGGAATCAATGCATATATCACATCCAAATCTATATTTTGAAAGATCAAGACAACTTGAGAAGAAAGCAAAGGGTGAGAAAATTTAAAGATATCAGAGATAGTATATACCTAGTATAATACAATCATTTCAATATTTACTATAACGATTCTATCATTTCGGACATATGATGCCACAAATATCAATACAACGATATACCCTGATCAAAAAATATTTATGTAGAAACAATACAATTGTGACATATCGCCATTTGTCGAGATGATATACATTTGTACTATGATCGATATTAAAATTGTCATGACAAGACATTGTCTTACCTTTTATTTATCTATTTTTACCAACTATGCGCCATCGTCATTTTCTTATAATGGAAAACCCAGTAATTTGCGGACAACTATAAAATGTGCCTTTTACTGCAGTGTAATAATCAATGGTGAGCAGCTAGGTAATATGTTGCTATGACAATACCTTTTGTCCAGCTAGATGTTCATAGTAGAATGCTGTGAGACGGTGTCATTTTTGTCTGTCTTTCTTTCTTCCCGCATGCCGCCTCAAGATAACTAAATTGCACACATTTTCCTTCATGCAACTCTCTCGTTACTATTCTAGTGTTTGACACTGTTTCACCTACATTAATGCATCCACTAAAACTGTTGAGCTATTTTTATTTCCGGGCGTTTACTGTCATGCACCATTCTACTACATTTTCTCCTGTAACAGCAGAAACGGTTCCGGATGCCAGATAGTTGCGTCTGTGTTGGACAATGCATAAACTGCAGGAAGCATCAAACTCTAGATCCCGCAGTGGTATGTGCATATTCAATGGATATGGCACTTTTATTAACAACTCTTTGTTGTTGACAATCAATATGCAAGTGCCAATAAATAATAGTATTATCTTTACATTTCGATGACGTCCAAGAAAAGAGGTGAGGTCAGCAATTTTTGCAAAGTACGGAAAAGAAGTGGTAACAATAGGGCATGATGTCATATCGCCGTCAGACGCCCTTTTTTTCTCTTTCTTCCTTCCCCGCCTTATTTTAATGTAAAGTACTCTGTGTGCGGATGAGTAGATGAGCGTGGGGGGAGGGGCGGAGTTAATAGTGCGGTTCTTAGGTATCCGCGGCACATATCAGAGGTCTCCAGACAATATAGAATTGGATAACACAAATTGTGAGCCCATAGATGCTGACAAGACTAAATATATACACATACGTTCAACACGAACTCTACAATAAGAATTATGAGGGAGATGAGAAGTAACTAAATTTCTGTGTAATAACTTAATGAGGAGAGTAAAATACAAATATTGTTGGCTACCTTTCAAGAATAGAGCGTGGCATAACAGTAGTACTTAAAGAAAAAGGAGTGGTGCCGGCTATGTAGAACTTTTAGGATCAAAATACAGCTGTTAAGATAACAAGCTCGTCATCCCCCCCTCGTTATTTATTGCTTTGTATTAAGTAATGCGGTACTGAAAAACTCCAATTACTTGGCATGCAGTGTGTTTAAATATGATGTTTATGACGATGAGGTTGTGCCCTATTTTCTCTAAACTGTACTCATATCCAAAAATATCTTATGGGGCCTTACAGTAGTTATTTGCTTTTTATTTTTTTTAGAAGTAAGCCAGAATTTATTACTTTATATTCCTTTTGTTGTACAAAGTCAACCAAGAGTTAACTCATTCCAGTTTGAAGAAATCTTTTTCATAGAAAAAAAAGCCTCACTTGTCCGCCTTATTTGCAGCTGCAATAATATCTTGGGACTACAAGCCTCAAATAATGAAAAGTACATTCTTTATTCCTCAACATTTGATGTGGAATGCAAACCACTAAACTATGAGTCTGACATGTCATCGCATTAACAAATTGCATAAACATATAAACAGTGATACTTTCTGTAAAAATTGTGTGGTGCAGTTGTATACAGTAGAATCTATGCAGCCAATCTATTTTTACATTGCATGCACGAAGAAACTGCGCAACAGCAACAATATCTCAAAATGACAGGTTAAATTCATTAAGCCTTTTTATCCTACGGTGTTACCACAGAGAGATGCACCTATTCTGTAGTATGACACCGTGGATGTCAAAATGCATGGAACTTGTTGGCCGATGCAAGTTACGCTTCCCGTTTTCTCTCCGGCCAATTAGTTATGATATAGTTACTCCTTGTGATTTTTATGGACTGAAGATACACCGTACGACTTTCAATTTCGTAGTGACACAAACACATTAGGAAGGCAGTAATTAAAGTCGAAAATAAACGTCATCAAGGGGAATGCGACACCGACATACTTAAACTTCTGATGCATACCGCTTACACGGCACATTCATTGCTTTAACTGTAAAGATTAACATTACCGGCTCTTATATCGTATCTCCACCACAGAGATGAGGTTTTTTTATATACCTTAAACATCCAAACCAAAAATACCTTGATTGCTTCCAACGCATTAGCGTAGGCTACTCAAGAGAAACAACAAATTGCCTGCCAGACTGTAAACATTACACTAACTTTACTTTCTAATTATAACTTGTGCTGGCAAACATGTTGACCTATTACGGTCTGATGAGTATAACTAAGCCACACCCGAGGTCAGTAGCGTAGAGAGTATATCTTGTATGGTAAACAATCATACTACACATTTCGGGGTGTGAAAGTTCCTGGGCTAAAAATAGGTTTTACTAATAATATCCATGACGCCCCATGCACGTAATATCCAGCCTAGGATTATAATTACTAAATAACCACGATACCCTTCTTGCAAATTTGCCGTGATCCTAGTGTCGCACAACGAGTAGTAAATTGTTTACCAATATGTGTATGAGGCGTTTGAGCTAGATTATAACACAGCGCAATTGTAGAAACAACTGCATAGTTTGCGCGTACATGGTCGACTGATATTTGCTATGTACCCCCCATAGTTAATGCCGCATACATACTCTCAAAAAGAAATTTGCCAAGGAAATAACAATACTAACCTATGATGATGTATCAGTTACTAATTAATAGTAATATTAACCGACAAATAAATTTGTCTGTATGACATTTACCAAACTGATATTGTAAATAAATACTATTCAAAAGACAATGTCCATGTGTACTATTCCGAGGAGTAACACCAATGAGTAATTGTAACATATTTAAAAGAATGTCAAGGTATGCATTTTTTAATCACTGATTTTCAATTTTTTGTTTTTACGTAAAGTATCATAGAGGATTTGATAATAACATAAACGCCAAGAAATATAATATAAAGCACCACTATGAAGTCACTTATCTTAAGGTTCTCACCTTTTGAACGGATCTCCCTCACAACAAATTTTAACAGGAAATCTCGACATTAAGGTTGAAAATATAGAAGAACTGAAAAAGCATTCCAGTAATTCACAAGGCAAATCTAGCAATACACAGTAGCTATACTTTATAATTACTAAATCAATTTTGATATATATTTTCGGAAAGCGGGTTTATATGAATTATACTTCTAGTGAGCCTTCACAACCCCATACAATTTTATTTAGGGAATCACACGATTGGTAAACCTCAATGTGTTGAATGATGATACCCAACTTGAACTTCAAATACGTCTTAGATAATTGACATATGATTGCATACGCTATTTACATATAATATCTTTGGCATAACAATAGCCATATCCATTCGAAAGTTCAGACGATAAAACTAATTAAAGGATCAATGATTGCATTTCTTGTAACCTATCACCCAAACCCACGAAGCAAGTTATTCCAAAGTACTTTTACCCACTGAAGGCGTCAACGGCAGAGCAGTACTTTGTTTAGTAAATGCTAAGAATTTTAACTATGTGGTCATTACTCCATTTGACATAGACAAGTACAAGAATTTACATAGCTAACAAAATGCCGTAGAAAGTTTAATGGTTTTCGCAAACCAACCTGAAAATTGTGTCCCATGGCTGAACGCAGGAGATCATAAAAGTTACACATTATCACCGCAGTGGAGACGTATCAACTGACTGCCACTCCTTTATTTCCCTCATGGCTTTCTCAAAGGACATTAATTTCTGTTAATAATACTGTGGGGTCTGTCCTGAGCTCCAGTGAAACCCTCACACACACCTCACGCACATGGCATTTTCAAGAAGACGTGCTAAAGGAAGGTGATCCTGCAGAATTTCGCAAATCCTCAATGTCTCAAGGCAATAAACTTAGTTCATGAGTGAGAGTCTCTAAAGCAAAGGAATGACCCAAAATGATCACTTGGAGCAGCATAACGTGTAGTTTAGACTTATTTGTGTCTTCAAGAATTGGTAACATGTTGTCTTCAGGACACTAAGGCAACACAATGGTAGCTCAATAAACATGGCCCATATCATCCAGCAAAATTTATTCTGGATGTAGTAATACTACGATTGCTATAAATCTGTGTTTTGAATTTGATAAACACAAACATGGTAACAAATACCTGTAATATTGAGTAACAACAACTTCCATTGCGTATAATTGTTGTTGTTTTTCGAGGTTTATTTGGTTCCCTTTACATTTTGTAAAACAAATCTCTATTTCGATTATAATATTGCGCCAGTTACCTGATTTTAAAGACGGAGAATAGCTATTGATTTTTAAATTACCATCGTAATTGGTAATGGTGGATAAGCTCTTGATTACTTTTTAATAGAAACACTATGGAATAAATGTATTGAAAATAACACCGAGCGGTGAAATTTCTACCAACCTTCTCCGTAAATTTAGTTTCCCACAGATATAATAAGAACTATATTGGTTCCATATCTTATAAGCTTTTACGTAAACGGCACTGTTTCTATTTGATCGTCTAAGCCTTTACAAATTTCACAATCTGTGCTGTTCATATTAAGACAACAAATCAGTATTAATGAAATCAAACAAATATGGTGTCTAAGATTTTTAAAGCCGATTCCAACATATTCCACAGCGAAAAGGGATCTCTGATTAATGATAATTTGTCTATAGCTCTTTCTTTTAAGACCCGTTGCCTATAATCGCAGACTTCAGAATAGAATAAGGCACCAATAAATTCAAAAATGACAAACCCGAACTTCCTCTATATACAAAACAAGAC